CCTACCTATTCGCTGGTAGCCTAAGAGGCTAGCTATTCCAGCTACGCCCGGACGGGTAGGTGAGCTCACTGGCTCAACCTGAATTTGCTAACACTAGCCCTAGCAAGAGCAGTGCTTCGCAGAATCTACTACCGGATCGAAATCGCGGCCCACTGGAAGATCCGGCGAGAAACGCAGTGGGCTGTGTCTATGGGTTAGTTCGCTCGTTGAGCTCTTCGTCGTAATCGACGAGTTCGACGAGAACGATGACCGGTGCTTGAGGATCCTAAAAGCAAGGAGAGTGAATCCGGGGATTCAGACAAGACATGTTTCGGGCGACGGCGGCTTTGCTTTGCCCCGTCGCGGTCGGATAAGTTATTACCCGTCATGACTTACGGGAGTGTGGTGTTCGCTCACGCGGCCCGCACACACATAGACACCCTCCAATCTCTACAATCCCGCTTTTGCAGGTTAGCCGTCGGAGCTCCGTGGTTCGTGAGGAACGTTGACCTACACGACGACCTGGGCCTCGAATCTATCCAGAAATACATGAAATCAGCGTCGGAACGGTACTTCGATAAGGCTATGCGTCATGATAATCGCCTTATCGTTGCCGCCGCTGACTACTCCCCGAATCCTGATCACGCAGGAGCCAGTCACCGTCGACGCCCTAGACACGTCCTTACGGATCCATCAGATCCAATAACCTTTGCATTAGACGCCTTCAGCTCTAACACTAGAAGCAGGCTTAGGGACCCCGGTAACCGTACTCGTCGAACTCGACAAAGAGTTCGCCGTGCAACCTAACCCATGAATCAGCTCGCTGAGTTTCTCGCCGGATCTTCTCAGCGGGTCGCGATTCCGATCCGGTAGTAGATTCATTCGCGAAGCAGCTACTCTTGAGCTGTTAGGTCTCCTTCGGAGGCGCTCGGGTAGCTGTTAGCAAATCCCACCCCTCCTGGCTGAGCCTTTGCTCGCCCACCTGTCCTGGTGAAACTGGAAAGGCCTCCGGGCCACCAGTAATTCTTCAATCATAAAAAAAAAAAAAGTTATTAGGGGCGGCCACGTTTTGAGGGTTTCCGTGACGCGCCGCCGCTTTGTCGAAATAGCATTCTGACGCTTCTTTAAGATACTTCCGCCACCCTCTTTCGAGGCATGAGGTCGATTGGGCCTCACCTACGCCAACTCATATTACCAACATCAATAAAAAGGCATAACGAAAAAACCATTGTCACCATCATTCAGTCACACAAAAGGAGAGGAATTAAGGAGACGCAATAAAACATCTAAGATAACAAAATCAAGAATATTAATAGTGATAAAAATAATAAATCTTAAAAATATCAAATACAAACTAAAATCAACAATGTTTATTGTTAAAACAACGTTAACAAAATACATTTTAACTTACTCAAAGCTTCACAATACATACTGTAAAAAAGTAATACGTTTCTCAAATCTATTAAACAAATAATCTCAATGTAGTAGGTACCTACATCAAATTAACAAGATTATGAATTACTAATAATCGTTTCTACGCTTTATATATTATCATTTGTACATAAATAATGCAAATTGAATATACTTTACTTTTGCAACTTTACAGGAAACGAGAGAACAGACTGCTGCCAAAACGCATTAGTGCGCTTGTTCACCAAAAGATGGCGTTAAACGACAAACACTGCTTCGCCAATAGATGGCGTTAAAATCAAAATAGCCTCGTTTCCTCATTACCACCAATGCTGCTAAATACTTCACTAAGTACTCTAACAAACACCGACACTAAGTTTTTAAATACACAAATTACTTTAAATATCTCAAACTTTAATGCATAATCTGTCTTTGTGCTTTTGTGACTTAAAAGTCGCCTCAATATCGCACATAAGGTGCTATAAAGTCACTCAGGCAATTTTTGTTAAAACTGAACCGAGTATGAGAAAATACATTTTTTAATAGTTAGTAAGATGTTTGCTTTTACCGATAAAGTTTAAAGTTATACTTTAAATATTATCGATTTATTTCTTTAGTCTAGCAGAACTATTATAATAAGATGTTGAATTTTCCAACGATTCTCCTGAAAAATTAAATCATTCGCATAAGTGACGTTATCGCAACGTGTGTGCGATACGTTTTCTGTGTTTATATTCGAGTGCATATGTTGAAATGCGTATGTAATCAGTATTGTTTGTATGTGAGCACGGTTGCGTGCGTCTAGTATGCGTGGTTGGCAACAAAGAGACCGGCGTCAGCGCCCAGACCTGTGACTGATCCAGCGACGTACTTCCCGAGAGAAGCTTGACCGTTGGCCTGTAAAAATAAAAACATTTATCTATAAATATATTTACTTATTTTAAACAAGCGCCCGGCTCCGCTCGGGTCTTAACAAAAATTTCAACGATATTTGACGTCGTTTTATTTTTTTAAATACAAGAACACTTATTGCGCATAACTATAATAGTTAGACATATGCTGTCGCGACACTTTTTGTAAATAATAATGTGTTCTACAAAGTCGTAGTACATTATTTTATTCTATCATCAATAGTTTTCGCAGGGCACGCGATGTAAATAATATTTGAGGCATTTTTTTTACACCTTGGGCTACATTATTAGAGTTTTCCCGAATTTTTTTCAAAAAATATTATAACCTATGTCACTCGGGAATAGTGTCCAAACAGTGAAAGATTTTTTTCAAATCGGTTCAGTAGTTTCGGAGCCTATTCAAGACAAATAAACAAACAAATCTTTCCTCTTTATAATATTAGTATAGAAGTATAGATATGACACCCATGACTCATCAAAAACATCAATTTTCGAACTTCGCTCCTAGGCGTAACACATTAGCGATTTTATCACTCAGCAAGTGTTAAAACGATCAGATTAGATTAGTAACAAAAAAGCAAAACATACACTTACGACTTATGCCTATATAGAAAATGTCTAGTTTTTAGAATATACCTGGTTATTACTGGTGGTAGGACCTCTTGTGAGTCCGCGCGGGTAGGTACCACCACCCCGCCTATTTCTGCCGTGAAGCAGTAATGCGTTTCGGTTTGAAGGGTGGGGCAGCCGTTGGAACTATACTTGAGACCTTAGAACTTATATCTCAAGGTGGGTGGCGCATTTTACGTTGTAGATGTCTATGGGCTCCAGTAACCACTTAACACCAGGTGGGCTGTGAGCTCGTTCACCCAACTAAGCAATAAAAAAATAAAAAAAAACCTCAAGGGTCTACACATGTATCCCAAATACTTTTTTATTTAGGTTGCTGCACATCTGTCATTTCCCTAAGATACCATTTATTAAGGTTTAACTAATCTCGTTACTGCAAGACAACAAACAATGGACGAAAGCAGAGCAGGGGGTATTTCTGTTCATAGTTTATTTCAAATTCAACTTAAATAGAATAAGTCTTCTAAAAATTGTCACCTTAATATAATAGGTTGGGGGAAAAGTCTTTTCGCAATATAGTATGTATGAACTTGTAATAAAATCTCTTTGGCTATACTACCTATTTATATCTGGTTGGTTTTGGTATCATTAAAAGTTTAAATAGATAATTCCAAATTCAAATTAGGAAAATGTGTGATTTTTATTTATTTTTCGTACTGTCAAGATGAGTGAATCTAATGAAGAAATTTGATACATTTTAAAATTTTACTACCAAAAAGGTAAAAAGGCAACGCAAGCCGCGACAAAAATTTGCGATGTCTATGGACCTAGTGCAGTCTGTGAGAGTAGCACAAATTTGGTTTCCCAAATTTCTATAGCAATGGGATCATGTCTCTACCTACAAGATGGCAAAAAGTTATTGAACAAAATGGCGCCTACATACTTTAGTTAAATGCAAATAAAGTATATTAAAAAATGTTGTGAATTTTCTTAAAAAATGCGAATGAACTTTTTCCCAAACCTATTATATTCTATTTTGACACTTTCAAGGGGCACCCTTGTAAACTAAGCCCGGTTAGAAAGTCGCCCAAGCGAGCGGTCTCCGACCTTCGTATCGTGCTGTGTCACGGTGACGTTTTAACCCGAGGGGCTCGACTTTTATCGCGACTGATAATGATCGACCGGCCCGCTTCGTAAACAAGTCGAGCCAGATACCAGCGGGTCCGCGTGTGCTAGACTGCACGTACTCTAAATACTATAGGTAGTTTCTGTGAGGAATATTAGGTGGTTTTTTTAATTGCCTACCTATGCTGATAGCCTTGAGAGACCACTTCAGCCTAACCTCAACTAGTAAGTGAGCTCACGGGGCTCAAACCTGGCGACGTTGCTAGCACGAACCCTAGCAAGAGCCGTGCTTTACAGTCTACCACCGAATCGGAATCGGCTAGTCTCTACGGACTCACCATTTATCCAAACATCAGTTTCTAGGCAACTAATTCATTAAATATTAAGATCCATAAAGTACTTATTAATTTAGTATTTCCTTCGGTTATCACGAGTCATATAATTAAAATCACTTTTACATTTTAATCTAAACTTCAAATTGTCTTTATATTAAAATATACAAAGTGACTACGAAAACGGTACACTACTCAAAACAATTATTTCAAAACGAAACGAGATTAAGCCGTTTAAGTAATTTTAATTATAAAATAAATAATCTTCTTCTTCTCTATATATATAAACATGAATTGCTGTTCGTTAGTCTCGCTAAAACTCGAGAACGGCTGAACCAATTTGACTAATTTTGGTCTTGAATAAAAATAACAATTTTGTTTTTCCTTTGATGTGTCCCTCGTCTGACGGATTCCTTTTGTTTGTTTTAAGTTTATTTTATACAAAAGTTTAGGTATTTTATTTATCGATTGAGGCACTACGAAGTCTGCCGGGTCAGCTAGTTATAAAATAAAAAAAGCTTTTTAGTATTTCAAGCTAAAACTTACCTTGGATCCGTCGTGAAATGTACGAGGATAAAGGAAGGCACAACACGAAGGACCTTTACTGACTTACGTGTCAAGTTTTAAAGGCATGATCAAATTACAAGCAAAAATAAATAAATAAAAAAAGGAATCAACAACAAATACTTTATTAGAATATAAACAGATGCATTTACGTGACATTAATACACAAATTATGCGATATGTTATTTTTTTACGTGCTGAAAACTACATACGGAAATACTATGCTACAGTACAAGACAAAATGCACAAGCCAAACTAAAGCATCGTATTTACTAAAAAAAATATATTCAAAATAAAATACAATATACATCGAACGACTTAGACGAATTATTGTTTTTAGGAATGTATTAAAAAAAAAAAAAGTTTCATTATATCAATCATAGATGGCGTTCAATTAAAAATATATCTTTACCTACGTATCAAATACTTAACAGTCTTACAAAACTTGACTTGAATTAAGAAACTTTTTTTTTTATTGGTTTTTATTAACAAACAAATGTTAGAATCAGTCAATTCGTCCTCATTTAATAAGCGTGAGATTTGACAAAGTTCGATTTAGAAGCGGCCAGCGAAGGAATAGAGCCGGCAACGTATTTGCCGACTGCTGCGAGACCGTTGGCCTAATTATAAATGAATTATTTATATAATGGCGGCACGTGATTGGTTCATTGCGGATGTCGTGCGATTTTCGGCGTCAGTATTGCAAGGCGCAGACGATAGAAAAAAAAATAAGGAAAAAATATATTAGTTAGCATCTACATTAGTTACAGATAACACACAAAATACAAGCATACGATAAGGCTAAATAAAAACTGCAAAACATACGAACGTAATACGTGAACTGTCTTGCTTGATATTTATATTGTACATTTATATTGTTGAATTAAATGACTCACCTAGTCTCGAGTGCTTAACAGAAGCCCATGGGCGCGCAACATGAATACCGGCGCCGACAACGAGACGTGAGGTTTAAAGCCTCAAGAATATTATATAACAGTTGTCGCGCCATCCAAACTAAAACTGCTTCGCCACAGAAATAGACAGAATAAGGGCGGCAACCGGTGCGGGATCACAACGCGTACTGAATACTACTACTACCTAACCTACTAATACTACCAAGAATTGAGAGTAGTATCTTAATGTAACAACTATATTTTATAAAAATGATTTTAAAACATCACGGCTTCGATGGCACTCGCACTGTCTAAGTCACCGAGCGATCGCCGTCTTGCCGTCGTCAGTCCGGAAGATTCCTTACCTTAGCACGCTTGATCAGCTCCTGCTGTCCGGCGAGAATGTTCTCGGTCTTCCCTCCCCAGGCGCGGAGCACCGAAGCCTGGAGGGCGCGCCCGTAGCTGAACGTCAGAACCCAGGGCCTCTTGAGGTCCACAGCGTTGATAGCGTTCAGATGCACCGAGGCCTCCTCTTCGGACTGGCCACCGGAGAGGAATGTCACTCCTGAAAGTTGAGACTTGTGAGAAACTGAGCGCTATTCCAGGAGAACAAAGATCTGGTTGCATTTTAGCGTTTCCGATCCGGTAGTGATTAATTTTTTTTTTTATTGCTTAAATGAGTGGACGAGCTCACAGCCCGCCTGATGTTACTGAAGCCCATAGACAACTACAACGTAAATGCGCCACCCACCTTGAGATATAAGTTCTAAGGTCTCAGTATAATTACAACAGCTGCCCCTTGAGCTCACCTACTAATTCGGTAAATCTAGAATAGCCACTTGAGGTTACTAGAATAGGTAGGGAAAAAAGAATCAGGTTGCTTGTAGTTACCGGGGACTGCGGCGGGCACGGTGCGGAGGAGGGCGGTGACGGTGGCGCGCGCGACGTCGTTGGGAGTGTACGTCTTCTTGCACGACTGACCGGCCGTCACCTGAAGTAATGCAAGCAATGTTTCAAATGTCGTTATAATTCAGTAATTCTGTTAATATTTTTTTTCTGACAACACTCGTGGTCTAAGGTAAATTACAGCACAAAAAATAAAATATACCGTATGTAATGCAAACAACACATGTAATATATCATTATTATTCAGTAATTCTGTTTTTTTTTCTGACAACACTTAATGGACTAATATAAAATACAGCACAAAAAATATATATACAACATACTTTTTTTACCACCTGGATGTAGTCACTCGTTCCGATACATAAGAGTGAATCAACTCTTATACAATACGTTTGAGACATCGACTTCAAGTTTTAGAGGATGTCGAGATATTGACGTCATGACGTCAAGACTCCGGTGACCACAACAAATCAAATGCTCAAAAGCAATTTGGTTTAAGCGACATTTTTGCAATTTTACAGGAGAACCACTTCAAAAATGAAATTGCAAATTTAATTGAAGTTCAATTTAAAACATAGAATTACTGATACTAATATCAAATAAAGCGCACCTTTAGTTACAAAGAAAAACGTCGCTTAAACCAAGTAAATAGCCTTTGAACCCTCGAAATAATCCTCATTAAATAAATAAATAATAAATATATACATATTTACTAACGATCAAGCCACGTTAACTGGTCCCGTGCTAAGTTCGTAAAGACCTTGTGTTACAGGTACCAGATATAGGAAATAAATGTAAGATTTTTATTATATACATACATATATATAATTATATACATCCATAACCCTGGAAAATACATTTTATATAATATTTATCATACAAATATCTTCCCTTGGCGGGATTCGAACCCGCGAACTCTTTAGTCACATAGACGAGGTATCATTTTTTTTATTGCCCTTGTAGGCAGACGAGCATACGGCCCACCTGATGGTGAGTGGTTACCGTCGCCCATGCACTTCAGCAATGCCAGGGGCAGAGCCAAGCCGCTGCCTACCGCAAAATCAATGTGCAAGTAGTCTCACCATGTTGGGCTTGAGGAGTGTCCCCTCGAGGTACACGTGGTGGTCGTTCAGCGCCTTGTACACGGCGGCCAGAACGACCTCAGTCACCTTCTGGGCGCGGTCCAGGTCGTGCTCGCCTGAACACACAACACACCGGTTGACATTTGATCTGTCAAAAAAGCTTTTGAATTTGGAACAAACATAAATAGCTTTTTTTTGAAACAATTCAAGGAGCCACATCTAGCGGTTCTGTTTCTTTGTGCCCCAATTAATAAACCACAGTTAACACATCTAGAGCTTTTTGGCGGGAACGCGAGGAATGCAGTTGTGTGATTTCTTTTATTTTCTCTATTTAGTGTTTCTTCAGGTTTAAATGTGTAATAACGGTGGTTTATTAACTGTTTAGTATCTGTGAAAGTGCACAAATGTGGGAAAATAAGTCCACTGAAAAAGTCTCAATAGTAAATGACCACCATTTTACTGAGATTATATTTCATCCCATATAATCTCATCTCATTTCATGCCAATTGTTTTCCAAATTTTCCTTCGTTTTTTATTATTCATAAGCTGTAAATATTTAACACGGAGAATTATAAAAATGTTATTACTTGACGCTGGCTAATGCACAAACCGTGCCGGAGCCAAAAAATAAAGAAGAAGAAGAAGAAGATTACATATTTACACATTTAAAGAAACAATAAATTAACGAAATTCACACAACTAGCGTATCTACACGCCAAAAACCTTCTACTACATAATTTTTAGAAATTTTTTTTTTAGTCCAATTTGTGACAGTATTGTTGTACCAGGGTGGCATAGATACAAAGCGGTTCTCCAAGTACTAACCATCAGGTAAGACTTCGGGCTCGACAATCGGCACGATGCGCTGGCTCTGACAGATGGAGGCGTAGCGGGCGAGCACATTAGCGTTTTCCTGGATAGCTTGGTACGAGGGGGTGTTGCGGCCGATCTTCAGCACGCAACGCCACTTGGCGAAGTGGCAGCCGTCCTTCTTGTACTGGGCGCAGCGCTGGGCGAGGTCGTCCAGACCTGAATAATAAAGACTAGTATAGAATCTGACGAGATTTGACTAGAGATTCAACTTTCGCAGTTATCTTTTTTTTATTGCTTTAGTGGTTGGACGAGCTCACAGCCCACCTATTGTTAAGTGCTTACTGGAGCCCATAGACATCTACAACGTAAATGCACCACCCACCTTGAGATATAAGTTCTAAGTTCTCAGTATAGTTACAACAGCTATCCCACCCTTCAAACTGAAACGCATAACTGCTGCACGGCAGAAATAGGCAGGGTGGTGGTACCTACCCGTGCGGACTCACAAAAGGTCCTACCACTAGTAAAACAATGGTGCACGTTATTGTTTAAAGGCTTACAGTGCAACCTTAATTATAACGAACCTCAATATAACGACGTACTCGATTTAACAAATTTTTCGTAATCCCCTTAAATTGTCCATACGAGTCAATGTGAAATATAAATGTGAATATATAAATATACCTATACATTGCGAAGATTTCTTGTGAACAAGCACTTTATAACGAATTTTCAACTATCAAAAAAAAGTGTAAATACCTCTAATTACCGAATTTTGTCAGACCCAAAACCTTTATATAACGTTCCCACTAATGTGACCCTTAATCCCATGGTATGTGGAGCCAGTCTCGACAGGTTCGAGAAAAATTGTTACCTACCTAATTGTTTTTAAATAGAAAATACATACAGTAATTTGATAAAAATGTGTTATCATTTATTAGTAGAAGTTGTTCGCTATAACAAGATGAGTACGTAGTCTTTTTTTTTTATGACTTAGATGGTGTTACAGACCACCTGGTGTTAAGTGGTTACCGGAGCCCATAGACATCTACAACGTAAATGCGGCACCCAGCTTGAGATATAAGTTCTAAGATCTCAGTATAGTTACAACGGCTGCCCTTCAAACCGAAACGCATTACTGCTTCACAGCAGAAATAGACAGGGTGGAGGTACCTACCCGCGCGGACTCACAAAAGGTCCCACCACCAGTACGTATGTTGTTCCAGTATGTTGAGGTGAATAAAAGTATATTTTTTACCTCGTTATAACAAATGGTAGACTAACCTAACCTTAATTTAACAAACCTCAGTTTACCGAATTACTTGATGTAACGAAATTTGTCATATCGAGGTTGCACTACCGTATTACCCCGATTTTCTCATTATATGAGTTCCCAAAAACCCCAGAAAGAGCCCTTCTGATAATAGCGTGTACAATATCGCGATTTAAATCAATCTTATCTCAGATTAAACTCGGTCAGTCTTATCTCAAAGTAAACGTTGGTAAGCTGATTGTGATTTGGGAATTCTGCGATCCCAAAAAATTATATCTGTATTTTAGGTGCACATTCGTGACCTTTGAAATCATTATATTAGAATCGATAATTTTTTATTAATAATAATTGGGTAACTAAAGGAAATACCTCGATATTTTGACATATCCATGTTTAGCTAATCGAGAATTATTGGGCGCTACAAAACTTCGCATTCTGAAACTGGTAGAGCCGGTTTTGGAATGTGTTGATAAGTTGTGACGACGGGCCAAGCCCCTTCTTGTTATTGAAATTAGATTCGTTTCGTCATTATAAAATTATAATCATACGCTTACATGCTTATAATATCTAAGAATAGACAACGTTAATGTTTTATTTTTAATAAAAATATCACTGTAATTGTGTAAACAAAGGTACCTACGTTTATATGGCGTATTGCGTACACATTTATTTCTATCATCTTAATCTACATTGAGCATGTTTTTCGCTGTATCTTCTCAGCGGATCACGGTTCCGATCCGATTGTAGTATGGGGTAGCCATCATACAACACGATTTCAAGATAAGCTTTCATATAAAAAATGCGATGTATGCAAACAACATCTGGACCGGAGGTCTACCGAGCAATATCACCCGCTCGGTGGAAGATCTTCCCTCCGTCGTTAAGCCTCTATAGTAAATTCAGCGAAGCACTACTAGTAGGACAAATATAGGCCGTATCCTTTCGGGCTAGCTCACCACAAACGGCGAAACCAGAACAGCCGGTTAATCGATAGATAAGTATATCTAACTACACCTAATTACACGTCATTACGATCAATTAATCAACACGTCATTACGATCAATTAGTCATTATGATCCTCCCGATCGATTAACGGTGCTTTTAAGTACACGCACCGATCACCGTCCTCGCCGAACCCGTCGCTTGCGAATTAACCCATAGACACAGCCCACTGAGTTTCTCGCCGGATCTTCTCAGTGGGTCGCGTTTCCGATCCGGTGGTAAATTCTGCGAAGCACTGCTCTTGCTAGGGTTCGTGTTAGCAACGTCATCAGGTTTGAGCCCCGTGAGCTCACCTACTAGTTAAGGCGACGCTGATATAGCCTCTCAAGGCTATCAGCTTAGGTAGGAAAAAAAACACCTAATATTCCTCACAGAAACTACCTACAGTATTCAGAGTACGTGCAGTCCAACACACGCGGACCCGCTTGTATCCGGCTCGACTTGTTTACGAAGCGGGCCGGTCGGACATTATCAGTCGCGATAAGAGTCGAGCCCCTCGGGTTAAAACGTCACCGTGAGACAGCACAATACGAAGGTCGGAGACCGCTCGCTTGGGCAACTTTCAAACTTCAACACAAAATTTGCTATATTTAGACTTTATCTACTACGAATATTGTGATATTCTGTAAAAAACACTTGTACGATTTATCTTGCGTTTTTTGTTATCTATATATTAATACGTGAAGCAAAAAATTTGTACCCCTTTTTATAAAAATTGCGCGAACGGAGGAATATGAAAGTTCCTATACTTATAGAGAATATAGAGAAGAAGTGCAGAATGCTGATTTTTTTTCTTCTAATTATGCATAAAAATTCATTAAATCAATAAAAAAAGGATTACACACTACCATGTATTTGACACAAGATATACATAAAAATATAGCTACTCTTTGTTTACTGTCAATTGTCAAACTTTTATTATTTTTTAAAGTGTGTGGTAAAATTAACACTAATCATACCAACACTTAGTGATACCTATTTCTACCATAGCGGGTAGATAACGGTATACAAGTTTTACTCAAAAAAAAAAACAAAACAACCAAAAAAATAGTATAATAACTATAGATTATTTCGTAAGAAAAAGACATGAAGTCAAATGTGCAAAAGCAATAAGATGATGATGTAAAGCTTTCCTTCTTTGAGAACGGTTAGCTGGTAGATAACTCAATTGTTGAGTTAAGCTCGCCATTTTTTATATCTTATCCCAATTACTGTATCTTATTAACAGTGTGTACAAATAAAGAAGAAGAAGATGATACGTGCACAATGTAAAAGTTCCAAATGGGTCATTTGACCCGTTATGGTATGTTTAGTGTTAAGAATAGATTAATATTGTTCGTTTTTAATATTACAGTCAAAACCGTTTACTGCGACATCGTTTAGAACAACATGCCGGTTATAATAACCTAGAACAAAGGTCCCGGCTGAATGCTATATGACCGCCTTATTAAAAATATTGCTTTATACGACATTGCTAATAACGACATACCTCATAAAACGACCACATTTAAGTAATATTTCGGAGAATTAGATCTGTTAGAACGACCGGCTAAGCTGTATTGCAAACAATTTGAATAGGTATCGACATTTGTCTTCAATGGCTATTAAAATCAGGAAAGAAAACAGTAGGATTTAGTTTAGTGTAGGGTCTTTTCTAATTCTTAGAAACAAAACACGTGCATGCAGTTGAGTCAAAGACCGCTTCTTCATATCTCTTCAGTTAGTTTATTACTTATCTATACACAAGACGCACCAAAACTTTGTAGAGTTATTCGTGAAACTTTCAAAATGTCGCAAAGAAAAAGAAAACAAATTAATAATGAAGAAAAATCGCGTATTATGTAAATATAGGTATATTTTACCAATAATTCCCTATCGATTTGTTTGTACTTGCACGATACACATTAAACATCACCGGTTGTTACGACTATCGGTTTTTACGACTGAATATGAGCAGTCCCTTCGATGTCGTTATAACAGATTTTGACTGTATTTATCTATAGTGCAGGTTTGGCGAAATCTGTGATTATATTATAGAAGTATAATTAATTTGGTTTGACAATAGAAACAATAATGTTCAAACTTATAATTTCAATTAATTATAGTCGAATTTCGACTACTGCGGGGTCACTAGTTTGCTTTATTTCGTCAGACGTGACACAAAAACAGGAAATTAATTGAAAAACCGAAAATATAATGACAATAGTGATCATGAGATTAAATTGTTCAAAATAATTTTAAATTACGTCTAAGATTCACGAAAACCAAAAAAAATTTGTTACTGTTTTCTGGTAGCTTGCATCAGAAATAATTTGTATTAATAAAAGCCTGTTAAAATTTTAAGACCGACAACAGTGCATAGGTCAAAAAGAGTTCAGTGCCTAACAAATCACACGTTCGTTGTGATAAGACGAAATTACGCAATTCAATCGTTCGAAATATATTTATTGTGTAATCATATACAGTGTAACTTGTATCAACAAAAATGAAAATAATATTAACAATACCTACCTTAATAATACGGTATAATTAAAAACTAAAAAAACAGTTTAGGAGGACTTTTTGGCGGGAACGCGAGGAGTGAAGTTGTGTGATTTGTTTTATTTTGTCTGTTTAGTGTTTCTTCGGGTTTAAATGTGTAATAATGGTGGTTTATTAACCGTTTAATATCTGTGAAAGTGCACAAATGTGGGAAAATGAAACAAAGCCGCTGGACGTAACTTCTCGGGATCCTCCAAAAAGTCCACTGAAAAAATCTTAGTAAATGACTACCAATTTACTGAGATTAGATTTCATCTCATATCATCTCATTTAATTTCATCCCAGTTGATTAATGCCTCAAATCAATCATCTTCATTTCATTTCACTCCATATTATCATTTTTCATAAAATTAAGAATATAAATTAAAATAAGACATGACTTAAAGGTCTTATGCCCGTATCTTTAGACGTTTCGTAAAATAGTCCTCCACTCTTAACTCATCCGATGATGCTCGAGCATTCCCTCCAAACTTACTCGAGTTTGGTATTTTTAGTCGACCATTACAATATTCCTCAACTGTCCTCGAGTGAGGTAATAATGGTGAAAATTTGATCAAGCTAGCATCAAACCCATAGAGTTCTGTAGTCTATGGTCATTGTTTAATGTCAAAGTCAAGCTGCCGCTGTCTGTTTAACACTAGATGAACTTGTTTGATGTTTTGGTTGCTGAGTTATTCGTAAATATGTGTGCGTGCGGTAAATCTGAAAGTGTATTATTTATTTTCTAACCTATTATTATTTTAGATTTCGGATCCGGCTTTGTATTTTTATTCGCCACTTTTGTGTGATTTTGGTTCCATCGTGTTGTTGAAGTGCTTTTCCACAACCACCAGTTTATTATTATATAAATAAAACTTATAACCGCATTGACTTTATCAGGTAGTAAGCAAAATATGTCTCTTATGTAGGTAAATAAAATAAAGAGTTTCAAATGTCTAACTTCGAACTATTTACTTTATTAATAAATATTATCAAACTTAAATTATCAAAATATGCGGGAATCATGCACAGATCCAGGCCATTGCACAACAATATCATATATTTCCATTTGCGGTCCACATACTATTTGGACATTGATAGAAAACCAGCCTTGAGGAACGTTCGAGGTACATCGCGACGTACCTTGACTTGACAGTTCGCTTACTTCACTCCGGTTAGGAAAATTTTCCAAGGACGTTTGAGTGGAGTTTATTTTTACGACTAATCATACCAAAACGCGCGTTGGAGGTTGAGTCGAGTCGAGTTAAGCTCGTGTAAACGACTAAAGATACGGGTGTTAGTTACCAGGTCATAAAATCTCTTTAAAAAAAAACAGTTTAGGAAAAAATGACGGTAGTTAGCAAAACATTCAAAATTACATCCGTAAACACAAAAACTAACACATTCGAATCGTTGTTATTAGTATAATCTATACTAATATATAAATCTACAGTGGTTTTTACGGATGTTCCGTTATAACTACTGAACCGTGCATCCGATTGACTTGTAACTTGGTATCCATGTAGAAAATACATGTACTTAATGGACAGGCTAATATTTATATGAGTGTTGGACTCCCTAATTATAATGACAATAAATAATAATGTTAATTTTAAATGCTCAGCCAAGCGGGCGAGTACGGCTAGTGAGAATATAAATTATAAAACGCGAAACTCGAAAAATAGTTCAGTTAGCAGTACTACACTATTCGTATGAACATTTTACAAGTTTTCAAAGTTTGATGATGATACAAGAATTAAAAGAGTGAATATTAATTGAGAATTTAGTTTTTTTTTTTATTGCTTAGATGCGTGGACGATCTTACAGCCCACCTGGAGTTAAGTGGTTACTGGAGCCCATAGACATCTACAACCTAAATGCGCCACTCACCTTGAGATATAAGTTCTAAGGTCTCAAGTATAGTTACAACGGCTGCCTCACCCTTCAAACCGAAACGCATTACTGCTACACGGCAGAAATAGGCGGGGTGGTGGTACCTACCCGCGCGGACCCACAAGAGGTAAGTCCTAACCTAATCTAGCTCAAGTAATCTGTAGTATACTATTGTTAAGGCAAGAGGGATGCCCGCGCAAATGCACAAATATTCCTGGCGCGAGATAAGGTATGGCAACAATTTTCCGACAACATTGAGACTTTAATCTTACGTGTCAAGTGGACATTCCATTAACCGCCTAATATCAAAAGGGTCGTGATTTTGATGGGCAAACTTTTATTTATTGCTTAGATGGGTGGACAAGCTCACAGCCCACCTGGTGTTAAGTGGTTACTGGAGCCCATAGACGTCTACAACGTAAATGCGCCACCTACCCTGAGATATAAGTTCTAAGGTCTCAAGTATAGTTACAACGGCTGCCCCACCCTTCAAACCGAAACGCATTACTGCTTCACGGCAGAAATAGGCAGGGTGGCTTACTTGACAAAGATCAAGTAGCTTATGTCCTATCTATCTCTATCTATCACAAGGCGGTCAACTAAGCGACTTGTGGTGCAGGATATGATAGAGGGTACAAGACCGCGCGGCAGATCACCGTTACGATGAACCGACCAATCAAAGGCAGCTCTAAATGGTCCCGTTAACGAGTGCACAAGGGCCGCGGTACGCGAGGAAAGGCTACGTCTGGTGAAGATCACCTACCACCCGAAGTGATAACCACGACAACTCTGCCAAGAGTGCATGCGACTAAGAAGTAGCTTAATTCATCGCCAAATAAACGTACCCTGGGTGGTGCATTCGTCTTCGGATCCGAACAGCGGGACGACACCCTTGTCGACCTTGATGCCGGGGATGATGCCCTTCTTCTCCAGCAGGGAGACCAGAGGCGTTCCATCGTCAGCCTTCTGGTAAAGGGTCTCGTGGAACAGGATCACACCGGAGATGTTCTCGGAGAGCACCTAATGAACAAATCAACGTGATAACATAGGGTTGCCGAAGAATCTTATTTTCGTGGAACTAACGAGTCTTGTGTTTCAGATATTTTCAGAACTAACACGATAAATCTGAATTTCAGAGATGTGATTTTCAATGCCAAGATCCAACGTAACTATTTCTAGACCGCAGCCAAATTCATTAATAATTCCAATAATTTAGGCAGCAACAAATTTCATATTTATTAAATTAGGAATTTCGATTTTGTACACTTTTGCCTGTCAGCCATATAAAGGAATTGAATAATCTGGATTTAGATAAAAAAAAATTCAAGTATGTATTATCTACATAATATTTTGCAATGACAAGATTATGAAAATCCTTATAACCGTTTGTATAGTACAATATGGTATATCATAATATATTTGCCGCTTAATAAGCCATAATCAAACCAATCAAAATGTAATTATTCAAAATGCACTTCTGTCGATGACGATCCTAAGTGATGGTTTTATTGTTTCGTTGAAGTCAGTTTCCTTGGCTGTTAAAATTTTACTACGCACATTTTTATCACGAACCAGCAAGACGTTCCATACATTAATGACAATAGATGTGTTACTGCAATGCGAAATTTTAGACATAATAGTACCGTGGTATGTATAGCAAAAAAAAATCATTACCTATTCTCTGATAGCATAAGGGCGGCTATTACTATTATTTATTATATATTTATTCCAGGTACGCACTGACTAGTAGATGAGCTCATGGGCGCAACCTGAGTTACTAAACCTGGCTATAGCGTGAGCAGTGCTTCACAGAATCTACCTCCGAAATCTATCCCACAGCGGGTTGTGTCTATAGGCTAATTCGCCCGTCAAACTCTTCGTCGTTACCACCTAGTTTGACGAGGACGGTCACCGGTGCTTAAAGAGCCTTCTATACATGCCCTTCAAGCACCGTATGCACTTTTTTTATTGCTTATGTAGGCAGACGGGCATACGCCCCACCTGATGGTAAGTGGTTACCGTCGGTCATGGACGTCAGCGATGCCAGGGGCAGAGCCAAGCCGCTGCCTACCATTGAATACTCTCCGTAAGCCTCGTTTGAAGAACATGTCACTTTATAGTCATCATCATGATTCACCTGCCCTTCTCCCAGTCACCTGGCTCAACATGTTTTCTCCTTCCATACTCCTCTATCATATACAATTTCTTCGCTCACTCCCCTCTTACATATATCGTCTTTCACGAAATCCATCCATGTCTTCTTAGGTCTACCTCTTCCTCTATATCCCTCCTACATTCATAGTTAACACTCTCTTACCAACCTCATTTTCATTTCGTCTCATCACATGTCCATACCATTCCAAACGCGCACTTCTCAGCTTCTCTGTCACAGATGCCACTTTCAGAATTCCGCTAACATATTCATTCCGTATTCTATCCATTATCGTTACTCCACACATCCATCGCAACATTCGCATCTCTGCGCATGCAATCGCCTTTCATCCGCCATTTTAATGGTCCAGCAAGCTGATCCAAACAAGTCACTTTATACATGTCACTCTATAGTTTAAAGCAAAATAGTCATACTCACAGCGTCAGAGCTGAATAGGAGTTGGCGATAACGACGACGGTTCTCCTCTGTGTTCTCCACGCCGATGTCCTGCAAACGCTTGCCCATTGTACCTATTAACACAAAATTACATAAATCGTACCTACTCCAACGACCGACTCGTGACCACAAAACTAAAAAGCATTCAGTGTACCTAGTGCGAGTTTTTTAACGTTCTCGATAGCGTAAAAGTTAGCTCATATTTGTGTGGAACGGGAACGTTTGAACTCTCAGACACAGCCCACTGAGTTTCTCGCCGGATCTTCTCAGTGGGTCGCGTTTCCGATCCGGTGGTAGATTCTGCGAAGCACGGCTCTTGCTAGGGTTCGTGTTAGCAACGTCATCAGGTTTGAGCCCCGTGAGCTCACCTACAAAAGTTAGGGTTACGCTGAAATAGCCTCTCAAGGCCCTCAGCTTACGTAGGAAAAAAAAAAAAAAAAAAAAAAATTTGCGTACGTTTGCCGTTAGGGGCGCTGTTCCAACTGCATACAAAATTGGCTTAACTTTTACGCTATCGAGAACGTTAAGAAACTCGCACTAAGCACACGGAACGTCGTAAATACATAATATAGCTAAAATAGAAAACGCTAGAGTAATTTTAAATACAAATACGAATCGCGATACCAAAAAAAATATACTAAATGGTGTTTCACATTAAAATTCACTAAACAATAAAATGCACAAACAAACCAATTCATTATTCTTTTCGCACTGCTGCAAGATTACTGTCCCCTGAATATAGACGGCTCGTAGACAACACGTGAATTCCGTCATACACCTTGAGAATCTTAATATACAATGGCCGCCGCACCCTTCGAAATAGGCGAAACAGGCCAGGCCTACACGCTCCGACTTACAAAATGCCCTAGTAATTACACAAATTACTCAAATTTCCGAGTTCGATTTTTGCTATATGATGTTGTTTCTTTACGGTATCTACGGAAGTCTTCCATGAGCACAAATATTTTCTAAAAAAATATATTCAAACACTCTCAAAGTCAAACCGCTTAATAATGGGTAAGTATACCGGACGATATCTTTTGAGATACGATGAATTCAAGATGCTATTCTTACATTCTGAAGATGTATATATTCTGCAGATTTTAACATACCGGTGGATTCGTCAGCGGCCAGGATACCCTTTGCGGGAGCTACAATTGCTTGAGCGATCTTCTTGAGCTCCTCCTGCAGCTCAGGAGTTGGGTATTGAAAGTAGGTGGACATTGTTGCTGTAGCAAAAAAAAATCGTTTAAACATCAGTAGACAAACCGAACCTGCCAAACAAACAGCAAGTAAAATAAGTAAAAAAGTTAAAATACTATTAAAATAATAAATTAATATAGGCCAGGAGCTGACAGCTAACTGAAACACAATACCATCCTGTAAAAAAATTACAATAAGCAAAAAAATCTTTCGAAAAAAAAAAATACATATAAAAGATTAAATTTATTTGAAATCTATGGACAGATAATAAGTTTAATGTTCTCAGGAATCTTGTTTCAAGCCACACAAAATGCATACGCCCCTAAAAAGGGTTAGTTACATGCATATTTAACCAGTTTCAGTTTTGTGAGTAAAAAGTATATATTGAAGTGAAACTTCTTTAAAATCGTTGTGATTTCAAACTCGATGAAACGAAAAGAAAAAATTATATTTTTTTTTTTCAAAATTATCATCGGGGCTATAATATAAAAGATGCTAAAAAGAAGCGATTTCGTTTTTTTTTGTTCTTCGCCATGGGGTAATATTAACTTACACAAAAATATTTGGGTCATAATTAAAAAAGTTCCCCGGCCGCTGGCCTATAAAAATTATTGGATACTCAACATCTCACAATTTAGAGGTGACATGGCTGTTTTATCCTATCATCATGATCATCTGTCCATTTATGCAAAATTAAAGAACTACAGAAATAATAATGGTCCATTTACAGATTAAAAAAAAACTATAATTTAGAGACAGAATTTTTTTAATAACAACATTAAAATAAAAGGGTGATTTTTGTTAGGAAACTCAGAGCAGATGCATTAAGTGACCCGTTTCCTTAAAAATTTTGATTAGATAAAAAAAAATTAACTTTAATATTATTAGACCAACTATTAAAAATAATGAGGATCACATTGGGATATCAGAACATAAAAAAATATATATAGTACAGCCACGTTAAACGAACCATTTAACTCAAATTCATAAAGGCAATCAGCCAGAATTGATATTGAACTTTTCAATTGAAAATGTAAATGGCTATATAAGCATCAGCATTGTCTCATTTCAGTATTGTTTTATATTTCATTTGCTTAAACTGGACAGTACATACCACACCCACCATGATACATGAAGTTCTAGTATGACATAGGTTGTGTAATGGTTGTCAGACTCCTCAAAGTGGATTGCAAAACTGCTCCGTAGCAGAAATGATTGTACCTAACCATGGAAACCTACCATACTCCACCACTATTAATAAAGTAATTACACTGAATTGTTTTAATAGTCAAAGAACACTGCCACCTGCTCTATGCCTTTCAGTACTCCTTTACTATTACTTTAATGTCATAAAAAAGTGCCTTATTTCTCTAACACAGGTAAAGCACATGAGTAGCTAATGAGTACTAAGGCCTACTCGTGCTTATTATTCTTCTATGGTTTTTATTCAATGAAATTGAAATATTTACAATTTTTGGAATTAAGAGATAATGTTGGATATAATTTAGCACATGTCCTGTAAATTTGTTGATTATAATAAATATCAGAAACAGTTACATAGCTAACAACTTTTTGAAATTTAAATCAAACTTAAATTGATATGGGCACAATGTTTGTAATTAATTTTATTCATACAAAAAAATATACATTTTTTTTTGTTTTCAGGGTACTTTTCATAATGTTGATGTTCAAAATTCCAAACAATATGTGGAATAGATTTATAACAAGGCATACTGTTACATGGTGAGCAATTGTAAAACAATTGATTTAATACATCACTGAATATTATATTCAAAACAGGATTACATAATGACCATAGGTTTGAACTATGTAAACGACAATTAGGATCTAACTCAGAACATCTCTGACAAGAGCTTTTATACAAGGGTGAGATATTCAAACAAGTACAGATATGAACTAATTATGATCTACGAAATAGAAATGTAAATAAGGAAGATGCATTTATAAACAATGTAAGGAAGAATACTGCGCGATAAGGTCACAACAGGAAAACTACATCGAAATTAGAAATGAGTGTTAAAGAGTGATATACACTTAAGGAAGGCAATATTATTAAATAGGAATATTATTAGAGTACCTTAGTTGAATACATTGAGACAGATGAGACCATGTAAGAATACTCTATTCCAATTGTAATTTTACCTTTGGTACCGAACCCCGGCCTCCATCCTGACTCCGGTGGCCCTTTGCCTTTACCCTTCTTTTTGCCCTTAGGTGGCATTGTTTTTATTTTATTTACTTAATTTTTATAAAATTTCTATTCAAACATACTCGACAGTGTTTTCATATTTCAACAAAACAAACTTACCAGAGATAGCCTTAGACGTATGATCGGCTTTTGTTTAAACGCAAAGAGAATTTATATTTAACCGATTAAAAAGTTTAGACTCTATACCTCCGTGCATTAATTTAATTATTTAATAATAAGAAAAATCAGGCAATTAGTAGGCATTGACAACTTTCTATGAAAATTGACAGTTGACACGTAAGTATAGAGGTTAAATATTGAAATGGTCCCAGTGAATAGTCATAAAGACATTTTTTTAAAACGGACTTTTTTTACTTATCATACAAAATAAACCCAGCAGCACTTTGTAAAATTAAGATTATGATTAGAAAGTAATTTCTAGTACAGAGTATACATGACCTTTAAAGGTCATTGACTGCTATTATTGTTTATGAATTACAAATTCGACCCTTTCGACCCAAACCCTTTCTGGTATGTAAATTGCGGTTAGAAACAGAGATTACGCGATCTATTCATATTGTTGGTTAACCTAGCAACTGTTGGATTTCTTTTTTAAATGGTTCAAAATAATGATGAGAAATAAATTTTCTTACATTGCAGTGGTAAAACATTTTTATTTATTTAATGAGTTCATAATCTTTGAGTCAGAGAGGCTCTCTTAAAAGTTGTGAAAGTTTCGAGTGTTTTATTTAGACAGGTACCATGGTAAGCATACGAATGTCTGATAACAAATTAGCCATATAATTTTAGTTTTAAAGCAATTCAAGTTAACACTCTAGAGTAGGTTTAATCTAAAACACTTTTACACGGGTTACTTACTATCACATTAAAATGAGAATTATTAGGTTTATAACCTTGCCCATAGTTTGTAATTTTAATAAAAGTTAAACTTACATTATTTTTTTATTCTTGTATTAATTACAACACGAAAGACTAGCACTTTTCAGATCCGCTACTACACAAGTAATGCTGGGCTGGCAAAATAATAAGTCGCCGAGAGGACACGCGAAAAGGTCATTTGAAGGTCCAATGATGATAGCGCATGACAGTTCTAACTTCTGATACAACGCCATCTATTGAACTTTTTGTGTAAGCCACTGTTAATTTGAATTAGAGCAAACATTGCAGTTTATGTTATCCTTTATTTACGATTATTGGAATAATCATTTATTGAATGGAACGTAAGATGTCGCTATTTTCCAAGGTTTGTTTCGATTAACTTTCTCTAAAATACTAGTGATCCCGCAGTAGTCGAAATTCGACTACAATTAATTGAAATTATAAGTTTAAACATTATTATGGTTCTATTGTCAAAGACTATTTATTATACTTCTATAATCACAAATTTCGCCAAGACTACACTATAGACGAATAATATGAAACATAAACAATATTAACCTATTCTAAATTTGACTACAGATTTTAAGCTTCTTTTTTTTCCTACCTAAGCTGATAGCCTTTAGAGGCTATATCAGCGTCGCCTTAACTAGTAGGTGAGCTCACGGGGCTCAAACCTGATGACGTTGCTAACACGAACCCTACCAAGAGCCGTGCTTCGCAGAATCTACCACCGGATCGGAAACGCGACCCACTGAGAAGATCCGGCGAGAAACTCAGTGGGCTGTGTCTGAGGGTTAATTTACTCGAGCCCTTCGTCGCAAGCGACGGGTTCGACGAGAACGATGACCGGTGCTTGAGGTATCTAAAAGCACCGTTAGTGGATCGGGAGGATCCGAAATGACATGTTTGGGGCGACGTCGACTGCTTTCCATTCTGTTCGCAAGATCGGGAATGTAGTTACCGGCGGTCACGATGAGAGGGTTCTCGTGTCGTGCCGCTTTATCGAAGTGGGATTTTAAGCAATAACAAAAGTTTGACAATAAACAAAGAGTATATATGTGTGTGTAATGCTTTTTTTATTGATTTAATGGATTATTAATGCATAATTTAAAAAAAATATTAGATTCTGCACTAATTCTTCTCTATATTGTTTATAATTGTGGGAAATTTCATACTTCTCCGTCCGCGCAATTTTCGTAAAAAGGGGTAAAAATTCATTCGGTTAATTTACCTAGCGATTAATTAATAATTAATATCAAAACTTAAAGATACATAATTCCACTGAGCAAGTAATCACTACGTTATAGATAATTCAATTTGATCTTAATAACCAGAACCACAGAGAGAAAACCAAAGAAGGTGTGGATAAGTAAGTGATCTTAGTTATTACATTCGTTGATAGGTACCTAGTTGGGAATTATTGACAAGAAACTTGGATTGAAATTATTAATATAACCATTTATTTGTTCTTTCATAAATGAAAGTTCATACAAGTTTAAGCACAACTAGAGACTACTAATGTTAAGGGATAGATAATTATAATCATAGCTTATAGATTTCGATGCTTAAAACATAGAAACTATGGACAGTGTAATCATGATTGATGAAAAATGCGATACCACCAGTCTTATTACTAAAAATACCCATTAATGTCCCAAAATAATCGTAAACATTACGTTAATGGTGCATGTTTTATTAGTTTTATTACCGTGGGCTACCACAAAAATATTATACAATCTATCTGTTGTACCATTAAAATTTCAAAATATTCCACAAGGGTATCAAAGAGTTGATAACATTCTTATCTAAGTCATTACGGTTTAGTGTAAATTCTCATTATATAGTTGATTTTCGTGTGGCCTGTCTATTGTATAGTACTTACAAGTTCTATCTAAAAAAAACGCTGCAAATACAAAAGAAAACAAGGTAAATAACAACTCGTATTACGTAGAATTTACTCTTCAATATTATGTTTGGATCTACTAATCTTATTTGTATATTATTATGTACTTTAAAATTAAAAATTCTATTTCAACTTTCGGATATTTCAACGAACTTTGTGTCAAGTTTGAGCCCCGTGAGCTCACCTACTCGCCCGGTTACGTTGACATAACTCAAGGCTATCAGCTTAGGTATAAAAAGAAAAAGAAAAAAAGGACTTTATCATGAATAGATCTAATATAAATTGTTATCGAGCAACACTTCCGGCCTCACATAATAAATTATTTACGAACTTAGGAAATATATAGAACTTATTATTCTTGTAATATAATTAGTAATTTCATAATCAAGTAAATAGTTCATTCATATTTCTTTATACTTATAATATTTTATTGGCGCCTTCCGCTTGACAGCTTCCGGCGCAATAAGTCTTAATGTTATTTGTTACATAATTCGATATTATTAAATAATAATTGTACGTAAATAATCAGCCGAATAATTAAGATGAACAATGTTTAATATTACCTACTCAGTTTGTATTAAAATAGGTCAAGATGATTGTATAAATACCGACGGTTAGCATATCTCTGTTGCATTCGTATTCTACCCACCGTAACGTGTACTAAAGAGAATATATTATTTCGTGTGGAAGTAAATTGTCTCAATTGTCGCCGCCACCCTGAGGATCCGTTTATACTTCAGAAGTGGGATTATGCCAGGCCCATGCATTGACGGATTTGAGACCGCTGAGAAACACAGGCGATATAAAATGCGACGTGTCACCCAAACCGATGCGGAGGTTATTCCAACGTTCCGGCCGGATGAAAAATCTAGCAACGTCAAGGGATGGCTGCACAAGATCGACCAGTTGGATCACGTANGTCTACGGAGGGACTTCGGTTCTCTCTGTGTTTTATACCGCATGGTCCATGGGGAATGCTCTGAGGAATTATTCGAGATGATTCCCTCATCTCCTTTTTATCATCGCACCTCCCGCCATCGGAGCAGAGTTCATCCATATTATCTGGAACCGCTGCGTTCATCGACAGTGCGTTTCCAAAGATCTTTTTTGCCACGTACCATCCGGCTTTGGAATGAACTCCCCTCCACGGTGTTTTCCGAGCGCTATGACATGTCCTTCTTCAAACGAGGCTTGCGGAGAGTTCTTTATGGTAGGCAGCGGCTTGGCTCTGCCCCTGGCATTGCTGACGTCGATGAGCGACGGTGACCACTTACCATCAGGTGGGCCGTATGCTCGTCTGCCTACAAAGGCAATAAAAAAAATAAAATAATAACCTTTTCTAAATTTCACTACAGATTTTAAGCTTCTTTTTTTTCCTACCTAAGCTGATAGCCTTGAGAGGCTATAATATCAGCGTCGCCTTAACTAGTAGGTGAGCTCACGGGGCTCAAACCTGATGACGTTGCTAACACGAACCCTAGCAAGAGCCGTGCTTCGCAGAATCTACCACCGGATCGGAAACGCGACCCACTGAGAAGATCCGGCGAGAAACTCAGTGGACTGTGTCTGTGGGTTAATTTACTCGTCGAGCCTTTCGTCGCAAGCGACGGGTTCGACGAGAACGATGACCGGTGCTTGAGGTACCTAAAAGCACCGTTAGTGGATCGGGAGGATCCGAAATGACGTGTTTGGAGCGACGTCGACTGCTTTCCATTCTGTCCGCAAGATCGGGAATGTAGTTACCGGCGCGGCGGCGGCCACGATGAGAGGGTTCTCGTGTCGTGCCGCTTTATCGAAGTGGGATTTTAAGCAATAACAAAAGTTTGACAATAAACAAAGAGTATATGTGTGTGTCAAATACATGGAAGTGCGTGTAATGCTTTTTTTATTGATTTAATATATTATTAATGCATAATTTAAAAAAATATTAGCATTCTGCACTTCTTCTCTATATTTTTTATAAGTGTGGGAATATTCATACTCCTCCGTCCGCGCAATTTTCGTAAAAAGGGGTACAAAATTTTTGCTTCACGTATTAATATATAGATATCATTCGGTTAATTTACCTAGCGATTAATTAATAATTAATATCAAAACTTAAAGATACATAATTCCACTGTGCAAGTAATCACTACGTTATAGATAATTCAATTTGATCTTAATAACCAGAACCACAGAGAGAAAACCAAAAAAGGTGTGGATAATTAAGTGATCTTAGTTATTACATTCGTTGATAGGCACCTAGTTAGGAATTATTGACAAGAAACTTGGATTTAAATTATTAATATAACCATTTTTTTGTTCTTTTAACAATGAAAATTCATACAAGCTTAAGCACTGCGATAAGTAACTAGAGACTCGTTCCAGCTTACACTAATGTTAAGGGATAGATAATTATAATCATAGTTTCTAGATTTAGATGCTTAAAACATCGAAGCTATGGACAGTGTAATCATGATTGATGAAAATTGCGATACCACCAGTGTTATTACTAAAAATACCCATTAATGTCTCAAAATAATCGTAAACATTACGTTGCATGTTTTATTAGTTCTATTACCGTGGGCTACCACAAAAATATTATACAATCTATCTGTTGTACCATTAAAATTTCAGAATCACTCCACAAGGGTATCAAAGAGTTGATAACATTCTTATCTAAGTCATTACGTTTTAGTGTAAATTCTCATTATATAGTTGATTTTCGTGTGGCCTGTCTATTGTGTAGTACTTATAAGTTCTATCTAAAAAAAACGCTGCAAATACAAAAAAAAACAAGGTAAATAACAACTCGTATTAAGTAGACTTTACTCTTCAATATTATGTTTGGATCTACTAATCTTATTTGTATATTATTATGTATTTTAAAATTAAATATTCTATTTCAATTTTCGGATATTTCAACGAACTTTGTCAGGTTTGAGCCCCGTGAGCTCACCTACTCGCCCGGTTACGCTGACATAACTCAAGCTGAGGGCGCCGGTTGTGAGCGGCAGGAGTTTTTAGTGAGGTTCAACTCCCACATACCCCACCTGCCGCGCGGGTGGGGATCCGGCGATTTTCTCCTGTGGAAAAAAAAAAAAAAGGCTGTCAGCTTAGGTAGAAAAAGAAAAAGAAAAAGAGGACTTTATCATGAATAGATCTAATATAAATTTTTAAGTGATCATATTGTTGTCTTAATTTTATTTTCAGCAAAGAGTATATTTTATAATCACTACGTTTATTTTCAGTATGACAACTTACTTCTCACGACTAGACGTTCAACTGCAAGAGGAGTTGAAAAAGACAGCCGAAGCTATATTAGCTTCAGGCAAAGGCATCCTTGCTGTTGATGAAACTAACGGTGAATAGAATTAATATTCAAATAATACCTTTCTCAATGCGATTAATTTGAATATATTTTTTAATATTTTCACTTTGTATTAATCAACCGAACATTAAAAGTCTTTTCCCTGTATCTATATACTTATTTAAGTGACGACAAAGTGGCGACATGAGTACGAAGTTTCAATTAAACTATTTTTAGGTTATGTTTCTCATGGATCTGTCCTCATGTTTGTAATCGTAGTATAATTCAATATTATCGTTGCAGAGGGCATTGGAAAGCTACTGAAGAATGTCGGTTTGGAGAACACTGAAAATAATAGGCGAAGATACAGAGAGTTGCTGTTCACAACCCCCGTGCGTTAATTATCTAGTCCTAGAAAAATATTTAAATTCGGTAGTTTTATTATAACGACGATAATTTTATTATTAAGTTGATCTTTGGTGGTACAGAAGTTTATGTGTTCTTTACTAATATAAAATACCTAGCCGATTTAACTTTGAAAACTTAAAAATTTAATAATAAATTCAAAAATTACTGGTGGTAGGACCTCTTGCGAGTCCGCGCGGGTGGGTACCACTACCTTGCCTATTTCTGCCGTGAAGCAGTAATGCGTTTCGGTTTGAAGGGTGGGGCAGCCGTTGTATCTATACTGAGATCTTAGAACTTATATCTCAAGGTGGGTGGCACATTTACGTTGTGGATGTCTATGGGCTCCAGTAACCACTTAACACCAGGTGGGCTGTGAGCTCGTCCACCCAACTAAGCAATAAAAAAAAAGCAAATTTTCTTGATTCCAGGATTTAGCTGAACATATTTCTGCTGTAATTCTTTACGATGAGACCGTTTATCAAACAACTGGTGACGGTACACCGTTTATAGAGCTCTTAAATAAACTAAATATCATACCTGGAATTAAAGTAGATAAGGATGTCACGGCGTTGTTCCTTTCCGAAGACGAAATGACTACTCAAGGTTTAATATGAATAATACTAATTAATTGCCTTCTAATTATTTTTTTGTTTGTATGTAAAAATAGCTGCTTGTTTGCCGAGCCCAAAAATAAGGCTAATAATCTATGTTCAGTCTTGTACCAATAATATTGGAAGCTTAGAAACCATTGCTAACATTGTCGATGAAATAGAGACTGCGTTTGCTTGGTCGTTGCCTTGCCATAATATACTATAATTTATCTTTCTATGTATCACAGGCTTAGATGATTTAGGTAAACGTTGCGCCGCGTATAAAAAGCAGGGATGCCGATTTGCAAAATGGCGTTGTCCCGTCAAAATAGGACTGAACACGCCCTCCGTTCGGGCTATCAACGATACAGCCACAATCCTGGCACGATATGCGTCCATATGCCAAAGCGAAGGCTTGGTGCCGATTGTGGAACCCGACGTTCTGTTAGATGGTACGTTGAGCACACGGCTTAAAATGTCCTAATTAATAGGCATCGAAACTAAGTTTTTGAAAATCTTTAAGGTGACCACGACATAGAGAGAGCCCAAAAAGTGACTGAAGTAGTACTGGCCGCCGTTTACAAAGCATTGAATGACCACCATGTGTTTCTAGAGGGAACGCTGCTTAAGCCAAATATGGTAGATATACTTCTCTCTCTTCTACGTTGTTTCCTCACTGCTGAGGATCGCAACCACATGCGACTTAACTCCACAGTGTGTTATGGGTGGATGTAGTTCTATGAATTTCATATTGTCACATTTCACACTCGATAGTTCGGTAGGTGTTGACTCTTAATCTTTTCGTGAGAGTCAACGCTAAATATTAACTCAGCAAAATATCGAATGTTTTGATCGACGGTCTACAGTGAAATGCTGTGGCGGCAGCAATAATGGAACAGAAAATAGTATCAATTTAACGACTATTTCAAGTTAATCTTGCATTTATACAAGTCTCGAACAACTATATGCAGACACTCGGATTAAGCTAAAACAGCCGTTCGGTGGAAGATTTTCCCATTTAACTGGTGGTAGGACCTCTTGTGAGTCCGCGCGGGTAGGTACCACCACTCCGCCTATTTCTGCCGTGAAGCAGTAATGCGTTTCGGTTTGAAGGGTGGGGCAGCCGTTGTAACTATACTGAGACCTTAGAACTGATTTCTCAAGATGGGCGGCGCTTTTACGTTGTAGATGTCTATGGGCTCCAGTAACCACTTAACACCAGGTGGGCTATGAGCTCGTCCACTCATCTTAAACCATAAAAAACAAAAAAAAATAGTCTTTACATATAAACTGCTGATATTGCTAAGTAGTCAAATAGGTAAGACATTAAGAAAACCATAGTCCTTTCACTTTTGATACATGAGACATGGAGCTAAAATATTTTCTGTGTATTAAATACATAGAACTGTCTGTGTATTAAAAAGTGTCCGCTGAAAGGGGACTGATTAAGGTGGCGCCATTGTAGCAAGTGAAAAGTTTTTCAAAACAGCGCCAATTTGGCGAGTCTTCCAACAAAAACTTGCTGTTTATAGGTGGAAACTTTTTTATCTTGTCTCCTATACAAGATGGTCCTTCTTACTTCCACCCTCCATAGGGACATAAAGGATTTTTTTTAAAAAGAAGTTGAAGTTACTACGAAATTATTAAGGAGAAGTAAGATTGTTAGAAATCGATCTTTTGATTATTATAAACGAACTATCACGATTGCTGATTAATCTACTGCATTTTAAAATGTATCAAACCATTTTAAAGGTAACACCTGGACAAGGATGTACTAAGAAAAGTACGCCTAAAAAAATAGCTATTGCAACTAGAACAGCCCTATTGAGGGGAGTGCCAGCTGCCGTACCAGGTATAGTTATGCCGCAATAAGTGTTCTTTTATTTAAAAAAAATAAAACAACGTCAGATATCGTTGAAATTTTTGTTAAAGACCCGAGCGGAGCCGGAGCGGGCAGCTAATTTTTAATATACACATTTTATTTCCAGGTATAGCTTTTCTTTCCGGTGGTCAAACAGAAGAGGAAGCGACTATGAATTTAAATGAAATTAACAAGGTTCAAGGTAAAAAGCCATGGATCCTTACATTTAGTTATGGCAGAGCTCTACAAGCATCTGTCTGGCAGACGTGGGCAGGTAAAGATGAAAATCTTGTGAAGGCGCAAAAGGAATTACTGAAACGGACCAAGGTGAGAAACAAACAATAACAATTAAATAAAATATATGCATTATTCATTCGTTTGAATGGTTGTTGGTTTTGTTTTTCTTTCACTCACACTCGCAAGGCAGTAACTGTTCGATATTATTAATAAAGGTACACAGGTTACAGTCTACTATTTTCATAAATAAATAAAATTTCATGTTTGATTCTGCGTGACAACCCTAGTAATTAATAAAAATTCGATTCTAAACAAGTTATAAACTGAAGCAGAAAAATACAGCTTAGTAAATAACTAGAGAAGTAAACAAAACATTTTTTTTTAAGAACATGATATTTTTCAGGCTAACGGTCTCGCGTCGCTTGGAAACTACAAAGCTGGTACCGCTATTTCTGCAGCTGGTGACGAAACAAATTACAGTGCCAATTATAAGTATTAATAAATTCGATTTAAAATTGTATCCAATCTAGCTGCCACAACATTATTAAATTAGTACATACCTAAAAAATTTCATTGATTTTTCTAATTTCCTTCCTACCCTTAATCGTTATATTGTATTAAATAAATTAATTTATTTAAATACAAACAATGACCTTCACTACTGCTAACGACGAAAGGAGATAGTTCATCATCATCATCAACCTGCATCTCTCTACTGCTGCCTGTAGACCTCTCCCATAGTCCGCCACAATGAACGATCCTCCGCCTTCCGCATTCAATCTTTCCCTGCATATCGCCGCAAATCATTGCGCTTACCGGTACGTGGTCTAAGGAGACAGTAAAAGGTTTTAACACTGTCAAACTTATGAAAACTCTTGAAATTTGAAAACATTAAGTAAGTTCCACATTAGAGATTACCCATCGCTTACCAGAGAAGAGCTTTCAGGAAATGTTTTCTAAAAGACCAATTAGGTATCGTTACTTTTTTCTCGACGTAGAAATCATGTTAGGCTATGCGTAATTTTGCGATACAGAAAAAAAAAAACAAAAACAACAAAAACGTACGTTAGTCCGTGTCCAGTGAACTAGTGTACATAGTGCTCCCAGCGTTAAATAAAAATGTCTTTAAACTAAAATTATACTTGGTACCTACTAAAAAAGAAAACCATCTAATGGTAAATTGACTGGAAACCATTCCTTCAGAATATAGACCTCGTTCGAGGGGTTAAATTAGTAACAAAATGTATTTTCGTATATTTAGAGATGCTATTGTAAATAGACCCTTACACAAAATTTTAATGCTTAGGAAGAAAGCTTGGCTATTAATCTTACATGGAATGTTTTTTGTGTTATCTGTGCAATTTATTGTGTCAGTGTCACTTGGTCCAGTCGAAGACACGTTTGACATTAGGGGCGAGCCATAAACGCGATTATTCATCGATATGTGCAATTTTGGAATTCAAAACGTTTTAACTCCGTTTTGATTAGGAAATATCGATAAACTGGAAATGACACTTTGACTTCGCCTTAGATCTAGTATAGCACTTCCTCATTCTTTAATCTCACGGGAAGCGGCAATTTACGAGTATTACACCAACGTTGTACGGTCATTAGGCAGCATTTACTGGTAGATGTATTATAAGCCCGGGTAGATAAGACCATCCTACCTATTCCTGCTACGAAACACCGCATGCAAACATTGTATTCCAGTTTGAAGCGTGAGACAACCGTTAAAGAGTAGAAACGTTTATCTCGAGGCTCAGGTAGAATATTTCCACGTTTTGATATTTTGAGCTCCAGTAGCTGCATTACATTAGATTATTAGGCAAACATATACATCTAGAAGTTGAGCCTATGAGAAAAAGAGAATGCTCCTGAATGTTCCAATTCTATTGTGCGTAAACTGCACACATATATTTTTTATTTTTTGCCATTCCATTCAAATCGGATCAAGATTTCAGAGCTCACTGAATTCAGTTTGATAAAATAAACCAACTTATATTAATAAAAAGCACAAAAGAACTGACATTTAAAATTTGATCCTATGAAAACTATTATGATTCAGTCTGGGCATATACTCAAATCCTTTAATGTTTTCGTTTCATTATTGATGCTGGGATTTCTGAATGGCATAATGATTTTTATGTTCAAACTGAGATTTCGTATTGCACTTCACATGTTACACGTACTTAAATTCGGTTCAAGTAATGATAGCCATAATTATTCACTAATTTTAATGAGCACATATTTCAAGGTAAGCTTTTTCACTTTAGGTTTGAAATGTTCAGACACGAAAATTACTAGAACTTAAGAATGTAATAGGTTTTATATAACACCTCCTGGAAAACGAGGCAAATTAGATAAAGTATCTTTTTAAATTTTAAGACCCAGCAATTTAGCCAGTAGCAACATTCGGTTATGTTCTCAGTGATAATATTTTTCAGCAAGATGTACTATCAGAAATTATAGTTCCGCGGTATGAAAAGAGCCTGTTAATGTGTATTTAAGATATTTACCTTTTTCGACATATAATAGACAAAAATAATGTAATATTTATTCTATAATGTCTATGTCTATTCTACTTGTATTAACTTGCAATAAAATTTAAATCTGTTTTTCTCAATCGATAACTTCATTAACACTTCGATAAGTTATGTCAAGCTCCGTGCCCAACACTAGTTGATCGGCTGATCCGTGTTCGATGGACGTATTTCTAAATATTTAGAAAATGATTATTAATTAAATTAAATAACCATAATCATGGACGAACACGAGTTTTTCACTCAAACTGTGCAACATTTAGCTCGCTGTTTGTCAAGCATAAATCCAACACCATGGGAAAAAGTGAGTATATAGTGATTTTAACGTTCACCATATTTTGTAATCTTGTTAGAGCACGAATTGAAAGATCATCACTAATCTCAACTACATTTCAAGGACTTCTAGTCTTTAACCATTAAAACTATATAGTAAATTCTTGAATGGAGGAACAGTTAAACTAAAAATCAATGATCTCATTATGACATAAGTATTGTTTTTATCCTCAGCTTACAGTACACACACAAATGAATCACAGGTGTTTACGTTTTGTTTTAACTGTTCTTAATATTCTCCTATAGTCCCTAAATGTTTCGTTTCGAAGACCTTGAACAACTTTCAACTTATTTAATTTCAAAATCTGTCTAGGTAAAAAAAATATTTTTTTAAATTATGTTAATTCAAATGAAATTTGTTTGATTTTATATATCTAAACACGTTTTTAGCCTGTATAAAGTAGAATATGACACATAAAAATAAATAATGTGATTATTATATTTTACAAAATTTTTAACATACATGATTGTAATTTTGGCTAATTTAGCCATTGTGAAATTGAAAAGTCATAGATGACAAAGCTGTAATAAAATATACTACATAATAAATAAAATAATAAACATACTAGTTAACATAAATTAAATAATAATTGTAAAAAATAGTAAAATACGTACTTAATTTAAAAACATCTGCTGTTGAATATCTTAGCGAAACCTTAAGCAAAATATATTTATGCTTCTCGATTAGAATGTGAGTTGTATTGAAGTGAATTACTATCCATTGCTTAATTTATACCTTGTATATATAAATAGTATTTATAATTTTCGGCATAACTGATGCCATCCTGTACATTAAAAATTAATAAGATGTTTAGTTTTACTAGACAACAAACCACTGATTTGTATCTTTTTGTGTGTCAGTTCTTGTTTTTTTTATTTTTTTATTAGATGGACGATCTCACTGCCCACCTGGTATGAAGTGGTTATTGAAGCTCATAGACATCTACAACATAAATGGCACCACCCATATTGCGATATGAGTCCTAAGGTCTCAGTACAGTACAACAGTTGCCCCACTCTTCAAATCGAAATGCATTCTGCTTCATGGCAGAAATAGGCAGAATGTTGATACCTACCCATATAGACTCACAAGACGTTCTACCACGAGTAATAAGGCAAATTATAATTTTGCGGGTTTGATTTTTATTACATAATTTTATTGCTTCAACATTTGTTATGTATGTATTTCGTTAGTAAAATCGGTACTTCCCTGTGGGATCTGAATACCGTTGCATCGCTTGATACGAATGCACCGGGCGTCTTATCCTCTATTCCACTACAACTTTTAATTTGAGTGACATAAAAATATACTGAACTAGCTTAGATTGACCTTATTGTGGATACAAGTTAAGCTGTTAATGTTTTAAAAATCGATAAATAATATATTTTTCTACAATGCCCCAAGCTACAGATTGTAGTAATGTTTTTTCAAATATAAATATAATTAAATAGAAGTCCTGTTTCAATTAAATAAAAATACACAATTTAACTCTATAAAACTGCAAAACCTTTACTAAGTTATAAATATGTTCTTATCAGCAGTAAAACTTAGAGCTATTAAAACAAATTGATATCTGAATTTTTGTGATATTATGTAACCACATATTTTATGGGAATCGAAATGTATTTTGTATAAATCATACATTTCAGTAACAAAGCATTGGCATTCTGAATAATAAATAATGGGTAATTCTAAGCTAAAAATATAAAAAGTAGGAAATATAAAATATAGTTAACTTGGAAGACATTCGCCTAGATCAGCCTTTCCCAAAGTGGGCGATAACGCCCCCTTGTGGCCGCTACAGACCTAAAGGCAGGCGGTAAGAGTCCCAGAAAAAAAAGGGGGCGTTGTGTAGAGGCTTGCGAGGCGATTTGTAATTTCACCTAGGAGGGCTTATACACCGACTGAGCTCTCGCTATAGTGGTTTGAAGGTGAAAAAATGAGGGAGCTAAAAAATCATTTATCCTCAAAGTGGGCAGTAGACAAAATCAGTTTGGGAACCCCTGACCTAGATCTACTACCTCATGAACCTAAGTTTCAAAATGAATCCTAGTTTGAATCTGAATACTGTTAGCGTGACTCATAAATTTGCTTGGGTTGGTAGAATAAACTGCTAATCCAGCTCATTCTCTCTGTTACGTAGTGATGCGTTCAAGCTCGAAAGGTAGCCATGAAAATTTTTATGTCATGTAGGCTATTAACAAACCAAAAGGATGACTCTAGCTTATGACTTAGTTTGACATAATAAAATACATAGTACCATTATTTATATTTAACATCACTTGTATCTTGTAATGGAGACAAATGTTAGTAGCAATATTGTTTTCTCGAGGATAGAAAACTTTCATTGTTAAGTCAAACATAATTATAATACCTATATTAGTTGTAATAACACCCGATATAATTGTAGTTCCTAATAGGCAAAGACTGAAAAGTGAAGGATTTACATAATTAAAAAATTTATATTTACAGGTAAATACTCTGTTTATGCTGTGCCCACAAGCCAGTTCATCCCTGGTTGTAACATCAAAGAGCCAGGAAGCATCCATAGCATTAGGATTGTACTTCCTACAGAGTGGCCTGCAGCACCAGGACAAACTCCTACCATACTTCTTGAAGGTTCTGAAAAGTCTAACAAATGCACAATTTGAGGAGCCACTGTACAGGACCAAAAATAAAGACCGTAAGTTTATTTTACCATGGTAATGATTGAACAGTTTTTTATATATAACTTTTCCTAATCTATAAATAAAATAATAAACCCCAATACAGATATTCTCACTGAATATAATATTAGAAATCAATAGAATTAATTAAAATCGTGAATACTCATAAGGATTACCAGCTAAAAAATAGCTCTGCATGTTTGTTAAGATTTAGGACATTTCGCTGCATATGGAATTATACAAAGGTTGATCAGGGTATTGATTTTTGAAACGAATATTACGCCTTGGTGCATTAGTGTATTTTTTTTATATTTTTTTTTATTGCCCTTGTAAGCAGACGAGCGTACGGCCCACCTGATGGTGAGTGGCTACCGTCGCCCATGGACTTCAGCAATGCCAGGGGCAGAGCCAAGCCGCTGCCTATCCCCTCACAGGGCACAATATCTCACCGTGCTGTGTAGTCTAGCTCTAATGGATAATTATTTTTCAATTTTTCATGATATATTAGAATATATAAGACTATATAGGCCTATATAAGAACTATTTTTTAAAACAAATTAAAACAAAATTATAATATTAAACATTTAAAATACTTTTATTAATTCATGGAGCACATATGACAGACTTATATTTAATAGTTATCTGGGTGCACTGTGTTTTGTAGATATTAAACAACAAAGTATGTAGCATCTTATCTGTAGTTATTCTATAACATTCATAACACACCAAGCATGTTGTCACAGTCTATAAATTATTAATATAAAAAGTGTTTTAATACATTTAAAAATTTGTATAACAATAACATCTGATTGGAATCAGTAGTTTTTGGACATCATACATAATAAGAAATAGTTCATGTACTGTTCGATTCTTCTTGTCATTGTTTGAAAACAGAATTCTATATTAGAGAAATATCTGAAAAATGAAAATACCTAAATTATTACTAAATCCTTCTTAACTAAAATTTAGAACAACTTATTACTAAATATCAAAAAATATATATCATACTTTACTGAGAAAACATTCGCCCTGAGTTGAGGGCCTCTTCATTGATTTTGGATAAGAAAAAAGATCCTACTTTGCATTTTTAAATATAAGAATTCAGTAGGAAATAATAATAAGAAAGATTACCCACATTACTTTCCGAATCCATTGCTACTACCAGCTTTGCCGTCGCCTCCGGCTCCGGCATTAGCGCCGAATTGGAAACCAGCGCCACCTCCGGCTCCGGCGCCGGCATCAGAACCGGCACCGCCACCGGCATTGCCACCAAGACTAAAGCCTATACCGGCATTAGTTCCTCCTTCTATTAAGATTAGAAAATTTGCAAAAAGTACATAAAATATTAACACTACACAGTCGAAAGTTCCGTATTAGCTTTTTTTATTTTTTTTATTGCTTAGATGGGTGGACGAGCTCACAGCCCACCTAGTGTTAAGTGGTTACTGGAGCCCACAGACATCTACAACGTAAATGCGCCACCCACCTTGAGGTATAAGTTTTAAGGTCTCAGTATAGTTAAAACGGCTGCCCCAGCCTTCAAACCGAAACGCATTACTGCTTCACGGCAGAAATAGGCGGGGTGGTGGTACCTACCCGTGCGGATTCACAAGAGTTCCTACCACCAATATGGCTTCTCGTATAACACCTAATAATCATTTGGGAAGTAAAAAGTTGTTACGTGGCGTGATGGTAATTACATACCCGATCCTGTGGACCGAATTGTAAACAGTCGACGTCACTCTAAACACGTCATTACCGATCCTCCCGATCTATTAACGGTGCTTTTAGGTACCTCAAGCACCGGTCCCCGTCCTCGCCGAACCCGTCGCTTGCGGCGAAGGGCTCGACGAGTAAATTAACCCATCGACACAGCTCACTGAGATTCTCACCGGATCTTCTAAGTGGGTCGCGTTTCCGATCCGGTGGTAGATTCTGCGAAGCACTGCTCTTGCTAGCCCCGAGAGCTCACCTATACGTCAAGGAGATGCTGAAATAGCCTCTCAAATAAAATTTTACGGTCATAAGCCCAATGAGCTACTGAAGCTTTATAAGCTCGGTATAAGAAGACTATCACAGTGCTATTCTATAATAGGTAATGTTTAAATGACGTTATAATATTTTCTTTGGTTTTCATACGAATTTCATTCATTTCATAGTTTAGCGTTTACTATTTTCTGAAGTTACGCAGAATACTTCACAGCTATTACATGCAGTAGCTAGTAATAGCTAGTAATAGTAGTAACTATTACTAGCTATTACTAGCTACTACACGCAATTTAAATATTGTGCATTCGAGTTTATTTATTAGATATTTGAATATAATAATATTAATGTTGATAAATAACACACAATACCTTAGTAGTTCATGAAAATTTTAAAGTATTCGAAACGTTACACAGAATCAAATTAAAATGTATACATAATAAGCGCAAGATTAAACCGTGAAAGTGGTTTTAACTATATCTCATAACAAAGCGAATTAGACCATTATTTTAAGTTAACAAAAAGACAATAGTTAAAATTAAACAGTTTCAAATACAATCGGCAACGTTCTGAGGAACCGGATTAACATGAAGTTGAAAACCTGAAATATTCAATCATCAAATTAATAAAAAAAGAGTCGTAGTAAAAATAAGAGTATCATTTAAAACAGAGAACTAACGAGTCCATTCTAAGGGAGCTAAACATCCGAAAAAGGCTCTCTTCCATCTGCCGGAAACGAGTTATGAGCTTCTTCGGACACATCATGCTGTCTCCCAGACATGAATTAGAGAAGCTCATAATTGCGGGTCGCATAGAGGGCAAGCGCGCCGTGGGCAGAACACCAGCCAGATGGTTAGATCTAGTAAGAGGAGCACTTGGTGGTAGTCTGTACCACGCGGTCCACGCCACCCATGATCGAACACAGTGGAAGAACGTCACATGTGGTCGCGATCCTCAGCAGTGAGGGAACGATATAGAAGAATTAAAACAGAAAAGCTCGCAGATTTCTCGGGGGTAGGTTGCGGTTTGGCTCTGATGACGTCATTCCTGACGTACAACCACAATCGGTTGGGTCATACGATAGTACGATTTTTAAAGTAATTAAACTCTCGCCAAAAATTACAGAGTTAATTCAATGAAACGGCGTGACTTTTTAAAAAGACAGCTCGTTTTATATTCAAAACAAAATTTTGTAAAAAATGTATTTGTAAAGCTGAAACTTACCGGCGCCGCCTTGTTGTAAGCTCTGAAATAAAAATATAGCTTAGAAAAAAAGAAAAAAAGTTTACAAGGTATTAGATTAAAATTCGACAATAAAGACTTACACTCCCGACCATCAAAATAACGAAAAAGATGATAGCAGTACTTTTGTACATCGTGAACCGAATAAATAGCGAGACTGGTGCTATACTGAACACAATTTGCATGTTTTATATATTAAACGAGATTTATATCGTGTAAATTATGATGATAATATAATTGTTTGATTGAAACATGAACGGAAGCTGTTTTTTTTTAAAAACAACAATTTTCGAATAGTTAACAGGTATAGAGTATGGTCTAGGGCTGTGCCTCAATACGGATTTATTTTAAATAATACAAATATAGCATTTTTCAGGAAGATGTTAAGATAATCGATTTTTATATAAATCACGGCATATCGTAAATTCATATTTACAATGTCGTCCTAAAGACATTTGGTCCTAATTTTAATATAAGCTTTGTTCGCTAAGGTTTTCAATCATGTGAAAATTAAATTCAAAAAAAGCATGTGAAAATTAATTATTTTTAATCTATAAGTAAACAGTGCTAATATAGATAAATTAAATACCTAATAACTAGGTTAACAGTGACGAAAGCACAAAAATTTACACCGAATGAGCTAAGGCCCGTAAATTCTAACGATATTACGTCTCGTATTGTCGAAATTATAATTAAAAAACATGAACAATGGTTCAAATATGACAAATTAATTAAAACGATATACAATGCTGCTTATATTTATTCTTCTTACGCTATATGAGACCTTAGAACTTATATCTCAAGGTGGGTGGCGCATTTACGTTGTGGATGTCTATGGGCTCCAGTAACCACTTAACACCGGGTGGACTGTGAGCTCATCCACCCATCTGAGCAATAAAAAAACTTCAGAGGTGTCAAGGGACACCCGGATGGAACGAAGTTCCTTTCGATTAATTAGTGAAGGAATTGTAAATTGTTTTTTTTAAGTTATAATAATAAATTACGGCATTATGAAGAAGAAAAAAACAATACTATGAACTAAATTACTATTGTTGAAACGCTATCTCGAGAAACTGTACTCATTACGCGGACCAATCGGATACGAGCAATGTCACGCGATAAGCGCCTTCACGTTGATTGGTCAGAATGACGGATCTAAAAAGTGTCGTGACAACTTTTCGTAACAATTTTTTCCGTCTAGCCCCCTTTCACAACGCGCGATAAGGAACTTCGTTCCAAAAAAAATTGCGAAGTACGTGTAAAACGATTTTTTCCCAGCTATTAAATAAAACAAAAAAATTATATGATCACACTTACAATAGGTCGTTAGAATTTACATGTTTATTAATAACAGTAATTTAGTGTGATTTTAAATGGCGTTGTTACGAAAGTGACCTATTGTGTGCAAACTCATTTCATAAACGTGAATCAACTTAATGGTCGAACACAGACAATAATAGATAGATTACATTTTCTGTCTTATCATTGTGGGATCAACAGAAAAGAAAACAAAAGTATTTTCGTGCTATACTTGTGGTAGGACCTCTTGTGAGTCCGCGCGGGTAGGTACCACCGCCCCGCCTATTTCTGCCGTGAAGCACTAATGCGTTTCGGTCTGAAGGGTAGGGCAGCCGTTGTAACTATACTGAGATCTTAGAACTTATATCTCAAGGTGGGTGACGCATTTACGTTGTAGATGTATATGGGCTCCAGTAACCACTTAACACCAGGTGGGCTGTGAGCTCGTTCGCCCATCTAAGTAATAAAAATAAAAAAAAACTTTTTCAGGTATACCGATGTCCGAAAAATTCAGCTTCTGTCTAAATACTCTGTTATCCGACGTGGCATCGAAACAGTCGTCTCTACGCGAAGAAATCCTAACAGCGCAAATTGATCTTATGTCGAATCTTACAAAGACCATAATCGATTGCTACGAAAGTCGCGACTTCGATACAGTATCAAAACTTCAGCTGTGCAAGAGCACGGTTCCCGTTCTCATCGGTCTGGCTAGATCCATGGGCAGGTATTCGACGGTCGATCCTCCGTTGCTTTGCCGATTGTTCCCGCAGCCCCCCAGTCCTGTGAAAACAAAGGAACCGGAGCCTAATTTCGAATACGCTACGTTAGATAAGAAGAGAAAATTCAATCAATTCCGCCCCATTATACCTAGGTCCCTGTCTGGGAATTTGCACCTCAATAGCGACAGTATAGTGGAGAATGGCAGCGACACAATGGACAGTGGAGTCGGAACGCTAAAACGCGGCTCCCTGCACAGCTACAACTCGGTCCCCTACGACCCGACCACATATTTCTTCCACAAGTTCGGGTCTAGCTTTAACCAGTTTCCTTACATGAGATTTTCGGAGTCTCCCGAAAAAAGGAACAGTGTCCAATTTTATGTGACGTATCTGCAGTCTATATTGTCTCTGGCAAAAAAGCTGCTCACCAAAGACCTCTTGTCGTTCATCGACGAAGAGGCTGAAGATGTACACGCGTCGGGACAGATAAATGTAAGTGAATTAATGGACAATCTCCGCTTGAAAATATAACGTACATTGAGGAAGAAAGAAATATTTAAATGAAATTCCTTTCAGGTGTTCCCTTATAAGTCATTCTCGGAAACATTGAATTTGGTAATGGTAACATTATTGAGGGAGTTATTGCAACACCAGAAGGACCTTCCAGGCCCGTTTACCAAAGACGTACAGGTAGGTTTTTTTTAAACTGTAGTATGTAAAAAAAACCTCAATACTTTTTTAGAGTTTTGGTAAATTAAAGTTTCGTAAAATTTGTGAGAGTTAAGTACATTATGCATTGTTACCAGTCAGAGTCAGTTGGCAATCACATTATTTTGGTATAAAACATGTAGAGCACTGCTGCCCATTTTCCATAAATGCCTTATCGCTTTTTTCGATAACTCACATTGTGGTGTTTATGGGGTTGTAACCGTTTCTTTTTTTTCCCTACCTATTTCCTTTTTTATTTATTTATATTGCCCGAGCAGGCAGGTGAGCATACGGCACACCTGATGGTAAGTGGTTACCGTCGCTCATGGACGTTAGCAATGCCAGGGGCAGAGCCAAGCCGCTGCCTACCGCTTAATACTCTCGAAACACCATGGAGGGGACTTCATTCCAAAGCCGCATGGTACGTGGCAAAAATGACCTCTGGAAACGCACCGTGGATGAACGCAGTGGCTCCAGTTAGTATGGACGAACTCTATCGTTCAACTTGATAGAATTAGAAAACACTAGCCATTACAAGAACAGTGCTTCGCAGAATCTACCACCGGATCAGAATCGCGACCCACTGAGAAGACGCGGGCGACTATTTCATACCAACTTATCGTCTTGAAAAAAACCTATTATCCCATTACAGGAATTCGTGAAATGTCTGTTCCTAAGCGGCCAGACGGAGTTGCAGAGTCGACACCACGACGCTTCCGAGAGAGAAGACAGGGAGAGTAACTACGCCACAGTAAACAAGTTCAAAGTTAACGTGATGGCGAATTCAGCTTGCGTAGATCTTCTGGTTTGGGCCATCGGAGATGAGACAGGTATGTTATGTATGCTATTTGCCAGTTCTCTCTATTTTGCACCAGATATTCCATGGGGAGTGCTCTGAGCAATTGTTCACTGGTTGTTTATTACCATCGCACCATAGCTGGGATTATCCGGACCACTGGTCGACTAGTGGGGTGACTGCTGGTAAGGAGTCTTGAGAGACCGCACGGTTAAATACCACCAGTCTCCCTATTTCTGCCGCGAAGCAGTAAAGCGTTCCATTTTGAAAGGTAGTCGGAAGTAGTCTAAAGGTGGGTGGCGGATTTTACGTCTATGAGGCCCGGTAACCTCTTAACACCAAGTGGGTCGCAAGTTCTTTCACCTGTCTAAGCTATAAAATATACAAGCATTGCGCTCATCCACAAGACCATTCCTTTGGAATGATGAATCCCTCCTTGAAGTTTCCTGAGCGCTATGACATGTTCCACTGCAAAGGAAAAGTCTGTTTTAATGAGAGTATTCAGCGGTAGTCAGCGGCTTGGCTGTCTATATATGTATATAATATCGTAATGTCTTCATACATATATCATGGGATGGTTATTATCGTGGCTATCATGATATGTCATGATATGTAATTAGTGTCACCAGTGATCCATAGATCATAGACATAGACATTAAGACACTAATTTCCTGTCGTTTACGACTCAAATACTCAAGCTTGAGTTTTGATGGGTTTTTAAAATTCTGTTTTATGTACATCAGGGCAAGGGTCTGTTTTAATTTCTAATCAGAATCTCTTTGAAAGTTATTTGATTATCGGTGTCTTTTACCTACTCGGTAGCATCTCGTATGTGTTTCCAGGGCGGATAACACAGGAGAAAATTCTTATCTAATTATTAAATATATATTTTTTTAGGGATTTTATGACCTGGTAACTAAGACCTTTAAGTCATGTTTTATTTTAATATATGTTCTTATTTTTATGAAAAATGATAGTATGGAGTGAAATGAAATGAAGATGATTAATTTGAGATGATATGTGATGAAATGTAATCTCAGTAAAATGGTCGTAATTTACTGAGATTTTTTTCAGTAGCCATTTTGGAGGATCTCGAGAAGCTACGTCCAGATGCTTTGTTTCATTTTCCCACATTTGTGCACTTTCACAGATATTAAACACTTAATAAACCACCGTTATTACAGATTTAAACCTGAAGAAACACTAAATAGACAAAATAAAACAAATCACACCACTTCACTCCTCGCGTTCCCGCCATAAAGTCTCCTAATATATAATATTCGTATTGTCTATAGCCTATTAAAATTGTCATTATCTTTTCGTTCATTCAAATTAAATTATTTCTATAAACTAATGTGCATTTCGTATAATTTTCGATTTCAGTTGATGCAGAATTTAACGTGCCAGCACTTATAAATGCCCTAACAATCTTAATAGGTACACTCGTTTGTGTGTGAGTGAATTGCTTTAACAAAAGATTTTAAGTGATAACAACGATAAAAATATATTTTACTGCCACAAATCGATTTCGTGTCATAACGATTTTCAAAATTAGTGTTGCCAACACACAAAAAAATATGTTGCCAACATAAAAAAGTGTTGCTTTCGATCATTGATTGGCATGATGATGTTATTAAAATATTTGTGTCCCATGACTGACTAACAGTAAAACAGCAGATATATATGTTCTGTATGATTTCAATAATTAATAAATGTAATCTAAAACAACATTTAGAATATAAATTGTATGTGTCTGTAGAAATTTAAAGAAAATTCGTTACATTTTTTTTTTCAATTAATAAATTGCTTCATGACTTTTTATATCAAGGAAGATTATCCACACTTCCATACAAATATTATGAATGGGAAATTGTGTTGTTTGTTTGTGTGTTTGTTTATTTTTATTTCATGTCGAAACGAATCAACCGATTGACATGATTTTTTAAAATGGTTTTAGCTCAGGAGAGTGACACAGATTATCTTACATGCCGAAAAACTCATTTCTATGGGAAACTACACTGACATTTCCAACTGATCACGCGGGTGAAACAGTAGCTACCTAGTGCTAGTTTCTGTGTTCTTGTATTTAATAAACTGAAGGATAAAATTCCTCATAAATATTTTTATTTCAAAAAATATGTTAATTTTTAATATAGAATAACTAAATTTAATAGTGATGTTCTCAGGAGCCGATTCACTCTGCGGGCGTTTGACAGAGAAAATCAATTCGAATCACAATCACAAATTGATATTAGCTCACATGCCTCTACTGATGGTCTGTCTTGAAGTAAGTACAAAATTTATAAATAATAATGAAATCTTAAAACTTGATTTTCCTGAATAATCAAACAGAATTAAGGATATTGATTGATGATCATTGATAATTATGTAAAAGGGCACTATTGTTTTTTTTATTGCAGTATAATTGTTTTCTTATCCCGACGGGAGAAAGCGAAAATTTCGTAATTTGCATTTTGGACTAAATCACTTATTACCTTACTTATATATTATATTTAAGGCTCTTATGTAAATTTGGGTTTTTGAAGTTAGGACAATTCCGCTTTTTTCCGTCGATATTTATACTATATGCATATTATTTATATTTTATTATGCCATTTTCCATATGCACTGAAACCAAAAGTGCATCCTTTTAATTAGTTCTCACTTAATTTATTAAATGCACGTATATTTTACTATTTTATTATACGTTTATTTTTTTCAGGGTCTGGGGAAGCTGGCTACGAAATTCCCGACGATAGCCAACACCTCGATATACTGCCTAAGGGATTTCCTGGTCACACCCTCGCCGATACTGTTCAAGTTGCACAAACTCGAACTCGAGAAAACCGGGAAAGAGCACATGAAAGTCACCCGTGAGTCAATAACATTTGATTAAAGTACACCGTAAAAGCTTTTTGTAGGTATTGATCTAGATTAAGTTGAGTTCGCTCACAACCTACATATGTACATTCATGGGTCTCCCACATTGACATATGAAGTCGTGACGTTGAAGTGTTAATTGTGCTCTATGACGGATGCTCTTAACTCAATGGCGATTGCATGCGCCAGAGATGCGAATGTTGCAATGGATGTGTGGAGTAACGAGAATGGATAGAATACGGAATGAATATGTTAGAGGAAGTCTGAAAGTGGCACCTGTGACAGAGAAGCTGAGGAGTGCGCGTTCGGGATGGTATGGACATGTGATGGGACGAAATGAAAATGAATTTGCCACATACTTCTTCACAGTTTGTCTCGATCTTTTATACTGCAACTAAATAAAAAAAAAGTAGGGGAGTAAGGCGAGATCGGAATGTTACCTTCACCGACCCTATTGTCAACTCCACCTGCACGCGCCGGATGGCGGTGGCGACCAACAGGTTGCCGTGGTGCTCCCTGATAGAAAACGGACGGGGCAATGGCGACCGAGAAATGGCGGTATAACCATACACACCCGTCAGGACAACCTGTACGGAAGAGGCGTCAGAAACCTTGGGGATCAAATACCAACTAAAATGCTGGTGCAGAAGGCAACGGGAAACCACTGCACTAATTTCCCACGAGAGTCATGAGCAGGTCGTATCCGACTGATGCATGACCACGACCACTCTGTCAAGAGTGTACGAATAGGAAATAAAAAAATATGATATTACAGTTCAGGGCAAAGAGCTGCAGGGTCTAACGGAGTCTGGGGTCCCGGTCAAGTCAACGCCGTTCGAGAAGCTTCGGGACGCGGCCATCGAGAACCTGTGCGTGGCGCTGGAGGCGGCGCTCACCGTGGACCCGTACTGCGTGCCCGCGCTGGTGGGCTCCGTCAGCAACCGGCTGTTCACCGCGGAGACCAGCGACAGGTACACAACCACACTCATCAATATATTATTATGTAGTACACTCGAAGCTTACTGGTGGTAGGACGTCTTGTGCGTCGGCGCGGGTAGGTACCACCGCCCCACCTATTTCGGCCGTGAAGCAGTAATGCGTTTCGGTTTGAAGGGCGGGGCAGCCGTTGTAACTATACTAAGACCTTAGAACTCATATCTCAAAATGGGTGGCATTAACGTTGTAGATGTCTATGGACTCCGGTAAACACCTAACATCTGGTGCGTTGTGAGTTCGTCGAAAAAGTAGGTACACCAATCAGATGTACTGCCCATGGCTTGTTATTTTTATGATATTTTCAATTATATTGTTACGCGCTGGGGCTCGGGATAAATACAAATTTCACCGAAGTACAAATTAAAACTCTATTGAACACTTAGAGCACTTAAGGAACACTTTACAATCCGCAATTCGCTTCTTCCGCTTCGCTTCAGGTGATCCGTTCGCTGTTTCGCTTCGAGTACAATCGATTACTAACTGCCTTCATGTCATCTCTGCAGCGTTTTTATAGTTGACACGACAAGACTACAGTTGCACAGTCATTTCGATATATATTTCCGCTATTTGATAATAGATGGCGTTACACTTCTCGACCGTTCTCGATATTACTAGTTCTTTTGATGTTCGTTTCTGCTATTTGATGACAGATGGCGTTATTATTACCGGCGTAACAATATTGTAAATAATGTTATTTACTATGATTTATTCGCAGTGAATCTTCGTTGATAAGCACCAACATAGTGATAATGTTGGGGCACGTGGCGGTCGCGTTAAAGGACACGCCCAAAACGAGCGACACAATACTTCAATTCTTTCAACAGAGGTGAGAATACGACCGATAGAAAGACAATTGTTTATTTATCGTATTGTCAAAGATAACTTGTTAAATGTAAGTCTCTTTTATAGAATTGTAGAAAGAATCGTCAAGGGTCTATTCAAAAATAGTTCTTATGGATTTTTTAGAACACTTTGGTTTCAGATTATGTCGTGCCCCGTCATCGTTGGACACTCTCATCGTGGATCAGTTGGGCTGCATGGCCCTAGCTAGCCCCGAGGGTCCAGCACACGACGAGATCATGAGGATGTTCACTGTCATTACAGTGGAAGCTGCCAGTGCGGTATACCATCACACCGACGACAGGAAACAATACAGGTTTCAAGCAAATAAATGATTTATTGCTTTAATGTTAGAGTTAAAGAATGCTATGAAATTAATTGGAAAATAAAGGGTTTTTTTTTTTTATTCTGGTTGAATGTACGAGTTCGTGGTTCACCTGGATTAGTTATCAGAAAATAATCACAACAATAGTAAATCTTAAATTATTGCATGTGAATTGAAAAATTTGAGTTTCAAATAAAACAATTTTCAACATCTTAAACGATAAAGTCGGATCTATTCATATAATATATTTTATTCGAAATAACGTTGCTTAGATTTACAATTGCAGTCGTTTCGAAGTTCATTTATATATCAAAATGAATTCTTTGACGTTTCCAAAACTCCATATACGTAGTGTCATTTTTAATCGAATAATTAAATCATTCATTACATTCATTCATTCATCCATTACATTCATTAATTCATCCATTACATTCATTCATTACATTCATTCATTCATCCATTACATTCATTCATTACATTCTTTCATTCATTACATTAATTTATTACAGTCATCTGCTTAAATTGTAAATTGTGTACATTAAACATTCATTTGTGTATTGTGCACATTCGGCAGGCACGTGTCGGGCGCGGTGCTGAACGCGCTCGCGAACATAGCGGCGAACGTTCGCGGCACGAACGTCCGGCTGGAGCTGCTGACGCGGCTGCTGGAGCTGTTCGTGCAGCTCGGGCTGGGCGGGGAGCGCGCCACGGACCGCTCGCCCGCGCCCGTGCTCAAGGCGTCCGGCAGCGCGGGCAACCTCGGCGTGCTCATACCCGTCATAGCGGTCAGTCAACACGGGCTCTAGTTCGAAGGGTGGGGGGAGGGGAGGGTAGCCGTCATATAACTGTAGGATTGGTAAGAACGGACCGTATGAAAAGAGTGTGGAATAGAGCGTTAAGGTGTGAGCGAGAGAGTAAATTAACTCACAGACATAGCTCACTGAGTTTCTCGCCGGATCTTCTCAGTGGGTCGCGTTTCCGATACGGTGGTAATGCGAAGCACGGCTCTTGCTAGGGTTCTTATCAGCAACATCGTGAGGTTTGGGCCCCGTGAGTTCACTTACTAGCTCGATGAATCTAGGTTACTAGAATAGGTAAGAAAAAATTGTCTGTTCGAAAGGGGGGTAGCCGTCATACTACATAACTGTAGGATTGGTAAGAACGGAACGCATGAAAAGAGTGTGGAACGGAGTGTTAAGGTGTGAGTGAGAGAGAATGATAAGAAAGGGAAAAGAGCATGACAGACAGAATGACAAAGAAAAGGGATGATGACGAAGACGGTTAAATGAGCAAGGCGTAAAAGCTGTCAGTTGATTTTAGAAAAGAAGAATAAAAGTGTAACAGTGGAGTAGTTTAATTTTATGCCCCACGATTCCAATTCTACGTAACTGAGGCTTAGAACTCATGTCTCAAGGTGGATGGTGGCGTTAACGTTGTTGATGTCTATGAGATCCGGTAAACACTCAACACAAAGTGGACCTTGAGTTGGTTCACCCGTTTAAGCAAAAAAACTCATTGACGACTTGAAATTCGTCGATCACCTTGAAAAATGTTAATTAAATTGGAACATCTACTAAGACTTTAACACGCGGTTATTCACTTGAGCTTTATCTATCTATCGATAATAATGGAGTCTTTTAACAGACTCTCTGACGCACTGATTGACTTGAAAATTCGCATACGTATCAATCGTTTTTTTTAATTGACCTTATAAGAAGACGAGCACATGTCCCACCTGATGGTGAGTGGTTACCGTTGCTCGTGGACGTCAGCAATACCAGGGACAGCCAAGCCGCTGTATCCCCCTGAAATAGTACCTGAGATAGTTGTATCTATACTAATATATAAATCTACAGCGGTTTTTACGGATGTTCCGTTATAACTACTGGACCATGCATCCGATTGACTTAAAACTTGGTATCCGTGTAGAAAATACATGTACTTAATGGATAGGCTAATATTTATATGAGTGTTGGACTCCGTACACCAGTTACGGAGGCGTTAATGATGAGAATATTTGTGGGGATGAGAAATAATAATATGAATTTTAAATGCCCAGCGAAGCGGACGGGTACAGCTAGTTATACAATAAACGTCAATATTTTTGTATCGCAGGTTCTAGTGAAGAGACTCCCACCGATCAAGAACCCGAAACCGAGATTGCACAAGCTGTTCAAAGACTTCTGGCTGTACTGCGTCGTGATGGGATTCACTGCGGCGGAATCAGGTGGCTACCATTCGTTTTTCTCCAACGTTTAATCAGATACAGATTTTAATGAATTTTATCAATCACTCTCAAATGATAATCGATTTCAATTTCGTTGATAAGTAAACGCATCGAGCTATTATCGGTAGTCAAATGTATTGTTTATAAAATTTGAATCGAAGATTTACTACTAAGTATACTGAGATTAACTATACTGAGGCCTTAGAACTCATATCTCAAAGTGAGTGGCGGCATTTATGTTGTAGATGTCTATGGGCTCCAGTAACCATTTAACACCAGGTGGGCCATGAGATCGTCCACCAATCTATGCAATAAAAAAAAAAATTTAAAGAACTTGTCGATTCGAAATCGATTTTAAAAAGTCGCGGATTAATATCGATTCGTTGCTTTAGTAGTGAATAACATGAATGACTCGATGCGTTCACTTTTAGAACTACCCTCAATTTATTACTGCACTTTGCTCTGGTACTATTATGTATGGCAACGTTTCTCAAATATTTTTAAAACTTTTCCTATTAAAAAAGTAAAACTGGAAATGCGATCGTAAAATTTAAAAAAAACCTATGATAAAGCAAGACTCCTCTTACGTCAGATGTATCTTCTTGTCGCCAGTTCATTTGAAGATCTTCGTTTACGATCTATGTGTATTCATGTGGGTTGACTTCCAATTGATTATCGGGTCACAGACAAACGTCACTATTGCTTGCTGTTATGATAACATTGTAACTTCCACTTCGTGGCTGTAGTGGCTACCTTCCCCAAACCAGGTGGACAATGAGCTTTTAGCCGTCATAAAGAAAACTATTTAAAAATTCATTAAACAGCCGCTTTCGATCTTGGAGGTTTTAAAATTGATGGAAATCGAATATAGATAATAGAACTGTATATGATCTAGCGGACCCGACAGACGTTGTCCTGTGAATGCATACACAAAATGTTATTCAAGTCGATCCAGCCGTTTAGTTGCAGTATAGATAAATAACGTGGGTACCGACTGCAGCGCCATCTGCCGGGCTGATTTGTGAATCTAAGCCAAATAGGGCGCCACCTAAACTCATACAAAAAAATTCCTTCAAATCGATCCAGCCGCTTAGGAGGAGTTCAATTTATATTCTAAGCGGTCATGAACGAATGTTTTAATCTGATTCCGCAACTAAAATGTTTGAGAAACGATGCCCATTGAACTATGTACTTATTAAAACTGCCCTCTTATATGTATGAGTTTATTTAAACGTCTCATTGTCTCTTCTCTATGGCAACGCCTTTAGTTATGCGAAAGCGTGAGTAAAAATGCTTGTAGAAATGTATATATTATTTTGATGACTTAGAAGTATGTTGTTTGGATTTCACGTTTCCTTGATAGTAGTTGATATCTCTCGTGTATGGCTCTGTGTTTTCTCTGATATTGTTTTTCCCATTTGCTGGTAGCTTAAAAGGCCGACACTGGCCCTAGCAAGGGCAGTGCTTCGCAGAATCTACCACCGGATCGGAATCGCGATCCTTTGAAAAAATCGGACGAGAAACTCAGTGCGAGTGAGATATACTTTAAACTAGAAAGCGAAATAAGCATTAAATATACATTAAAATGTCAGCTAAAAGCACAGTTTACTTAGGTACTTTAATCTGTAATATTCTCAATAATATTAATATAATAGATATAATAAACACAGCGCCATAGACGTGATCTATAAACAGGCATTGAGAGCACTAAACTATCATTATTATTCGTTAATGAAAAAATAGCGTATGTTTCGTTTTCCAAAATAAAATAAAAAATATAATGAAAAGTATTTCAAGGGGTGAAAGGCTATTTGGTGTAAGCGACATTTCGCTTAATACGCGACATTTATCTTTGTAATTAAAGGTACAGTTGTATTTGATATTAGCATCACCAATCCGGTATTTTTAATTGAACTTCAATTGAGGCCGTCAGCGCAAAAGTGGCCATTTTTTTAATGCTGTTGAATCCATTTACGGATACCCAGTCCGGGGGGGGTAACGAAACAGGTTATGTCGGACTCCGGCGCCTCCTGAGAGGATGAGGGGGACGAGGAGGGCCAAGGTTCTCCACCTCCCCGAATTCCTCGCAGGAAACTACGCCTTAAAAAAGGCGCGCGAGGCGCTCGCCCCGCAAAACCAACTACCGACTAAACCCCATCGAGCTCCACCATGGTTACACCTACGGTACCGCAGTGCGCGCCGAAAGTCTACCCTCGCCGGTACCCGTCCTGACGATAAGACGGGATTTCATCTCCGGGAATATCCGGAAGGACGTCGTCTCGGGAGACACACCGAGGGTGAGCAGGAGCTTCACTATGGATAGGCCGGCTTTGCATCAAAATTTATTATTTTTAAATAAGTAACAATATACATAATTTTAAGTATGATTATGAAAAATTGTGGGTTAGCCCACTTTTCCGCTGACGGTCTCAATTAAGTTACCCTATTCGAATAGCTGAAGAAGTTTTTTTTTGTGATGATATTTTCTAATGTTGCAAAATCCTTTCATCCCTCGATTTAGTGTTTGATCTAATTTTTGTAACGATACGCTTCTAGGCAGTAAAATTAGTAAAACGCATCTCTGTGTGTTTAATTTTCAATAGGTGTTTAATGAAAATGCTTTTTTTTTATTGGTTTCTCGATTGTGTGCGGTGTTTCTTTTACGAGATTTTCGTGTGAATTTAGAGAACTTTAGTTGTTGTTGTTGTTTTGTTTAGTTAAAAGAAACGATTTAAAACGTGCTAACTTTATAACAGGACACTACAATGCTAAATAACATAGATCTTCTTTCGACTAAATTTATATAAAATTTTAATTAAAAGCAAATTTTTAATAGTTTTTATCTTCAGCAAATCTTAAACGGTCCCGTGAAAGCGTAAAGCTTGATTAATTAGTGAATTTCTAAAACACAGAAGCGGATCACACGTCAAATTAATATCAATGTTTCTCGATGAAAACCTCACAGGTCTATGGCCGCAGGAGTGGTACACGGGCGTGAAAGAGATAGCCGTCAAATCACCTTACCTTGTCTCGCAGACGTCGTTACGTTCGGAAATGCGGGAGTTGCAGTACACTTCGGCGGTAAGGAACGACTCGGTGTCGATAAACGAACTACAAGAACTGAAGACTCAGATATTGAACTTGCTGGAGCACGCGGCCGACATAACGGTCATAGTGAATAAGCTGAGTTTCGCGCCCTGCATGTACATATTGAGCGTCTATTGGCTGGAAACATTGAGGTGAGTAAGTATAGAATATCAAATTTTTTTTTTACTATAGCTGACAGTGTGCTTATTGCGAGTTTATTTATTTATTTTTCTTCGAGCCCATGAATTGCCAATGTTATGTACGCCATTATTGTCAAATGCATCATCAGGCCATAAATTAAATAGTTTATGTTATTTTCAATATAAAATGTTTGTGCGAGTTTATTTATTTATTTAATAAAGTACTGCCACAGTACTTGGCACTTGGTACATAACATTGGCAATTCATGGGCTCGAAGATGGAATACAATAATTAAAGAAAAAAAGATTAACAAATAAAAACATTTATTAACGCTCTCGATACAGCAAAAGTTAATTTAAATTTGTATGCAGTTGTAACAGCGCCCCTAGCGGCAAACGCAAGCAAACGTTCCAATTCCATACAAATTTAAGTTAACTTTTACGCAATCGAGAACTTTAAAAAACCCTCACTAAGCACACAGTACATATACACTAATGCAGCTTATTTAGGATAAGTAAACAAAAACTCAAACAAATTTCCATTATTAACACAACAAATGAATAGATAGCGAATTGAATTTAATGACTTAAAATTTACAAAAACATTATAAAGTAAAACAATAAAAAACAATACTAATACTAAAAATCGGATCTTACAATATATTATGTATTAATTCTAACTGTCTCACCGCTTAAACTGGAACTCTTAACTACATCGTGGCAGAAACATAATCTATTAATTCATATTATTATTATTCCGCGCTGGGGCTCGTGATGAATGAAATTATCTTTCACCGAAAAACAAATTGAAAATCAATTCGTCGTCGTGGCCTAAGCGAAAAGACGTCCGGTGTATTCGTGTTGAGCGATGCACCGGGTGTTCGAATCTCAGGCGGCTACCAATTTTTCTAATGAAATACGTACTCAACAAATGTTCACGATTGACTTCCACGGTGAAGGAATAACATCGTGTAATAAAAATGAAACCCGCAAAATTATAATTTGCGTAATCACTGGTGGTAGGACCTCTTGGGAGTCTGCACGGGTAGGTACCACCACCCCGCCTATTTCCGCCGTGAAGCAGTGAAGCGTTTCGGTTCGAAGGGTGGGGTAGCCGTTGTAACTATACTGAGACCTTAGAACTTGTATCTCGAGGTGGGTGGCGCATTTACGTCGTAGATGTCTATGGGCTCCAGTAACCACTTAACACCAGGTGGGCTGTGAGATAGTCTACCCATCTAGGCCATAAAAAAAAAATTTGAATTATTATAACACTTAAGGTAGAATTCACTTTTTTCCACGTCACTTCGGATCTTCCCGATCCACTAACGGTGCTTTTAGGTACCTCAAGCACCGGTCATCGTTCTCGTCGAACCCGTCGCTTGAGACGAAGGGCTCGACGTGTAAATGAACCCACATACACAGCACACCGAGTTCCTCGACGGATCATCTTAGTGGGTTGCGTTTCTGATCCGGTGGTAGATTTTGCGAAACACGGTTCTTGTTAGGGTTCGTGCTAGCAACTAGTGAAGGTTACGCTGAAATAGCCTCTTAAGGCTTTCAGCTTAGGTAGGAAAAAAATCACTTTGTCGCATCGCTTTAAGTGATCCGTTCGATGTTTCGCTTCATGTCTTTGCAACGCTTGTATAGTCCAGAACATTTCCGATAGTACTAGTCGTTTAGATATCCGTTTACGCTCGATGATTACAGATGGCGTTACTCTTACCACCATAACAATAAATATTTATGTATTTTCAGGGTGTGCAATTCACCGGAGCCCAGCTTACAACCGATCATAGAATATTTAAGTGATACAACCTTACAAAAGGATAAGGCCGGAATGTGGCAGTGCGTAGCGAGGTATGCCACTATTAATGTTTTTAGATAGATATAATTAGATATATTTTTTTTTTTATTATATATTTTTTTTTAACGGCCGTCTGGTGTAGTTGTAAGTGACATGGTCACTACACAAGGGGGTCGCGGGTTCAAATCCCGCCAAGGGAAGATATTTGTATGATAAATATAAATGTCTTTTCCAGGGTTATATATGTATGTGTATGATAAAAATCTTACATTTATATCCGTATATCCATAACGGTTACCCCACCCTTCGAACCGAAACGCATTACTGCTTCACGGCGGAAATAGGCGGGGTGATGGTACCTACCCGTGCGGACTCCCAAGAGGTTCTACCACCAGCATATAAGATAAACATTTTCTATATTTGTATAGATTCTGGCGTCTTCTTGTTTAGTGATGACACTGAATTCCCAGTCGGTGATATGATTATGACGATTTGAGAATTGCCCCTACAGGGCTACTAGTGTAAAATACATTTTGATATTGATTGCGGCAGTAAAGTGACGTCGTCGTGGCCTAAAAGATAAAACGTCCGGTGCATTCGTGTGTAGCGATGCACCGGTGTTCGAATCCCGCAGGCGGGCACCAATTTTTCTCTTAAAATACGTACTTAACAAATGCTCACGATTGACTTCCACGGTGAAGGAATAACATCGTGTAATAAAAATCAAACCCACAAAATTATAATTTGTGTAATTACTGCTGGTAGGACGTCTTGTGAGTCCACGCGTGTAGGTACCACCGCCCTGCCTATTTCTGCCGTGAAGTAGTAATGCGTTTCGGTTTATGAAAATGCTCGAAATGCTAAAAACAAACAATTTTGTTTTTCCTTTGATGTGTCCCCCTGTCGGACCCTTTTGTTTTTTTTTTAAGTTTTTTTTTATACAAAAGCAAGTCTTTTATTTACCGATTGAGGCACTACGAAATCAGCCGGGTCAGCTAGCTATGCAATAAAAAAAGTTGTTTAAGTGGGGAATGTCTTTCCGGTGTCGTGTGTGTGACGTGATGAATGCTGTCGTCGACTTCAGCGTCGGCGACAAGGTGTTCCAGAAGTTTCTCGACGTGATGTCGCAGAAGGTGAAGGACGACTCTCGCGAGCGCGAGCTGGAGGGCCACGCCCAGTTCCTGCTGGTCAACTTCAACCACATCCACAAGCAGATCCGGCGCGTCGCCGACCAGTGGCTCGCCAGGCTCGTTGACAGATTCCCGCATCTGTTGTGGAATTGTCGGGTGAGTCGATGTTTTTTTTATTGCTTAGGTGAGTGGACGAGCTCACAGTCCACCTGGTGTTAAGTGGGTACTGGAGCCCATAGACGTTCACAACGTAAATGCGCCACCCACCTTGAGATATAAGTTCTAAGGTCTCAAGTATAGTTACAACGGCTGCCCCACCCTTCAAATCGAAACGCGTTACTGCTTCACGGCAGAAATAGGCAGGGTGGTGGTACCTACCCGCGCGGACTTACAAGAGGTCCTACCACCAGTAAAGTCAACCAGTCTTTTGGTTTGTTGATGAAAGTTTTACCTTAGTCCTCAAAAGGTCGTTACGAAAACGATTGAGTATGAATAAATCAGCGCGTGATGTGAATTGAGAGATTTTGTGCATAATACAAGAAGTATCGTCTCGAATCGATAAACACTCTTATTTTCGATTCAAAGTCGGCTATTAAAAAAGACGGAAATTTAAGACAAAGATAAAAAATTATCGATGGGTAAAACACGGAACATTTATGTTTGTAATTAAAGGTCTGTTTTATTTTGTATTAGCATCAACAGATCGAAGTTTTTAAATAAACTTCAGCTATTTGAATGAAATAGCTGAAGAAGTTTTTTTTTTTGTAATGATATTTTTAATTTTAAAACTCCAATAATGTAACTCAAGGTGTAAAAAAATTACCTAAAATATTCTTTACATCGCGCGCCCTGCGAAAACTATTGATGATAGAATAAAATAATGTACTACGACTTTGTAGAACACATTATTTTTTACAAAAAGCGTCACGACGGCATATGTCTAACTATTATAGTTATGCCGCAATAAGTGTTCTTTTATTTAGAAAAATAAAACAACGTCAATAATCGTTGAAATTTTTTTTAAAGACCAGATCGGAGCCGGAGCGGGCCGCTAGTCACTACATAGTATAAAATAAAGTCGCTTTCTCTGTCCCTATATCTGTCTGTCCCTATGTATGCTTAAATCTTTAAAACTACGCAATGGATTTTGATGCGGTTTTTTCTAATAGATAGAGTGATTGAAGAGGAAGGTTTATATGTATAATAACATCCATTAAATAGTGGAGAAATCAATAATAAATTACAGTTTCCGAAGCGAAGCGAGGGCGGGTCGCTAGTAATAAATAAAGTCCAAAGTGCATCTCGTTTAAGTGACATCTCATAACTGACGAACAACGTTAAAAATGATTTCAGGTGCTTTGGTCCATGCTGGATATATTGCAAGTGCTGAGTTTCAGTCTCGAGTTGGACGCGAACCAGGAAACGCCGCTGCTTAAAGTTCCCGGGACAGATTTCACTTTGCAACTCCAAGACACGTTGGAAGGGAGAGAGGTAAAAACAATTGAAACGTCAATTTGTTATATCGAAGTTACAGTTTCCCACATTGATATTGTTAACTTGACTGCTATTTATGTATTAAAGGAATCTCAAGACGTTGTGACTAACTTGAAAATCTACCTGGAAACGTTTCGGGTACTGATGACAGAACAATCATTTTATTACTTATTTTTATTTTACCTGATAATATCCTGGTCATGATAATTACTACCATCTAAACAATAAACAAAAAAAAATACCATTAAAAATACGATAGTTTTAATTATTCGTAGGGTATCGACATCGTTATATAAAAAAAACAAGTTTTCATTGTGTCTGTTTGTGTCAGTCAATCTTTGAAATTCGTCTATTCGTCTAATGTATTTGCTTTTGTAGCCTTTTAGTGCTGACCTTATTTTCAAATATTTTGCTAAAAGTGCTAAAAGATTTTTGATAAAAAACTACCTTATAAAAAATTTTAACTTAAAAGAGAAATAGAAAAATCAATGATAAATTCAAAGCGAATGAAATCGAAGTTGCGCAAATAGTCGATATTCCGACGCCCCCCACTCCGAGAGTCGATATATCGACGGTTCGTGCTCAAGGCATTAATAATGAAAATTACGTTTTTTCTTCCTCAGAGCATAGTCAAAGACTTCGCCGACCGTTGTCACGGCATCGTCCAGGAAGCCATGAAGTGGGCCCCGCAGTCCACCCGCTCACACCTGCAGGAGTACCTCAACCAGGTCCGGCGCGTGCAATCATACTAGTGACTAGTGAACGGCTATTTGGTTTATGCGACATTTCCATATTTTTTTTTCTACCTAAGCTGATGGTCTTGAGAGACCTCATCAGCGTCACCGGTTTAGTGGAGTTCACGGAGCTCAAACCTGACGACGTTGCGAACACGAGCCCTAGCAAGAGCAGTGCTTCGCAGAACCTACCGCCGGATCGGAAACGCGACCCACTGATAAGATCCGGCGAGAAACTCAGTGGGCTGTGTCTGTGGGTTAATTTACTCGTCAAACCCTTCGTCGATGACCGGTGCTTGGGGTACCTAAAAGCACCATTAGTGGATCGGGAGGATCCGAGATGAGATTCCGTTTAATACGCGACATTTATCTTTGTAATTAGATGTCCGTTTTATTTGGTATTATTAGTTTCAACAATTCGATGTTTTTAATTGAACTTTAACTAAGTTTACCTCATTCGAATAGCTGAAGAAGTTTTTTGATTATGATATTTTTTGGGCCGTGGAAGTGGGCCGGCCAGATATGCCGTGGCACTGACAATCGGTAGGGCACTAAAATACTGGAGTGGAGATCTCGTACTGGACGTCGTAACGTGGGCGGACAGCCAACGAGGTGGACCGATGACCTGGTCAAAGTAGTTGGTAGAGACTGGACGAGAAAGGCAAGAGACCGAAGAGAACGGTGTGCATTCGAGGAGCCCTACACTCAGCATTGGCTGGATACGGGTTGAAGAAGAGATATTTTTTTCCAGATTTTGAACTTTAAATGGATCTCCTGTAAAGTTGCAAAAGTCGCTCATACCAAATAGCCTTTCACCCCTCGATGTATTTCATATCGTCATATAGTGACTCTTACAAATGACTGCTCCATATTGTTTCCGATGTTTCAAATAGACTTTCCCGTTTTCGTCGTCATGATGTCGTCCGGTGTAAAAGTAGTTTTAGTTATGTCCATGACGCCGCTTTTTATTTCATTGTAGATAGCACATTGTGCTAATGGAAAAAAAAGATGTTTTTGTTATTGTAAAACAGTAAAGATTGCATTAAATGTTATGTAAATATATTTCTCAAAATAGTTGTAGTTGAGTGTATTGTTGATACTCACAGGTAGGTATTGCTATCCTGCCTATTTCTGCCGCGAAGCATTCATGAGTTTCGGTTTGATAGGTGCTGCAACCGTTCTTTTGTATACTCAACATATTGACCTCATGTCGACCACATCACCTAGTTTTTTTAAATGATTTCATTGCCCTTGTAGGCAGACGAGCATACGACCCACCTGATGGTGAGTGGTTACCGTCGCCAATGGATTTTAGTAATCCTAGGGGCAGAGCCAAGCCTCTGCCTACCGCTTAATACTCTCCACAAGCCTCGTTTGAAGAAGGACATGTCATAGCGCTCGGGAAACACCGTGGAGGGGAGCTCATTCCAAAGCCGGATGGCAGTGGCTCCAGGTAGTATGGATGAATTCTACTCCGGTGGCGGGCGGTGCGATGATAAAAACAAGATGATGGTATCATCTAAAACAATTCCTCAGAGCTAGATAATTAACTTGTTCGCTGATGTAGTGTAAGAAAAAAAACATATCGACGCTTGAAAGGCAAACGTGACTAAGCGACAATAACTGCTTTGTACATAAATGATAGGCAATAACCATATTTGATGCGCAAAAAAAATATATTTCTAGGTCTATTAAAATCATTTCAATCCTACAGCTAGATACGTTAAAATAGAATATTTTTTTTAGGTATTTCAAGTTTAAATTAGTCTACTGTAAAGTTCACGCATTGTCGCTTAGTCACGTTTGCTTTTCAAGCGTCGATATAGTTATCTTAAGCGTTACACGTCCCTATTGAACAGGTCCCGAACTCGACGCTGTGGCACCACTGCGGGCTCGCGCTGGCGACGGGCGCGCTGCTCGGAGCCGCCGGCCTCAACCGGATGTCCGCGCCCCTGCCCCGCGCCGCCCTCGACAAGCGCCCGCCCTGCGTCACGCAGGACTCGGCCGCCTTGCTCGCCGTCGTGTCGCAGAGGAGTCGATTTGCCGGGGAGGTGCGGTACTCGATCAGACAGGTTTACTGGTGGTAGGACCTCTTGTGAGTTCACGCGGGTAGGTGCCACCACCCTGCCTATTTCTGCCGTGAAGCAGTAATGCGTTTCGGTATAAAGGGTGGGGCGGCCTTTGTAACTATACTGACACCTTAGAAGTAATATGTCAAGGTGGGTGGCGCATTTACTTTGTAGATGTTTATGGGCTCCGGTAACCATTTAACACAAGGTGGGCTGTGAGCTCGTCCACCCATCTAAGCGGACTCACAAGACGTCATACCACCGGTAAATATCGTAACCTCTGTCGGCACTGAGTGCGAGCGTTGTCCTGACAGATAGCGGGCGCGGTGAGCGCGGAGGGCGGCGGCGAGGCGGCGGTGTGGCGCGTGGCGGCGCGGCTGCTGGGCTCGCTGCGGGAGGCGGGCGCGGCGGGCGAGACCGCGCACCGCGCCGCGCTGTGGCGGGCCGCCGCGCTGCTCGTGCACGCCGCGCAGCACAGCCCCGCCGCGCCGCTCACGCGCCGGCTGCTGCACGCCGTCGGTCTGTACCTGTACTCCCTGCACTAGCGAACTTTTTTTTTTCGGACGAGATGCCGAACTTCCTACTAGGAATCCCGCGACTAGGGGTATGTGGGACTGGGCAGCGACTGCGAGACCGCGGACCCAAGGATGATGCACTAGCGACCTGACTTTGCCTTCTTTTCCCCTACCTATGCTGATAGCCTTGAGAGGCTATTTCAGCTTCTCCTTGACGTGTACCTGAGCTCACGGGGTTCAAACCGGGAATGTTACCAACACTGGCCCCAGCAAAAGCAGTGCTTCGTAGAATCTACCACCGGATCGGAACCGTGACCCACTAAGATGATCCGGCGAGAAACTCAATGGGCTGTGTCTACGGGTTGGTGGACCGGTGCTTGAGGTACCTAAAAGCACCGTTAATGGATCGGGAGGATCCGTAATGACGTGAGTTAGCTCGCATAACGACAATACTGTCGCAGCCTCAATGGTCAAACCACAACACAGAATAGCAACACGGCAGAATTTAGACACGTAGTGATTCAGACATCTGACATTACAAATATACCGATAAAAAGTATTATTCCTGTGGACTATTATTTTTCGATCAAATAAAACATTTTAAATTTACATTAAAATAAAAAAATATGCATTAAAATTGGACCGACGCGTTGTTTTGCGTTAATGTATGAATATCGTTGTCATGTAGCCTGGTCCCAAGTGGAGCTCTTCACGGAGGACGCGGTGACGACGGCGGTGGAATGCTGGCAGTGGCTGACCACGGCCCGGCCCGACCTCGAGCTGCGTCTCATGCAGGAGATATTTGCGGCCTGGCAGTGCACCGTGGACCGGAAGATGGGCCTTTTCTCCAAGCAGACCGAGGAGACCAGCCCTCTGGCGGCGTACGAAGGTAAACTATATGAGGCTTAATGAAAACGATCAACATTAGCGGTAGGCAGCGGCTTGGCTCTGCCGCTGGCATTGCTGAATTCCATGGGCGACGGCAATTACTCACCATCAGGTGGGCCGTGTGCTCGTCTGCCTAAAAGGGCAATAAAAAAAAACAAAATGTGTGCAATTCACACGTGGTAGAAGTGAAACCTTCCAAAATTAAAATACAATTATCCTAAACGTCTTAAGTATATGTAAAATTTTGTCATTAGTAAATAATTGTAAGTTAGCGCCCTCTGTGAATTGATATTTTAATTTCACGTATAATCCTAAATTAAAATTCACTACAAGAGCTTTCATACACACGTTAGTATTAAAAAATCTCACAGATGGCGCTGTATTAAATAGTATGTATATTTCTGTCTCATTCTTTGCTGGCTTCATCCTACACATTTTTGTATTTGTGTCTCTTACCTGTCGTTTTTTCCGTTGCATCCGGTTTGAAATCACAACGATTCTAAAGAAGTTTTCACTTCAAAAACGTTATTTAAAATTTAAAACTACTTTTACCTGTAAAACTGTGAAAGTATTCGAATGGTCGGAAATAATAATAACAAGCTTTTATTGCTGTTTTACTTAATAATTACTAACTTAATAAAATACTTAATAATAACTTAAATTTAAATCCTACTTATAATAGAGTATTTCGTTCGACGTTCGGTGTGGTTTTTCAAAACAGCTTGTCTCTCGACAAAGGGCTCTAAAGATTGACAATCTCTATATATAAAAATGAATTGCTGTTCGTTAGTCTCGCTAAAACTCGAGAACGGCTGAACCGATTTGGCTAACTTTGGTCTTTAATTATTTGTGGAAGTCCAGAGAAGGTTTAAAAGGTAGATAAATATGAAAATGCTCGAAAATTAAATAAAAATAACAATTTTGTTTTTCTTTTGATGTGTCCCCCGTCGGACCAATTCCTTTTGTTTGTTTTAAGTTTATTTTATACAAAAGTTTAGGTATTTTATTTATCGAGCGAGGCACTACGAAGTCTTCCGGGTCAGCTAGTATTCTCCATTTTTGGCCATTCGTCTTCAATGTATATTATACTCTATATATAGCTATACTCTATATTTCATCTTCTCAACGTTTTGGCTGCCTCCCTTTTTTTCTACAGCCGTCGATTCTACAGATTCGAATCGTCAGAAATAATAAAACGCAAGTAATAAACACGAGATGAAATCTTAAAAGTAGTTTTAATGATTATTTTACTATTTATTTTCGACAGGTTCAAAACTGGAGCCCCGACCTCCGTTCGTGGCCCCGCACGCGGTGTGGGTCCGCTACTTGTGCGAAGTGGCGGAGACCGCCAAATACAACAGCCAGGAGAAGGTCGAGATGCTGGCGAGCCTGCTGCACCGGTGAGTCGCACGTGACGTCACCAACGAATACCTTCATCTCATTAATACTCAATCTCCTTCCTTCAAACACGACCGGAACAGACAAAATGAAATAGGTTACTATAGATATAGAAGTCAATGCGATTTATTCATATCTCTGAATTGTGTTTGGAATTTGGAATGGAATTTCTTGAATTGAATTATTGCCTTGGATGAACTATGTGAAAGAAGATATGCGAGAGAGGAGATTCAGTGATAGGTATGAATTTAATAAGAGAATATGCAGCGCCGACTCTACATAGTGTAGCTGGATGTGAGCAAGAAGTAGAAGAAAGATCATAATATCCGCTAAGAGCTGGGATTCACTATAGGAGAATTTAGAACTGGTGGTAGGACCTCTTGTGAGTCGGCACGGGTAGGTACCACCGCCCTGCCTATATCTGTCGTGAACCAGTAATACGTTTCGGTTTGAAAGGTGGGGTAGCCGTTGTAACTATACTTGAGACCTTAGAACTTATATCTCAAGGTAGGTGGCAGCATTTACGTTATAGATGTCTATGGGCTCCAGTAACCGTTTAACACCAGGTGGGCCGTGAGCTCGTCCACAAACCTAAGCAATAAAATACATATCCCCATTCAAATGAGTATTGCTTTATTAATTTAGTCTCTAATTAACTATAATCCGGGACGTAGTTTTTGCGTAGTTAAAACTCAAAGCGTGTTGTTATTTTTTTTTCAGATCTTTGCCGATCACTGTGGGCGATTACCGCGATCACATAAACAGACACGTCGAAGCAGTCGGAGTCAGATTCAAGTGAGAATTCAAGAGAGGATAATTCGTGTCTTAGGAATTTTAATTAACATGTTTATGAGTCATTAAGCAACCGTTTTTTTTTCGATTTTATTTATAGGACTGTCATTTCAAACTAATATTTTTGATATATTTCGTAAATTGTCTTAGAAAATTGTATGTGGTTAACGATATTAAAATAAAAATCAATTCAAAAATAATAGGGGAGTTGTTTTTAATTGAACAATGACGTCATGGTTCAAATTCGTTTACAAATTCCATACATAAAACAGCTTTGCGAGAAAGGGATAGAGCATACGCACGAATAACGTTAACCCATAAACTTCGATATATGATAATGAACTTCAATAATTACATCAACATTAACAAATGTTTTTGTCTCTTTCAGACTCCTCTCGTGCGGTCTCTCTCTACTGCAAGGCGACATACTGCCGCGCTCGCTGGCCCGGAACATACTCCGCGAACGCGTGTACAGCGCCTGCTTGGACTACTTCTGCCGAGGGATCCAGTGCCCGTCGAAAAGCTCCGGAGCTTTACGAGAAGATATCATATCGTTGATAAAGTTCTGGCAACTCATGCACTCGGATAAGAAGTATTTGAAGAGCAGCGATATAGGTGGTGAGTAATGTCAATCTTTAATTTAGATATTAGAATGAGTATTGTTCTATCGTTTGAACTGGTACGCGTGTTTACTTCGCGGCAGAAATATACTGGTGGTTCTTATGCTCTGGTATCAGTTTAGTACCTGAAGGGCAGTGAGCTCGTCCGACCTCCCTAAAGAAATAAAAAAAACAGGTGTGGCACTCTGGGACTGCCGCGGTAAAGCTATTGCATAGCATTTTTTATCAACGTATGCAATTATAATAAGACAATAATAATTTCATATTAAAACAATAATAAAATAAGACCACGCTATATTTATAAACATTAAAAAAAGCAAAACATTAACTGTCCCCTTCACACTCATAAGCTAGAACGCGCGAGAGAGAGATGGGCAGACTTTTCATGATGCGTTCGCAGTGCGACGTCACGCCGCGCGCTTATTCACAAACACTACACAAGCGCAACGTGTGAATGTGTTGAACGCGAGTTACATGGTAGGCGGAGTGGGGGGGTGTCAGGTTTTATTTTCGTTACGGAATTTCTTGATTCGGTCACCGCGCTCAAAACCCGCAATAAAAGCTATGCAATAGCTGCATAAAAATTGCTTTTTAAATCTCGAATTACTATCGTGTCTCTCAACGCTGTGTGTTGTGTTACAGGTGAATACGAGCTGATGGGTCCGAGCAGCCAGCAGAGCCTCTACACGTCGAACTCGCCCACGGACAACAGGTCCTCGGTCAACAGCAGCGACATCGGCAGCCGCCAGACCACGGGCTGGATCAACACGGTATTCCGTTCATACTGCACTCTAAACTTTGATAATTAATCGCCAACATTTTTAAAAGATATGACGTCAGGTGCGCACGTGCCGAGCGTTTGTGTTCGTATCCCGCAGGCAGGCACGTGCTGTTTTAAAGAAGCACGTACGGGACACGTGCTCACGGACGACTTTCGCAGTGAAGAAATGACGTCATGTAATAAAAAAATTGGTCCCATATCCATGTCGTCATCTATCTTGTTTGTTATTATATAAAGTACTATCTTTCAAAGAAATAGCCGAGTGGTGGTAGCTACCCGTGTGGGCTCTCAAAACGACCAGCGGGTAGCTAGTGGTAGTAGTAACTACCCTCTTATTATTTTGTTGAATTTAGGGTATTTGTAATATTTGATTCTGATTTTCCTCAGGTACCAATGTCTACAACCACGCTGAGCAGCGGAGCGGGTAGCATAGCAGGGAAACGATCTAACCGAAGCGTCAAGCCGCCCGTCAAGCAACAGGACACGTACGTCAAGGACTACGTCAGGAAAAGGAATCTTATATTGGAGCTTATGGTAAGTTTGGATATTGGCTTTTTATCGGCACTAATAACGAACAGACACACGTCCCATCTGATGTCGAGTAGTTGCCGATGTAAACACGTCCCTCGTGAACCACTTTAAGGTATAACGTGGAAGGTACTGGCCATTGTAATGCACAGTAGGACTAGCCTAACTCGGCGCATTAGGAGTTTGAGGTCAAGGGTTCTCGGATCGAGAAAAGGCTGCCTGATATATGTATGTGAGTCCCCCACTTCTGAGCCACTTGTCTATAGTAATATTATGATGAATGTAATTTATATCTTCACGTAAAAAAAAATATTTTTTTTTTATTATTATTTTTGCTTAGAGGGAAGGACGAGCTCACAGCCCACCTGGTGTTAAGTGGTTACTGGAGTACATAAATGTGCCACCCACCTTGAGATATAAGATCAAAGGTCTCAGTATAGTTACAACGGCTACCTCAACCGTTAAACTGAAACGCATTACTGCTTCACGGCAGAAATAGGCAGGGCGGTGATACCTACCCGTGCGGACTCACAAGAGGTCCTACCACCAGTAAGAGGTTATTGACGAAATATTATAGAAAAAACTATATATCGCATCTTTAGAATTGAAGTGGCTTAATTCAATATTATTGTATTTGAAGAATTGTGATATTTTATATAATTGGTAGGTAGTATTATAGGTTGCCTAGATTTACATGACGAAATTGACAACCCGTGCGGACTCACAAGAGGTCCTACCACCAGTTCACGATGAACACAAATTTTAGGCGGTCGAGATAGAGTTCTTGGTGACGTGGCACAACCCTCACGGGCGGCCCGAGCAGGCCGTCCCGGGCGAGGACAACATCGCCACCTGGCGCTCCAAGCCCAACACCGAGCGGACCTGGAGGGACCACGCCAAGCTGGCCTGGGAAATCAGCCCCGTGCTCGCAGTCTTCATGCCGGAGAGGTGAGAGTACCAATGTCTCAACACTAGAGACAGAATATCGAATATGATTTTTTTATTGAGTTTAACATTGTTAAAGAAATCAAAAAACAAAAAAAAAAACAAAAAACCCGATAACCACTTTACACCAGGCAACCTGTGATATCGTACAGTTTTCTACGCAATAACAAAACAACATTGAAATATCGATAACAATCACTGACCCCTAAACATCTAGATCGACTTAATGTTTTACATTTCCTCTCATTTTCTTCTCAACATATCTATGTATTAAATACGTGAAGCAAAAACTTTGTACCCCTTTTTACGTAAATTTCGCGGACGGAGGAGTATGAAATTTTCCACACTTATAAATAATATAGAGATGGTGTACAGAATGCTAATTTTTTTTTTAATTATGCGTTAAAAATACAGTAAATCATTAAAAAAACATTATAAACGCTGACATGTATTTGGCGCAACACATACATATAAATATACTCTTTTTTTTATTGTCAATTGTCAAACTTTTGTTATTGTTTAAAGTCTGTGCCTAGCTGAGCCTTTGCTCGCCCACCTGTCCAGGTGAAACTGGAAAGGCCCCCCGGCCACCAGTATCTTTCAATAATAAAAAAATGCCTCTTTATATCACAGGCTAAAGAACGACGGTATAGTGGCGGAGGTCAGACGCAAAGTCCAAGCGCAGCCGACCGCGGTGTGCCACGTCCCCCAGGCCCTGAAGTATCTGGTCACCACCGAAACCTTACTCAACGACGCGCAAGAGGTAAAGGGAGAGAGAGAGAGAGAGAGAGACAGACTGACAGACAGACAGACAGAGAGAGAGAGAGAGAGAGAGAGAGAGAGAGAGAGAGAGAATCATTATTTTATACTGCTAATATGGGCGGACGAAATTACTGTCCGGTGTTAAGTGGTGACTGGAGCCCATAACCCTGCCAAAACTGGTCCCAAGCCCGGATGAGAAAAGAGGATGGTTGAGTTGAAGTTCAGACCTTTTCGCCGTAGAACGGCTAACGCCCGAATGTCGGGCGGCGTTTAATTAGCCCTACCCAATTAAGACTTCAGCGGCTTCGAAGTACTATTCCAAAAGCACTGCTGTGGAAGGACACGGGATCCTACCATGCTTATTTTCCAAGAAAGCCTCACGAGGCCACGACCCTTACTTAGCACTAAGGATTTTCGACACAAGGAGGAGGAGTCCATAAATATTTACAACGTAAATACCGCTACCCACCTTGAAACATGACGTACATATCCGTGCGATATCGAGTTCTAAGTCTCAGGTTGTATGGCACAACGGCCTCACCCTTCAAACCGACACGCATTGCTGCTTCACGGCACACATAGACACGGCACCTAACTTGTGACGTCACAACACGCCCTACCAGTACAGTTGAAATTGACGTTTCAGCTGGTACACATGATAACCTGGGCCCGGGTCAGCCCGGTGGAGGCCCTGTCGTACTTCAGCCGGCAGTATCCGCCGCACCCGCTCTCGGCGCAGGCGGCCGTCAACACGCTGACGTCATACCCCTCCTCGACCCTCCTCCTGTACATACCGCAGCTTGTGCAGGCGCTGCGGCACGACACGGTAACACATTCTCACCTAAGCTATACAATCTTCAATCTGACGTCGGAAATATCAAATAAATTGTTTTTTTTATTGCCCTTGTAGGCAGACGAGCATACGGCCCAGCTGATGGTGAGTGGCTACCGTCGCCCATAGACTTCAGCAATGCCAGGAGTGGAGCCGAACCGCTGCCTACCGCTTAATACTCTCCACAAGCCTCGTTTGAAGAAGGGCATGTCATAGCGCTCGGGAAACACCGTGGAGGGGAGCTCATTCGTTAGCCGGATGGTACGTGGCAAAAAAACCTCTGGAAACGCACTGTCGATGAACACAACGATTCCAGATGATATGGATGAACTCTGCTCCGATGGCGGGAGGCGCGATGATAAAAGGGAGATGAAGGGATCATCTCAAACATGAAACAAACTAATTTATGTGTATTATCTATGAATCAGGCAACAAATGTGTTTCGATTCAACCCGAGCGATGACGCCTCGACTCTACGGAACCCTTACACCCGAAGCGAACCGATGTTTGACGAGCAGTTGCGGCTCGCTTTCACTAGATGGCGCGCTTTCGCTTCGTTTCTCGTGTCCGGATACGACATACTAATTACGATAAATAAATTTAATCCAGATGGGATACGTGGCGGAATTGATAAAGTCACTGGCGAAGAAATCTCAAGTCGTAGCGCACCAGCTGATATGGAACATGCACACGAACATGTACACGGACGAGGAAATGCATAATAAAGATCGTAAGTGTGTATGAGTGATATCACTTCCCCCATTTTAACTGTTCGATAACAAATGCTTTGAAGTATTGGTACGCGCTGGGGTTCGGGATAAATAATAATTCTACCGAAGCACAAATTATAATTTTATTTAACACATAGAACACTTTACAATTATGTTTTTATTGCTTAGACGGGTGGACGAGCTCACAGCCCACTTGGTGTGAAGTGGTTACTGGAGCCCATAGACATCTACAACGTAAATGCGCCACCCACCTTGAGATATAAGTTCTAAGGTCTCAAGTATAGTTACAACGGCTGCCCCACCCTTCAAACCGAAACGCATTACTGCTTCACGGCAGAAATAGGCAGGGCGGTGGTACCTACCCGCGCGAACTCACAAGTGGTCCTACCACCAGTAAAATTCGATAACAAATGCTTTAAAATATTGTTACGCGCTGGGGTTCGAGATAAATAATAATCCTACCGAAGTATAAATTAAAACTCTATTTAACACTTAGAATACTTTATAATTCGTAATACACTTCACCCGCTTCGCTTCAGGTGATCTGTTCGCTCTTTCGCTTCGAGTAATTCCGATTACTAACTGCTTTCGTTTCATCTCTGCAACGCTTTTATACGATATGATGTCGATACGACATCTCTATAATTATCGAGAACATTCCTGACTGGTCGAGTAGTTTTGATCAAATACGTTTCTAATGAAATACATACTTAAAAAATGTTCACGATTGACTTCCACGGTGAAGGAATAACATCGTGTAATAAAAATCAAACCCGCAAAATTATAATTTGCGTAATTACTGGTGGTAGGACCTCTTGTGAGTCCGCGCGGGTAGGTACCATCACCCCGCCTATTTCTGCCGTGAACAGTAATGCGTTTCGGTTTGAAGTGTGGGGTAGCCGTTGTAACTATACTTGAGACCTTAGAACTCATATCTCAAGGTGGGCGGCGGAATTTATGTTGTATATGTCTATGGGCTCCAGTAACCACTTAACACCAGGTGGGCTGTGAGCTCGTCCAACCATCTAAGCAATAAAGAAAAAAAAAAGATATCCCGACCACTTCTGTTTGGTCCTCGATCTTTATGTATTAACCCTAGTTCTGGGATATTTGTGAATTTTAAGATAACGTTGCATGAATATTTTACATGCGTCATATCTCAAGGTGGGTGGCGGCATTTACTTTGTAGACGTCTATGGGCCCGAATAACCACTTAACACCAGGTGGGCCGTGAGCTGGTCGACCCATCTAAGCAATAAATAAATAAAAACTTTATAATAATACACTAACAGGCGAACCGTGCTATCGGTATCCTGTATCCCCAATTTGAACTGACCATACTTCGACCTTATACAAAGTTTCCATTTACTTCCAGCCGCTCTATTCGACATCCTCGAGTCGTTGACGAAGAGCATAGTGGATTCCCTGTCGGGACCCGCGAAGGCGTTCTACGAAAGGGAATTCGATTTCTTCGGTCAGATCACGAACATCAGCGGAATCATCAGACCGTACCCCAAGGGAGCGGAGAGGAAGCGAGCGTGCTTGGAAGCGCTGAAGAACGTTAAGGTATGGCGCAGTAAATATATATAAAATAAACTTAAAACAAACAAAAGGAATCCGTCCGACGGGGGACAGATCAAAAGAAAAACAACATTGTTATTTTTATTTAATTCCGAGCATTGTCATATTTATCTACCTTTTAAACCTTCCCTGGACTTCCACAAATAATTCAAGACCAAAATTAGCCAAATCGGTCCAGCCGTTCTCAAGTTTTAGCGAGACTAACGAACAGCAATTCATTTTTGTATATATAGATAAATTTCAATAAATTTGAATTAAAAATAATGTAATAAAAAATGATTTTTATTGTAAAAAAGCGCGGTGTGCTTTTCAGGATATTATCTAAATAACCCTTCTACTCATATCTGTTCATAAAATATTTATGACTACTGACACCGTGCAACCCACGATTTTTTTACAATAAAATCATTTTTTCTTACAAGATTTTTAATTTAAATTTATATTCTATATTTTAGTTTGATTTTCTATAAAAGCATATTTTTTTAGCTTTTTTAAACTATTATTTATTTGTTTTGACATCTGAATGTTATGCTTACTACCGTCAGATTTGTATAAAAACTAAACATATACACAAAATGTATGTTTATTTTCCAAAGCGTGCGAATTATAATTTATTGTATTAATGTTATTATACAGGTGCAGCCGGGGTGCTATCTACCCTCCAATCCGGACTCTATGGTCATCGATATAGACTATAAAAGCGGTAAGTCGCGGCTTATGTTGTAAGTTTATGATGATAGATCTGAAGTAAACATTGAAGTCTCGTCTGTCTCGTGTTCAGGTACTCCCATGCAGAGCGCCGCGAAGGCTCCGTACTTAGCGCGGTTCAGAGTCCGAAAGTACGGGATCGCGGAAATGGAGTCCCTCGCCATGGCCATCGCGTCGGGCGAGGAGCCGCCTGCGGTGAGGACTTCATTATTTGTTGTCGGTTCTCTCTGTGATAACCGAACCCTCGTAAATATACTATCTAGTTGAGAGCTTAGAGGTCGCGTCTGAAGGTGGGTGACGAAAAAGAAAGTATATTGTACTCCTTTTCACGAAAATTGCGCGCACGGTGGAGTATGATTTTTTTTTTATTTCTTAGCTGGGAGGACGAGCTCACAGCCCACCTGGTGTTAAGTGGTTACTGGAGCCCATAGACATCTACGACGTAAATGCGCCACCCACCTTGAGATATTTCGGTAGGCAGCGGCTTGGCTCTGCCCCTGGCATGCCTGAAGTCCATGGGCGACGGTAACCACTCACCATCAGGTGGGCTGTGAGCTCGTCCTCCCATCTAAGAAATTAAAAAACAAATCATACTCCACCGTTTTTACGGATGTTCCATTATAACTACTGTACCATGCATCCGATTGATTTAAAACTTTGTATCCATGTAGAAAATACATGTACTTAATGGATAGGCTAATATTTATATGAGTTTTGGACTCCTTACACCAGTTGCGGGGGCGTTAATGATGAGAATCTTTGTGGGGGTGAGAAATGACAATGTTAATTTTAAATGCCCAGCGAAGCGGACGGGCATAGCTAGTTTATACCTAGTCAGGTCATAAATTCTGTCACATGTTTAATGTAAAATAATTGAAACAAGTTTAGTCATTATGTAACCATTCATATACCAAAATGAACTTAACAAAACATAGATTCTTATGACACTAAAGTTTATGCAAAATGACCTCCGTGATTTTGAATACAGGCCTTCAATCTGCGCGGCCAGTCGTCTATCGCAGCACGAACGAGGTCCATGTCAATATCGGAGGCTGCCTTAATCAAGGATGTCTTGAGTGACTCCAAATTGGGATGAGGCTTTGAGCACGCCTTTTCCTCCAAGTGTTGCCATATCTTGTAATCTAACGGATTGAAATCTGGACTGGAGGAGGGCCAGTCTTCGTGCCGGATGAAGTCGATTTCACGCGCCGCCAGCCAGTCTTGTGTGCTCTTCGCTCTATGAGCTGGCGCCGAATCTTGTTGGAATACCCAGTGCCTGTTATTGAACATGGTATGAGAAACAGGTTCCACAAGGTTCGTCAGGACTGTATTTTGATACACAACTGCATTCGTTTTTACACCTTTCTCACAAAAATGTACCTCTGTTAAGCCCCAATAAGAAACTCCCAACCATACCATGAGCGAGAATGGAAAATGACCTCGTTGGACACGCGGAATACGGTTGCTCGCTTCTTCACTACTGTGTGCGTACACCTTATCATTTTGTTTGTTGTAGCTCTCTTCTACGGTAAAAATTTTTTCATCCGAAAAAATAATTTGCCGATTTTTTTTCCCGCGTACCGCTTCAACAAAGCGCAGCATCTCTTCAGTCTCAGTTCCATTAGACGAGCATTCAAACGATGTCCTGTTTTTCTTCGATATGCCCGAAGCCCGAAGTCTTCATTTAACACCCTTTTCACCGTGGTTCTGCTTAACCCCATCTGAAGAGCCAACAGTTTCTGCTTACGTTTGGGATTTCTTTGAATTCGCGCCTTCACAGCTTTTATCACTGCTGGAGTCCTAACAGACCGAGGGCGACCACTTCTTGACCTGTCATCTACACTAGAGTCTTCACTGTATCGTTTGATGGTACGATAAATGAATCTTTTGGTTATATTCAGATTTTTCAGTATGTTAAAAATTTGAATTGGCGCGTAACCGCAACGATGCAACGCAATAACTGCAACACGGTCTTCTTTAAGCGTCCACTCCATATTTAAAAATGAGTAAAATTCTAAAAGTATGCGTTTTTATTTTCATGAACAATTCGAAATTAGAATTTAATAAACTTTTTTGTGGCCAGCATTCTAAAAGAAAAGTTTTTACTGTGTGACAATACTTATGACCTGACTAGTTATATAAAAATTATCCTTAATGTTTAGGAGGAAGGCAAGGACCGGTACACGTCGATAGCGGCGGAGACCTGGCAGGCGGCCATATTTAAAGTGGGCGATGACGTCAGACAAGACATGCTGGCCCTGCAAGTGATATCGCTGTTCAAGAACATATTCCAGCAAGTCGGCCTGGACTTGTACCTGTTTCCGTACAAAGTCGTCGCCACCGCGCCCGGGGTGAGTACGCTCAAAGACTATCCCAATCACGCGGCGGACTCGTATATGAACTGCCGGGGTAGGATTTGCTAACGCTAGCCCTAGCAAGAGCTTCGCAGAGTCTACCACCGGATCGGAAACGCGACCCACTGAGAAGATCCGGCGAGAAACTCAGTGAGCTGTGTCTATGGGCTAGTTCGCACGTCGAGCTCTTTAACGAGTGCGACGATAACGGCGACCGATGTTTGGAGGGCTTAAAAGCACCGAGATTGGACCGGGAAGATCTGATAGGTCACGTTGCGGGTAGTTTCAAATAACCCCTGCCTAGTGCATTGAATTAATTTCTATACTATCTTTCTGTTTTTAGACCGCGATAAACCAATCAAAAATACACGCACGCACGCACACGCACACACGTACGCACAGGCACACACGCACGCACACACGCACGGACACACACTCACCCGCACACACACATACGCACGAACGCACACACGCGCACGCACACATACGCACGAACACATACGCACGCACGCACGCGCACTCACACTCTTTATAAACAACGGCAGGGAGTATCGATAGGTTAGACTTAGGTCGACGGCGGGTAGTTTCAAATAATACCTGTCTAATAACTGACCTGTCCACTGAATTAATCTCTACACTGACTTTCGGTTGTTATATTTAAAGAATACAGTAGTTGCAGAAGGCAGCGACTTGGCTCTGCCCCTGGCATTGCTGAAGTCTATGGGCGACGGTAACCACTCACCATCAGGTCTGCCTACAAAGGCAATAACAAAAAAAAAACACACACACACACACTCATTTTTTTTGATTTTCAAACAACGTTATATTTGTGTGTGTTTCCCTCAGAGCGGCGTTATAGAATGCGTGCCCAACGCCAAGTCGCGTGATCAGCTGGGCAGGCAGACGGACTTCGGACTCTACGAATATTTTATAAAGAAATACGGCGACGAGACCACGAGAGAGTTTCAGGTGAGAAAAGAGCCATTTTTCTTTTGGTTACATTGCGTGCTATACAATAGAATTTCTCTCCCCGTACTCGTCGAACTCGACAAAGAGGTCGACGTGCAACCTAACCGATTCCGATCCGGTAGTAGATTCATTCGCGAAGCAATTGCTCTTGAGTTATTAGGTCTCCTTCGGAGGCGCTCGGGCAGTTGTTAGCAAATCCCACCCCTCCTGGCTGAGCCTTTGCTCGCCCACCTGTCCTGGTGAAAATGGAAAGGCCTCCGGGCCACCAGTAATTTTTCAAACATAAAAAAAAAGAATTCCTCTAAAACGATTTGATGAAATTATCGTCTCGAAAATTACCTTTGTCGTTTGAAACGATTTGCGTGCGCTTGATATGTAAGAGATTGTCGTGTAGCCAGTCGTTACATAACGAGCTCACGGACCACCTGGTTATCGGAGCCCGTGGACATAAACGATGTTAATGAAGCCGCCCACCTTGAGACATGAGTTCGAAGTTACAGAAACGAATGACTGCTTCATGGCAGAAATAAGCGGGGTGGTGGTACCTACCCGTGCGGACTCACAAGATGTCCCACTGCCAATAATTACGCAAATTATATTTTTTGCGGGTTTGATTTTTATTATACGATGTTATTCCTTCACCGTGGTGGAAGACATTCGTGAACTTTAAGTATTTTATTACTAAAATTGGTAACCGCCTGCGGGATTCGAACACCGTTGCATCGCTCGACACGAATGTACTGGACGCCTTATCCTTTAGGCCACGACGACTTAAATGCATGTTTTATTTACTATTTGACTACCTATCTGATGTTTTCGCTCAAACTAATGTAACAACTAGTACTCTGTATGTACAGTGGGGGATCTTCCCACTGAGTTTCTCGCCGTTTCTTCTCAGTGGGTCGCGTTTCCGATCCGGTGGTAGGTTCTGCGAAGCACTGCTCTTGCTAGGGCCAGAGTTAGCCACACTCCGGTTTGAATCCCGTGAGCTCACCTACATGTTAGGACGAAGCTGAAATAGCCTCTCAAGCCTTTCAGCATAGGTAGGAGTAAAAAAAGGGGGGATTTTGGCTTTTTTTTTAAACTTATTTTGCTTAAACTAACTTAATAAGCTTAAGTCTCATCTACATTAGATGGCTGTCTCCTCACAACGAATGCACCGGGCGTTTCATTCTCTAGACCGCGTCGATTAATTGTAATAAAATTAGTATTGGTATAATTTGACCATTAGGCGGCGAGAAGGTGCTTCGTGACCTCGATGGCCGCGTACAGCGTCATCGGCTTCCTGCTGCAGATCAAGGATCGGCACAACGGGAACATCATGCTGGACACGGACGGACACATCATACACATAGGTACGTGGCACGACATGCTATACGAGCGGCACCCGCAAAAATGAACCTTAAAGTCTTATATATAGAGTCTTCTTTTTTTCCACCTTATCCCACTAGGTGGAGTCGGCACAGCTAATTTTTCTATTCCATTCTCTTCTGTCAGCCGTCATCTCAACACTCACTCCTCTCTCTCTCATATCGTCATTCACACACTCCATCCATGCCTTTGGTCGACCTCTGCCCCCTCTACCTTGCACTACCATTTCCATACATCTCCTAGTCACATACATCTTCTCTCTACGCATCACATGTCCATACCACGCTAACCGTCCGCTCTTTAATTTGTTAAATACTGGGGCTACTGGGATGTTCTGGAAAGTTTTAGACACGTCGTGTCGAATATACAAGCGTTGCAGAGACGACATGAAGCGAAACGACGAACGGATCACTATTATACTAATATGTATACTACATAATATGTGATATAGATTTCGGATTCATGTTCGAGTCATCGCCCGGCGGGAACCTTGGCTTCGAGCCCGACATCAAGCTGACCGACGAGATGGTGATGGTGATGGGCGGCAAGATGGAGGCGCCGCCGTTCCGCTGGTTCTGTGAACTGTGCGTGCAGGCCTTCTTGGCTGTCAGGTCGGTAGATCTATAACTTTTAGTTAATTGGATGAGTCGCTGAGCTCGAATTCGTGGTTACTGGAGTCCATAGACATCACATGGTAAACATAGTCAACTTCCGTGACACATAAAAAAAAGGGTGCGTGTACTTATGTACGCGAGTAAGAAGTTATACTTTATTTTTATTAAATTTTATTTCTTTTTTTTATATATTAAATAATTAATAATAAATATTTAACGTTAATAATTTTTTTTTTATTGCTTAGATGGGTGGACGAGCTCACAGCCCACCTGGTGTTAAGTGGTTACTGGAGCCCATAGACATCTACAAAGTAAATGCGCCACCCACCTTGAGATATGAGTTCTAAGATGTCAGTATAGTTACAACGGCCGCCCCACCCTTCAAACCGAAACGCATTACTGCTTCAGGGCAGAAATAGGCAGGGTGGTGGTACCTACCCGCGCGGACTCACAAGAGGTCCTACCACCAGTAAAAAATAAATTTAGTATGATAAATAATATTTAGTATGAATTATATTAAATAAAAATTTTGTCATTTATATTACCAAAAAATGAATGCTAATAACACTTTTTTTTACGAGTGTACATGCGCGAAAGTTCATCTCCGGCTATACTCAGACTCGCCAAGTTACGTCGATCGTATTGTAATGAGCGATTTAATGGGCAACTTCATTACTGTTAATTTTGTGTCACGGTGCGCGCGCATCGTAAAATTTCACTCTCATCAATTTTTCATAACGCGCCTAAAGAAGTATACCTTAAAAAATAAATAAAAAATCCATTTATTTTCAATGTCGTCCGTAAGAAAATAATTTATTTGATAATAACTTTCAATAATAAGATTATCTTTTAGTTTTTTCTTAAAATGAAAATCGTCTATTAAAAAAATAGGTCTCTTAATTTCTTTGGTAGTTTATTAAATATCCTAACGCTCACACCTAGTATACTATTAGTCTTTAATGTAGTTTTCGATTTTGGAAAACATAGTTTATCGTCGCGTCGACTTCTATTTGCCATATTAGACATCTTGGTGAATCTATTGGGACAAGTTTTAACATAAAAACGTAGTCTCAACAATAGTGTACGAGAAATGTCCAAACCGAATGTTTCATTTACAAGACAAATACTGTATTTGAACATTGACTTTTTTCTGCCTAAAAAGCGCAAATAAAATTACAGTCCACGTCTTAAGTTGCTACTGGTGGTAGGACCTCTTGTAAGTCCACGCGGGTAGGTACCACCGCCCTGCCTATTTCTGCCGTGAAGCAGTAATGCGTTTCGGTCTAAAGGGTAGGGCAGCCGTTGTAACTATATTGAGACCTTAAAACTTATATCTCAAGTTGGGTGGCGCAATTACGTTGTAGATGTCTATGGGTTTCAGTAACCGCTTAACACCAGGTGGGCTGTGAGTTCGTCCACCCATCTAAGCAATAAAAAAAAAATATCAGAGACAATAGATATCAAGAAGAATATGTCAATTTAAGACACAGCTGTCGTACGCTTGGAATGCAACCAGCATTCGTAACACGTCATTTCGGATCCTCCCGATCCACTAACGGTGCTTTTAGGTACCTCAAACACCGTCCTTGCCGAACCCGTCTCTTGCGACTAAGGGCTCGGCGAGTAAACTAACCCATAGATATAGCCCACTGAGTTTCTCGGCGAATCTTCTCAGTGGGTCGCGTTTCCGATCCGGTGGTAGATTCTGCGAAGCACTGCTCTTGCTAGGGCCAGTGTTAACAAATTCGTGAGCTCACCTTATCGCTCGGTGAATCTAGTATAGCTCCTCGAGGCTACTATCTATTATAAATTATTGATTAAATTTCAGACCATACCAAGAAGCTATAATATCTATGGTGTCGCTGATGCTGGACACCGGTCTCCCGTGCTTCCGAGGGCAGACGATACGTCACCTTCGCTCGCGTTTCGCGCCCAACTCTACCGAGAAGGAGGCGGCGGCGTACATGCTCTCTATCATACGTAACTCGTTCTTGAACTTTAGAACAAGGACGTACGATATAATACAGTATTACCAGAACCAGATACCGTATTGAGTCGTCGATGAAATCGATATTCATATCGATAGGCCGGTCGCGGTGCATCTCTATCTGACCTCGTGACGTCAGAGCGAATGTGTGTTATTTGTACAGAAATAACTGGAAATGAAGATAACGATTAAGACTCAACTTTCGATGTGTTCCGGTACTCTTTATAAACGAATATAAAGTCGATAGTGACGATGATACGAAACAAACGGTCTGATTGACATTTTTTTTCTTCTATATATATACCTAAATAAATAAAAGAAAAATATATGTTTAATTTAAAAACGAAATGGTGCGAAATGTGTAGTTAAAACAAATGTCCGTTTAAAACAATGTTCCTTCAGGGAAGTGTAAGGTATATCGATACAGTCGGAAAAGTGTGCGTATCCGTTGCGAGAATTAAAAAAAAATAGCATTACTATTTTTTAATCTAGAATTCCGCCTAATATATAACTTAAACGAGATATTTAACGGTATTTTATATCAGGCGGGGGTTATATTAATTACTTTGAGCGCGATGTCTTTGGTTTGATTTAGGAAATAATTCGGTTTTCATTTTGTCTATTAAATTAAGGGGTAATGTTTAATGGAGAGATTCAAGAGTTTTCTTGCCGCGGTTTTTAGTTGAACTGGTTCGTCGGTCGTATTATTTTTCCAAACATACTATCTATATATTTGATAGTAGAAAGATATTTACGAACCACTGGTCAAAAAATAATGTCATTTGAAGTCAAATTGCAGTTGTTGCTAATGTGACTATAATGTAATGAGCTTGCTCGGTCTCAACTTAATTTCAATTTAGGCATTCAAAGGGCTAGGTCATGCCTCAGAGTACTTCTCGAATAACACCAGATTGAGGTTATTTTTAAAAGAAACTACCTATTTTAAAAAATTAGACGAATTCTTAGTTACTTAGTTATTCTTAGAAGAGTTTCTCGTCTCCTCGATGACGACAACTAAAGGTTTTGAAAATAAATAATATTAAATACCGGTATTTGGTACTTATCGTTACGTCCACATAGCACTTTCTCTTATATTTATAATCAAACAATCTTATAAGTATTATCGTCTCAAATTCACAAACCTTTCAGAAATAATCTGATTATTAATGTCATTAAATAACATATATAATAATTATGTTCTCTATGAACAATAGAGAAGTATATACGACGTATATTCTAGAAACAATATGAGGGTAACATTAGAAATCATGTATTCAATTACTACGACCCTTCATTAATTAATATTTAATTGAACACGGAAATTAGAAAGAAATGAAAACTGCCACTATCCTTAGAAAATCCCTTTCTACTATTAAGGTGCAAATACTAGAGTTCTGTTAACATTGTAAAGGTATTTACGATATGTATAACTATGATTTAAATGTTTTAGGGAAATATAAGATAATTTTTAATAAGTGCTGTAGTACTGCTAAAAATATACAAACAACACCCATGCATGCCAATTTTTTTGTTCTTATAATTCAATTAAAAAAAAAAGCATTTGCCTGAATTGAGAAACTTCTTTGTTAATTAAAGTTGCACCGACTTGCAGTTTTTCTGAGCAACAGATCACATTCCATTTTTTTTTTTTCATAGTATATAATTTAAATTAAATTATTATTTACAATATTGAAATCTGTTAATGCTTGTTTTAATTTTTTTTTTATATACAGCATGTTATAAAATGGTTGTTCAAAATATAAGAGTTGTGGAATATTGTAATAGTAAATTAAACTTAAATATACAGGTTACTTGCCCTAAAAAAAAACAGTATTGTGTCTATAGTGAACAATTTGCTTCGAACGAGATATAAATAAAAAACGTTACCATTTAGATGTAATTATAAGGAAATACTATATCATGTTCTGAAATTGATCTTTTACGTAAGTATTATATTGTATTTATTGTATATTGCATTGTACTTAGAGCTATTTTAGATGAAAACAAATTTTCTCTAATTCAATCGAACTGTAGTGTTTTGAAAACATTATAATTCGTAACTTATCAAAGTCTTCAACTTTATATAAGATAATTATAATGTTGTCTCCATATTAACAGAAACCTCAAAGTGACAAACATACTAATAAATATATTTATGTAGAATCAGATTAAAAATAATGTTGTTGATTAAAAAAGCAGAATTTATTGATGTAAATAAAAAAGAAACTATATTGTTGAAATTCAATAAGCTTAGTAAAATGTTGCCAACAGATTTAATAAAATGTTGATATTATAAAGTTTTGTGTGTTCTGGACATTCCTACAGATGTTGTTGAATTTTGAATAAAGTATCTGGTAAAGGTGCATATTTATTTAATTGATTCGTGAATGATGAATTTATAATCCTTTATACCAGGCTTTCCTAAAGTGGGCGATAACGCCCCCTTGTGGGCGCTGCAGGCCTAAAGGGGGGCGGTAAGAGAACCAAAAAAAGGGGGCGTTGAGGCTTGGCAGGCAATTTGTAATTTCAGGTGGACTCTTAGACACCGACTGAGCTCTCGCTATAGTGGTTGGTAGGTGAAAAAATGGGGGCTTTACAAAATAATTTATTCTCAAAATGGGCAGTAGACAAAATAAGTTTGGGAACCCCTGTTTTATACTAATATTGTATGAAAAAACCAAGAATGAGTGAATGAATGAAGAAATCTATACATAATGATTTCATAGTTAAGTAGCATTTTCTTTGTTGTTCAACTTTTTCGATTACTAGATGTACACAAGTTTTAGGGATACCTATAAAAAAAAATGTCAATAGTGAATATTGCAAGCATAACCATGTATGTATGAACTCGATTGACTGCTTGTAGTTTGATTCCAGTTAAATTGAATAGAGAGACTTGGCTTTCACGGTGTCGATTTCCTTGTGTTTATCTCGTATGTATTTCTAGAACCCATAAAGTAAAAAAAATATATGTTTTTTTGCCCACCTGCCTGGAGGGGCTATTCTGGTTACGCTAGTGGGAGACTACTACACTTGTATAAGTTATGACGATCCGTGAGAATGGGATTATCGACAATCCGAACGGCCCTCCTCTGTATGGAGTCAAATGGAAGAAGCTGGTATTTGGGAGCCCCGGCCCAGAGATGGGAGCAGTACTCCACGCGAGGCCGGACTTGTGCTTTATAAAGCAAAAGCCTTTGTCCAGGCGTGAAGTACCGCTTCGCTCTGTTGAGGACTCCCAGCATTTTGGACACCAACTTGGCTTTGCCTTCCAAATGACTCCGAAACTGGACATCGCTCGAAATGTCGACCCCAAGTATCCCGATACTCTCGGAAGGTTGCAGGGATACTCCTTGAAATTGCGGCGCCATGACAAAGGGGTCCTTCTTCGCAGTGAACGCGCAAACTTGTGTCTTTANNNACCGCTTCGCTCTGTTGAGGACTCCCAGCATTTTGGACACCAACTTGGCTTTGCCTTCCAAATGACTCCGAAACTGGACATCGCTCGAAATGTCGACCCCAAGTATCCCGATACTCTCGGAAGGTTGCAGGGATACTCCTTGAAATTGCGGCGCCATGACAAAGGGGTCCTTCTTCGCAGTGAACGCGCAAACTTGTGTCTTTTTACGGGTTGAATTGAACCAAGTTCAATTCACCCCATTTGGAGACTCGCCCCAGAGAGTTCTCCACTTCAGACACAAGTTTTGATCGTCTCTCCTGCACCACGCTCCGAGAGAGACTCTGATGGCCGATATATCGCGCATCCCCCGTGCTGTCATCCGCATAGCAATGCATGCCATCAATAGACAGCATGTCATTGATATACAGGATGAAAAGCATGGGGGAGAGCACCGAACCTTGTGGAACGCCAGCGTTAATGGTCATGGTATTAGAGTAATCGCCGTCTACAACGACCGTGATGCTCCGCCCATCCAAAAAGCTAGCGATCCACTTGCAGAGACCCTCGGGGATTTCGTAAGATGGTAGCTTCGACAGAAGTGCCCTATGCCAGACCCTGTCGAAGGCCTTCGCGATATCAAGGCTCACAGCAAGAGCCTCGCCCTTGCTCTCCAAGGCTTCAGCCCACCTGTGAGTAAGGTATACAAGAAGATCGCCAACTGAGCGACCGTGACGGAAACCGTACTGTCGGTCACTGATCAGCTGGCGATCTTCAAGATACTTCAAGAGTTGTATATTTATTATTCGCTCCATCACCTTGGAAAGCAAGGAAGTTATCGCGCCTATAGCTCGATGGGTCCGACCGGTCACCCTTCTTGTGGATAGGGTGGACGTGGGCGGTCTTCCATGAAGACGGAACCCTGTTAGCGCAATAAGAGAGGCGATACAGACGCGTTAGCGCAGGCGTCAGCTCAGGGGCGCACGTTTTCAGAACCACTGCAGGGATGCAGTCTGGCCCACTCGACTTATGGACGTCCAGGAGTCGGAGTTCAACTAAACTAAAATGCCAAGCGATACTAAGAATTAACATTCTAACAAAAAAAAAATTTCAATTCTACAATCCAATGTATGAGTCTCAATCCTAAAAAAATATCTATTTATTTAGATACACCATAGAACAATGATGTATACAATGCATATAAGAAATTGTCTGTGTACAGTGCCTATCTTTTGGTAAAGTGACATAGACATAGACACAGATTGGATATGATGAAATTATTATACTGTTTTTTGGGATTTGGTTGTGTTATTATAGCTACAAAAAAAGGAATTTATGTGGAAGTTTTATTAAAGTTCCATGCTATAACTCTCCAAAAAAGATAGATAATATTCTATCTTCTTCATAGACATCTTCACTTTCCCCACATCTAGTTTTGGTAAATGGTCAATTTTTTGTTCTGGAAATTTCTTAGAAAATTCTGTCTTTTTCTTTGTTTCAGCAATTTTTGTGTGCTTCAATGCAGACTTTGCTTCAGTAAATATTTCGAACAGATGGGACAGTGCAGCTTTACAGTAAAATGACTTTTTGTCATCATTTGGCCCCTGAAGTATGAGATATGTGTCGTGTTTCATTACTTCAGTACTAAGTTTGTCTGTTTGTACAAGTTCATTCTGGAATAAATTCAATAAGATAAATTAAATATGAAAATTGCATAAACTAATTAATTAAATGATTAAATATGAAAATTCATGGAAGCAAATTATGAATAGTGCAACATTGATCTTAAAATATAATATTAATATATTATTATGTTGGACATTTTTAATTTTGCACTACATTTAGGTTTAAGAACTTCAGCATATGATGAAGTGTGCTCAAAGTATCAACTGGCTGCAGAACGTGAACACCCTTTGATTGTAGGTAGTGAGTATTGTAACTATCAGGACACTTATGATTTCTTTACACATCAATAAAATAATTGAATACAATTACCTGTAAACATTTCTGTGCGACAGCTTCCAAAGCTATGGCAGGATCATCATAATTAGCATTTGATTCTAAATTCCCACATATACTTAGTAAATGGACAATAGCTTCCACTGGATCAATCTCTCCATTGAAATATCTCATTATAAAAGCATATGAACTTAGAATGTTGATTATGTTGAATTTCACGGTAGTCGATGGTGCAATTTTCTGAAAACGATTATGCAATATTATTTTATCTTCACGTCGGGATGGTCAGGTTACCTAATGATCGGTAATTTAGTTTACTATGAAAATCTGAGATTCTTGCCAGATTTTCTCAGTGGGTCGCATTTCTGATCCCGTGGTAAATTCTGCGAAGCACTCAGTGCCCTTGCCAGGGCTAGTGTTAGCAACATCCTCTAGAGCCCTGTGAGCTAACTACCATGCCTGGGTTATGCGGGCATAGCCCCTCAAGGCTATTTAGCTTAGGCAGGAAAATTGTTTTTTAACAACAAATGAGCTCTTCCCTTTTGCTGTTAAAAAAGAATTCATACACAGCAGTTACAAGTGCTAGACAGAACTAGTTTGTTTTAATCATTATATTTACCGTTAAAGAGGTGAGTTTTTGAACATTTTTCAGTTGTGGACAAGTGTCGACGTTCTTATCAAGTTCATCATCACATACTTCTGTTACTAACTTGCTTTTTGTTCTTTTTGTCCACCAGGGTTCCCATTGAGGTAATATAGAACCAACATCTCCTTGACTAATCAAAGCTTCAAATTCATTCTTTTCATCTTCAGTTAGGGCACTCCAAATGGCATCTGCATCATTGATGTCTAAATTCTTTATCCTGTCATGTAAATCTTCTTCATCGTAATCATCAGAGTCTATATGATCATCATTTTCTAAGTCATCAACATTATCATTAGATTCATTTTGCATTTTTTTTAGTATTTCAATCATTTTACGTTTAGATTCCTCATCCACATTTTGCGAGGAGAGTTCTTCATTAACCCAGTCACGATAGAAATTTTCTGAACACTCTAAATGTTTGTCTGATTTATAACAACCGAGCGAACAATATAATATACCACATTTNATATGATCATCATTTTCTAAGTCATCAACATTATCATTAGATTCATTTTGCATTTTTTTTAGTATTTCAATCATTTTACGTTTAGATTCCTCATCCACATTTTGCGAGGAGAGTTCTTCATTAACCCAGTCACGATAGAAATTTTCTGAACACTCTAAATGTTTGTCTGATTTATAACAACCGAGCGAACAATATAATACACCACATTTTGGGCAACAATACTTGCTTTTCTGTTCTTCACATCTGGAAAATTTTATTTGAAACTACATTGAAAATTTTTGTTTAGGGTATTCTACCTATTGTTTACTGACTTTATACTATTAGTGTGCTTTCAGGTTGTTCTATATAAATTAATTCAGTTCATTGACAATGGGCACTGGATTTGCTAAATTGTATAATTGGACACAAAAAGTGATAGAGTAAAAAAGTGAATAGTGAAGTTATCTTTAGTATCGAAATTATGACAGCCTGTCTTGTGCCATAGGAGGCCAAATCAAACAAACTAAAAATATCATTAGAAATGTAATTCTTCATGCAAGTAAGCAAATGTTTATGTAAAAAAATCATTATGAGATCTTAGATTATTTTCACAGATTCGGTACCAAAGTTCAGCGCTAAGATACGATACAGAGCTTATTGTCTTCTTGATAAAGGTACAATTTAACACAAAGTAGTCGTTAAGTGAGCAGATGAATACCGGTAAATTAATATTTTAGGTTATGCTAAACTTACAGTCCACAAATTTTAGCAAAAGTATTTTCTGTGATCTTCGTTGTATCTGCTGTTTCGTCCATTATTCTTCGAGTGGTACTGATTACCACTGTATCACTATATTTCGCCGTTTGTACTACCTTCGTTTCCAAGGTATGAATTCCAGTTTAAAAAATAATCTGCCAGCAAAAGAAACCCAATTCACTACCGTTAAGTTTTTATTATGCTTTGCCCTTGGTACTAAGCTTAAATTAAATACAGTTAAATTAATTGACTGTTTAAATTCGAAATAAATATCTAATCACAATGTTATTCATCAGTTTCTTTGGTGTTTATAACACGTTTAAATTACTCTAAATTGCTCTAAATAGGTAACACCATAGATTATACACTTAATATATTAGAGAGGTAACACAAAACAAACTGTCACAACACGCACAGGCAAGGCGAAGATGTTGTACCACACAGCCTAATTATTTTTAATGTTCCTTTTCCGAAAAATAGTATGGATCGAAAACGTATGTGCATTAAATGTGGTGAAGTTAATTTATTTGAGACTGTAATAAATTAGAATAAAATTAAATGGAACGAGATGGGATGAAACGAAGTCTCAGTAAATTACTTCAGTTAGTAAAGTTTCAGTAAATTTAAATTATTTAATGAGACTTTTACACCTTTAAGCCTTTAGAAACACAAGATGAACAAAATAAAACAATTCAAACAAGTTCACCTCTCGCATTCCCGCCATAAAGTCCAAGTACAATAAAATAAAGTGATTTATCACATAAAAGTAGTGCAATGCAAGCATGCAAGCAACAAACATATTCTCAAGATTCTAAGGTTAATTTAGATTTACTGGATTTCCCAGAAATAAATAATTGTTTTTTGGGTATTGCATTTTTATTTGAAAAAAAAGGAGGAAGGTTTTTGTACCCTAAAAGGCTCCATATACAGAATGATTTGTCTTTACGATCCGTCGTTACAGAAGTGAAGTGAAGTAAAGTGAAGTGAATCTTCGTCGTATCTTCGTCGTGAAGATCGCCACAATACACTATCAATCCATCGTTTCAGAGCGATCTTTCATTTATGGGGCCCTTTTATTGGCTTATATGTCCTGTCAATAAAATCATCTGTTTTTGACAGATTGCAAATATTGCAACGCCGTAACGTTATAATGATAATCTAAACAGCAAAATAAACAACAACAACCAGGCTAAACCAGCATGCAATAAAATACGTACGTGGTAACCAAAATAATACTAACAAATATAAACGCTCTTAGCTCCTATCGTTTTCTATAAATCTGTGCAATTAGGGTACCACCTTCCTGAAATAAATAGGAAGTTGATTTCATCTGGAAAATAATGACAGAGCCAGAAGTAGTTGAAGATTTCTTTGGCGTGTATCTGTTGTACTGTTTGAATCCGAAATATAAAGGACGAACGTATATAGGATATACACGGGAGCCGAACCGGCGAATCATGCAGCATAATCGTGGAACTTGGGCCGGTGGAGCTTATCGCACTAGTAATAAAGGGCCATGGTAAAACATCTGAAATATTTAATGTAAAATAATAAGTCGGAGCTTAATCAGTTAGTTAAATAATTATTTTTTGTAGGAAAATGGTGCTTATTGTCCACGGTTTCCCTAATAATATCTCAGCACTAAGGGTAAGTTAATATGAGGTGATCGTTTTCAATTCAAACAATTACCTTTAGTTATATTTAACAGATAAATATGTAATTATGCTTAATAAAAAACAAGCTGTTAGTTTTAGAGCTAAAATGTCTACAGGAGTTTTCCTGCGCTTAAGTGATTATTGTAAAACAACAATGGTTATAGGATGGTTTATAATGTGGGCAGAGTTGCAATTCGTTTTCCCGCCAAAAAATAGGGGGTTAGGAAAATGGGTAGGTATACCACTACTGCTTTTGTAGGTACAACTTTAGTGATGTCACATATTGGTCTCATTTGATTAGATGGCTATTATTGAGAAATTTCTATCCTTTGAACTTTTTAGTTTGAATGGGCCTGGCAGAATCCAACAAAAACAACAAGACTGCAACATTTATATCTCAAAAAGATACCTCGTCAAGAATCTGAATTCCAGTTTAAACTAAGGGTACTCAGTGAAATGCTGAGAGTTGGACCATGGTGTCGATTGCCATTACTAATTAGATGGCTTGAGAAAGAATATTTTGAAGAATTTCCAGTAAGTTAAAACTTTAGATATTATGAAACTTTGATATAATATATTTATCACTTGTATGACCTTGAAATGGTTGTGGAAAGAAAAATGTCAAATCGTATCAAAAAGTAAGACCCATTATGAATGAAAGTTTTGTGTTCATCCAGTCTACATATAAGAAGATAGATCATTTTTGTCAAGTCACCTGGTTCAGAAAAATTCCCATGTTATTTATTGGTAAACAGTGGCTTGCATGAGTCCTATAGTGACTGACAAGAACCATACATAAGATGTAAGCTATTTTCAATGGTAAGTAAAACAACATTTACAAGGAGTTCTTCTCAGTTAACCCAGTTTTATCATAAATTTATTCATACATCAGTGTACACACTCAGTTCACCTGGTGCTATCCAGAGAGAATATACATCACAAAGTGAATGCTAATATACAAATTGGGACATAAGTTCTAAGTCTTGAATTATATTACAGCTGAAGTAGTCGTGGCTAAAGGATAAGACGTCCGGTGCATTCGTTTCTTGCGAAGCAACAGTATTTGAATACCGCAGGCGGGTACCATTTTTTCTAATGAAATACGTACTTAACAAATGCTCACGATTGACTTCCACTGTGAAGGAATAACATCGTGTAATAAAAATCAAACCCGCAAAATTATAATTTGCGTAATTACTGGTGATAGGACTTCTTGTGACTCTGAGTTGTGAGCTGTGAGCTCGTCCACCCATCTAAGCAATAAAAAAAAAATGCTGTTTCAGCCTTCAACCCGAAATCAGGACTGCTTTGTACCAAAAATAGGCAGGTAGGAGGTACCTAGCCATGCAGGCTTACAATGCCCCCTGCCACCAATAAATGCCGACTGGCAATCGCAATACGCTACTTTGATACACGGAGACCTCTGCTACCTAGTCACCATTAAATCCTTTGGTAACCTTTTAAAACACCTATGAAATAAGTGGGATGGTGCTACTTTAAGCCACCTCAAGGCCGGTATTACTATTGTAGAGATATACGACGTAGGGAAGATTTTCCACCGAGCGGGTGCAATTGCTCGGTAGATCGTCAATCCGAATGCTGTTGTTCGGAACTTGTATGCAAGCTTATCTTGAAAATATCGTAAGCGAGATTCAGACATCTTTTAAATATCTTGTGTTCTGTGATGGCTACCGCCACGCTATTATCCATTTTTATTATGGCACCGCCCACCACCGGAGCAGAGTTCATTCATACTACCTAGTACCACTGCGTTCATCTACAGTGCGCTTCCAGAGATCTTGCTTGCCATGTACCATCCGGCTTTGGAATAGGCCCCCCTCTTAGGTGCTTCCCGAGCTCTATGATATGTCTTTTTTCGAACGAGGCTTGTCGAGAGAGAGTACATAACGGCGTGCAGAGGCTTGGCGACCATGAGCGAGGGTAACGATTCAGGATCATGTCGATCATGACGGAGCCCTATACTTTTTGCCATAGATATTCTGTCCCTCATTTGCACATCTATTGTAGCGCTCCTAATTCTATTACACTATTTTGAGCGCTTTGGCGTTATTGCGAATATCCCAAACTGTTATTATCTGTTATTACAGTTGAAGTGGTCGTGGCCTAAACGATAAGTCGTCCATTCGTATCTAGCGATGCACCGGTGTCCGAATGCAGCAGGCGGGTGCCAATTTTTTTAATCAAATACGTACTTAACAAATGTTCTCGATTGAATTCCACGGTGAAGGAATAACATCGTGTATTAAAAATAAAAAAAGCCCGCAAAATTATAATTTGCGTAATTTCTGGTGGTAGGACCTCTTGTGAGTCCGCACAGGTAGGTATCACCGCCCCGCCTATTTCTGCCGTGAAGCAGTAATGCGTTTCGGTTTGAAAGGTGGGGCAGCCGTTGTGACTATACTGAGACCTCAGAACTATATCTCAAGGTGTGTGGCGCATTTACGTTGTAGATGTCTATGGGCTCCAGTAACCACTTAACACCAGGTGGGCTGTGAGCTCGTCCACACATCTAAGCAATAAAAAAAAATGTTTCTGGAAATATTTATTCATTAACGTGATAAATGGACATGATAAATTTTCAATATTATCATTAATAACATTTTCAAAATATTGAATTATTAATATGTCACGCACCTGCCTCGATAATAAAGTTCAATGGTCCGTAGTTGTTAAACTGGTATCTTCAAGGACAATAATAGATATAGTTAATTAACCACCGCTCATGTCGTATCATTTATTTATGGTAAAGAACTGTCATCGGGATCCAGTAATATATTTTCGTCATCCAAACAATATGTTTTGAGTAAACCAGTCCGTACATTAACCCCGTGTCGATCGGGCATCTTTAGGAGGTGATAACGCACAAAAAAGATTTTATTATAACTATTCTGAAAAGGACGGGGAAAAGAAAACCCTATTGAAAACACTCTACAATAGTTCTATATGTAACTAGCGGCCCGCTCCGGCTGCGCTCGGGTTTTTAACAAAAATTTCAAAGATATTTGACGTTGATTTATTTAAAAAAATAAAATAACACTTATTGCGGCATAACTATAATAGTTAAATATGCTGTCGCGACACTTTTTGTAAATAATAATGTGTTCTTCAAATTCGTAGTACATTATTATATTCTATCATCAATAGTTTTCGCAGGGCACACGATGAAAATAATATTTTAGGCAATTTTTTTACACTTTGGGTTACATTATTGGAGTTTTAGTAAGGATCCCTAATTTTTCCATAAAAAAATTATAAACCTATGTCACTTGGGAATAGTGTAGCTTCCAAACCGTGAAAGAATTTTTTAAATCGGTTAAGTAGTTTCGGAGTCTATTCAATACAAACAAACAAACAAATCTTTCCTCTTTATAATATTAGTATAGATTAATTTCATACCATAATTGGTAAACGCTTCTCGACCATTAAAATAATATGTATAACATATTTATAGTAAGTACAACACCTGCATGTTGGGGTTTTTCTCGTTGCGCGTATCATTATGATGTTTTTAGGGTTAAGCACCGAAATCTGCAATATAGGGTAATAATAACTAGGTATAAATAACGCACGGTCATCGGGCCCCAAATTACGATTCCCTGTGTTATGAGTACTAGAGATCCAATAAGCCTTGCATTAGACGCCTTCATCTCTAACACTAGAACACTTGAAGTAGGTACCCCGGTAACCGTACTCGTCGAACTCAGCAAAAAGTTAGAAGAAACTCAACGCCCGTCGCCTGCAACAACGTCACTCGTCAGCTTTGAGCCCCGCGAGCTCATCTACTAGTTCGGTGAATCTAGAATAACCCCTTGACGTTACTAGAATAGGTAAGAATAAAAAAGTCTGGGGCGTTAACTACTGCATCACTGAGTCAATTAAATCATTAAATCAATTAAAACACCGTCTCTTGCTGCTTTAATGTGATGATATACATCATGGCGTATATGTTTCTGTATACTAAATACGCGCAATTTTTTTTTTATACTTAGATCATGAAATGGCTAAAGAAAGAAACATCGTAATGAATGATCGTTAGTTTGACCTCTTCAGTCGCGAATTTTTTTAAGTATATAGATCTTTATTCCTATTTATTAATCTTATATTTGAAACAATTCAAGAAGTAAAATAAAATAACAGATATAGTGAACATTCATTAAAAAGATTTTGGCCCACTCTTGATGACTCTCTTTTGAGTTCACGAGTGATTGGATTCTTTCTACGTGATCGTTCCCAAGGGGATTATTTTTTACGGAAGGCTTTTCTTTAAATTTCATTTAGATTAAATAATACAAATATTGATTTAATAGAATTCGAAAAAAAAAGAAATATACATTTTTCTAAATATATATCAAACAAATTTTTCAGGTGACGAGAAAACCACCGGAACACATGAAAATCTGCTACGGACCTGTCAAAATTAAAAACTTAAAGAAAATCGATAATGTTGGTTATGAAGATAAATCTGAAGAATGCATCATATGTTGCCGCCTAATAAAAAGCTATCAATCAAAAATTAAATGTTTAAATCAATTCTGTGTGTTAGTTTGTCATATTAGTTGCTTAGCTGATCGGTTTTTGGAGCCAGGGGAGTACATTCCTATACAAGGTTCTTGCCCTTTATGCGATATCAAGTTGAAATGGGGTGACCTTATCAGAAAGATAAAGGGATGCAGCCTGGATTTAAATGGTGATTGTGGTGTGACAGATGAGACTTTATCTGGAAATGATGAGGTTATCCCTAGTAATGTAGCTGATGAAATTGACGATGAACAACCCAGTTGGTTTTTGGACTGTAAAGAAGATTTATGACGCAATATTTGTGTATTAAAAAAATTCCTAATATTTATGCCGATAGTTTTATTTTCGTTCTGGAAGCCTGCTGCTGTATATAGGGCAGTAAGTCCTGACGCCTACTATATCTATGCCGGTCATAAGATGTACCTTCATAGAAGTAAAACTATATAAGGTAGAGTAGGATTGATCGACGGTCTGAATGTTATTGTTCAGAGTTTTTCTGTCAACTTTCTTGTAAATATAAATACTATATCTATCTATACTATATATATATAATCTATACTGATTTTATATTAGAACTTCATACGAAAAAAATTGATCATAGATTTTTCAGATGATAAGAAACATAATGTCGTAATTGTTTTTAGTCATTGTTAAGCTTTCAAGATTTCAGCTCCGTTGGTTAAAGTAGAACTCAGCTATACGGCTGTTTAAGAACTCAGAAGAAAATGTTTGCGTCAAATTGTTTTGACCTTAATTGTTCTTGTAACCGATTTTAGTTTGCCAGGCCGGACGCTTAGTACGTGATCAACATTGACCGCTGGTCATTTGAATAGTTTTCTCATTTTGATCGATAGCTTATAACTGTATTTTACGATTTTTTATATTGAACAGATTTAATTTTCAACATTTAGTATTATTTTAGAAGATTTGAAGTACATTCTACTATATATTCACGTATAGAAACAAGGGAAATACCGTGCTAGGAGTATGTACTTACAGAAAATAAATTCTTTCTAACACACTTTTATTAGCTTGGTGTGTTTATTTATTTGTAGGTAGCGGACCTTTGAACGTTGTTTTAGCGGTTACCGTAGCCTATAGGCCAGCCTTTCCCAAACTGGGCGATAACACCCCCTTGTGGGCGCTGCAGGCCTAAAGGGGGGCGGTAAGAGAGAAAAAAAAAGGGGGCGTTGTGTAGAAACTTGGGAGGCGATTTGTAATTTCATCTAGGAATACTCTTAGACACTCTAGAGCTCTCGCTATAGTGGTTTTTAAGTAGGTGAAAAAAGGAGGGCTCTAAAAATAATTTATTCTCAAAGTGGGCAGTAGACAAAATAAGTTTAGGAACCCTTGCTATAGGCATGACTAAGTTAATTCTGTGACCCACTTTGAGACATGAGGTCTAAGACTTAAATGAATAACGGGTCAAGCGGAACAAATGATAGCCTCGTTTGCTCTAGTAACGCCAAATAATTTTGAAGAAATAGTTCTTCTCGAAATTTCTCGAAGAATTGGTTACAAGGTTTCCAAATATGGTTACCAGGGTCCTTATCCTTTTTAATACTAATTTACAAACAAAAACATTAATAAAACGGCAAATACGATAAAACTCAAACTTGATTTGTGAAAATTTATTATGTTCATAAAATATTCATTTAATATATTCTATGAATATTTTTAAATGCTACCAGGTACACAATAATTTATAAAACGTACAAAAACTTGAATGGAATTAAAATACAAAAAATAAAATTCTAATAGCATTTCTGACATCATTGCAGAATATAATACGTATTAAAGATTAAAGATAAAATACAAATCTACGTTAACAAATATATGATTTTCATAAATGCATTTTTGTTATTTGGTATCGATTTTTTAATGCTACTTATAAGCTAGTTATTACTAACGGAAAAGCTTTTTAGATTTAAAAAACAAAATCTAGCAAGTATGAAATTGTCATGAGTCCGTTGCGAAAACGCAAGGGAATTTATTAAGTATTGTAAAATAATATTTAGAAAAAACAAAACAGTACCGTTTTATTTTGATCAATAAACTTTTAGTATCTCTGTAGATCTTCGTCGACACTCCATATTTAACTTTTTTTAAAATAGTTATCCAATCTTTCGTTTACCTCTCAAAATCTTCTGTCTCCTTACTCTCTCGCGTCATCTAATTTAATTTTACGGTATACTTCTTGAATACATCTACCGTGTAGTGTATGTTTGAGATTAATAGTCATCGAAAACTCCGTCGTCATCATCATCATCGTCGAAATCATCGTCGTCATCAGCTCCGGGTGGGACAAACGCGCCATTCATCACCTCACTAACGGGCTCTTCGAAGCCCATCACTTTCGCTAATCCATAAACAAGTCTCATTACAACAAGCCTTGTAAACATCACCGGATTAGTCTCCTTACGTTGTAAAGTCAATTGTTTCTCAGTCGGCAGGTCCTTGTTCCTTCTCATTTCACATGGAAACACAACGAAGAACAATATTGACACGAATAATAAAAATCCTTTCCGCGCCATTTTGTTTTCTAATTCCCGCCAAATAGTTTATGTTACGGATGCGTTCACAGACGAATATCTGCGTGTTAATTTAACGCATTATCGAGTGGTAAAAACCGAAGAGACTATGCTAACGGAATGCAAGCGAATGAATGGAGTCGCGTGTCGTGGACTACGACGATATTATTGTACACTGTGCCAATAAGTGTATGGGTAACCGTCTTGAAACGCGCAAAGCCGTCTCGATCGTAGCATTGTACAGTTATGTTAGCATATTGGGACACGAAGTGAAAATGAAACGCATATCTCTATATTTACTTGCATTTCACGTGAATGATGTCAGAGAAGGGTCGTGAGCTACTTTCATTTTCACCTTATTGACTGTAAAACATAAATGAACCCTCCAAAATATATGGTCTTCCATGGAAGAATATAGGTACGTTAATAAAGAATGCGCCTAGGTTATTATCACTTCGTTTTAATAAACGAACAAAAAGCCCAGAAAACCCGTTATAAAAATATAAAAAATAAAATTCTGTTTATTTTGTATTCGCATTCAGTTTGAGTGTATCTTTTACCCACTGACCAAGATCTTCACAACCAGTACTAAAACCCAGATTCGTGTGTCACTTGTGCATTTAGCTGCACGATAACGACAAACGACCTATTGTTTGAGCAGGAAAAACCACAAAAACGAATGTAGCTTTAGGAAAAATAAAAATGAGGCAAAAAGAAATACTCTTCAAGTAATTCATTGAAGTTCAAATCTAAGATCGTCAAGGCCGTCTATATTATGAGGCCGGGACATTTTAGAATAATGGGATTTTTGTGACATTGTTATTAGAACAGAATTTAAAAAAATACTTGCTTAATGAATGGCCTGTGGATTTACATAAAGAGATTATGGATCGCGACATCCAGGACCTAAAACTGAGATTTTAGAATTCTTGTCTCAAGGTCGGTGGCGGCATTTATGTTTAGATGTCTATCCATGATTACCATCTGTGATTACCGGAGTCCACTCCGGTAATCACAGATGCCAGCTATTATAAAGCTACCTCTTTAACATTTACTTCGAGAAAAAGCAATTTATTGAGGTCAAATCTGACTTGAAAACATTCAACAATTAATTCTGGTCTTAAGCCTTGATTTCAATGAGAACGTATATTTTATAACACTGGATAGGACCAAGGAGTCTATTTGAAATCCATGAGTTTCTTTAAGTTGCTTAGAGTAAGTAGTATTAACTACGGGAGTAGTTTCGCCCAGTATGAATCATTAGACCAAAGACTACGTAATATCGGAAATATCAGAAGAAACTATTAGTTAATGGATATTTCTCCCCTCGAGTCGTAATAAACGACTTCCCCGCTGTAGAATCAGATGATGCTACCATCCGTGTGGCTTCCATTTTATTACTGAAGAAGCTGTACAAAAGATATTCCCCGAATATTTCGATTCATATGAGTCTTTTGTATCATTCTACCTCTACTGCTAATTTCCATTCTGGATACGTTCTTAGTCGTGTTGTGAAGTAAGAGTCTATAGAGAGACATCTATTACTTACGTTGTCCATACTTGCTCCTGGTACTATGAATTCACCGTACGCTCGAGTCAAGAATTCGAGGCTAAAGGAGCTTTGAAAAAAATGACTATTTTGATAATACAGTCAAAATCTGTTATAACGACATCGAAGGGACTGCTCATATTCAGTCGTAAAAACCGATAGTCGTAACAACCGGTGATGTTTAATGTGTATCGTGCAAGTACAAACAAATCGATAGGGAATTATTGGAAAAACATATTTACGCGATTTTTCTTCAATATTAATTTGTTTTATTTTTCTTTGCGACATTTTGAAAGTTTCACGAATAACTCCACAAAGTTTTGGTGCGTTTTGTGTATAAATAAGTAATAAACTAACTGAAGAGATATGAAGAAGCGGTCTTTGACTTTACTGCATGCACGTGTTTTGTTTCTAAGAATTAGAAAAGACCCTACACTCAACTAAATCCTATTGTTTTCTTTCCTGATTTTAATAGCCATTGAAGACAAATGTGGATACCTATTCAAATTGTTTACAATACAGCTTAGCCGGTCGTTCTAACAGATCTAATTCTCCGAAATATTAGTTAAATGTGGTCGTTTTATGAGGTATGTCGTTATAAGCAATGTCGTAGAAAGCAATATTTTTAATAAGGCGGTCATATGGCATTCAGCCGGGACCTTTGTTTTAGGTTGTTATAACCGGCATGTTGTTCTAAACGATGTCGCAGTAAACGGTTTTGACTGTATTTGCCTTTACTAAACATTAGACATACCTACATAAGCGATATCTATCATTCTCTAAGGTCTTATTGTATTTGCAATTTTGTATGTAAAATTAATATTTATCATGAGTCAATTAAAATGCTTCTACGCGGAAGAAATACAATGGTATTTCATTTATAAATATTTTAATAGATAAATTGATACAATCTACTGATTAAAATATTTAACAATGAGTAAGTACTATTAAATAATTTTGAAATTGATGAAATGTGTATTATCTTTTTAATTTCTTAAATTGTATTTTGGCTTACCTTTTTTATTATTGATTTCAAATTTTATATTAAAACTTAAAATTTGATACATTACAAGAAGATAATTTGATTTGTAACGATATATAGTTAGTTATAAAAACCCTAGTCTTTATTAGAAGCAGTTTTATGCCATAAAAAGATTGGAGGCGTTCGTTGAAGCACATTATAATCTCGATTACGATTGAAATCAAGATAATAATGGTTACAATATCAATCTATGGTAGAATTATCCGAGTATCATTTCCTTGTGAGCTTGAATACCTTGCAGAGAATAATTAAAATATGTATATTTTTAGTTGTGTTACGGCGTATTGCGAGTAGCCAAGGCATAGCCAATCACCATCCTACCGAATTTTGTCTTTTTTTTCCCTACCTAAGCTGATGGTCTTGAGAGACCATATCTGCGTCGCCGGGCGAGTAGGTGAGCTCCAGGGGACTCTAACCTAACGTTGTTGCTAACACGAACTCAAGCAACTTCATTTCTCAAGGTGGGTGATGGCATGTGCATCGTGGTATTTGTGGGCTCCCATAATCACTTAACTCCAGTAAGTCCGCTCTGCCGCTAGACGCGTGACGTCATTTGTGTCCAAAATAAATGAGTTACCCGTAGCTCTTACCCTAAAAAGCAGCCATAAGCCACATGTGATGTGATGTGACGCGTTGTGATTGGTTTTAAACCTATAAAATGTTCAACTCATTAAATTATTTTTAGTAATTTAAAATCATCTTTTCAACTAGCTTGACCTGTCTAAAACTAGTTCAGTTATATACCTACTAGAAGGCTACTAGAATACTCGTATATAATCGTAAGAAGATCCTTCGCATTTAAATGTTTATTTATTCCGAAAATAATTAATAGCCATTCCAAATACGTCGTTTGATTTCTAATGCACACCCACAATGTCACACGAATGTCATCGCAATCGAATCATTCGGTGAAAGTGGTCCGTAGCCTGGTTTCTAGCTTTTTAGAATTCGCACTGGACACAAGTGTACAATACACGCATAATTTAAATTACGACAATTTTAATATTTCCCGACATTAGAATCGTAAACAATAATGTCAACCTTGTAACGGGGCTGTAAGGTCGCGTTTGGCTTCTTTAGATTAATCTCTTTTGTTAAAGATTCTGGTCCTATTTCTGTATTAAAATTCGTATTTGTACTTTTAGAAGAAACAGGAGTATTGTAGATGTTTTTGTTTGGAATACAATGAACTACAGTAGGAAAATATTATAAATTGTCATGAAAAAATTATGTCAATAATATCTGGCCCTAAATGTATTTATTGAAATCAGTTTTTGTTAACTGATGATGAACAATCTGATAAGCCCCACTTTAACAAATACGTCTTGAACTAAAGAGTAAGGATTTATTTCTGGTTAGTGTAATGTAAATTAATTTGCAATTTATCTCACTTTTCACTTTCAACAATTCGAACTAAAAATTAATATGATAAAATATATTTTTAAAGTTAGTAAAGTAACAAAAATGTTGAATTGTTTCAAGTTCAATTAATAACATCGAACTGTATATTTGTACATTCAAATAGCATTGAATTGATACTAATATCAAATAAAGCGGACCTTTAATTACAAATATAAATGTCGCATTTTAAGCGAAATGTCGCTCAAACCAAATACTGATGGTGAGTGGTTTCCGTCGCTCGGGGATCCCAAGCGATCAGCGATCTCTCAGCGATCCCAAGGGCACAGCTAAGCCGCTACTTGGTGAGGAGTACTCTCTGCTAGCCTAGTTTGAAGATATTGTGATATAGCGCTTAGAAAGCAGCTAGGAGGCAAGTTCGTTCCAAATGATGTTGTTATTGCAATAGGTATACCGGGTGCTAGGAAACCGCTTCCTAAGACGAAAATGTTGTACCTACAAAGCTGTAAATTTTGGGGGACGCGGCTTCGCCTCGCCTGTGCTGATAGCCTTGAGGGACTATTTCACCTTCACCTTAACGTGTAGGCGAGCTCTCGGGGCTCAAACCGGAGAGTTGCTAACACTGGCCCTAGCAAAAGCAGTGCTTCGCAGAATCTCCCACTGGATCGGAAACGCGACCCACTGAGAAGATCCGGCGAGAAACTCAGTGGGCTGTGTCTATGGGTTAATTCGCTCGTCGAGCCCTTCGACGGGTTCGACGAGGAGGATCCGTAATGACGTGTTTTGGGCGACGTCGACTGTTTACCATTCGGTCTACAGGATCGGGTATGACCGCCAGTGTGCGGGTAAGAGAAACGCCGCGCCCGGGCGTTCGTTGATCCGAGCATCAGCTGTTTTTGATTTTGTGTTTCATTGCTGGGTTTTTTTAAGTAAAGTAATGTATTTTTTTATGAAACTATCGTGTCATTTAGCTGTACTAACATGATGAAGCATAAGTAATGCTAATAAAACTCTTTAAAAACATGTTTTTTTTTTTTAAATTAGGATCGATTT